AGAGGCGGAATCGATTTCCTCGTCAGTGGCGGTGCTGTCCAGTGCAAGACGATCTCGGACCGCATGCGGTAGTTCTCGTAGTCGTCTATCCCAAGAAAGCTACACCTCTCCATCTCAAGCTTTCCGCGTAACTCGTTCCAGAAGATCTTTCAGAGAGGCATTGCGTTCTCGACCAAAAGAGGACGTCGCACAGAGAACAGGAGTTCGATCCTTCGCTCGCTTGACATACGCCTCTAGTCGCGTGTAGCCTCTTGGAACACACACGCCCAAAATTCAACCATCGATATTTGTCTCGATCTGATTACATATTATTTTGCAAGAAGGGGGCTGGTATAGACCAAGTGCCGGGTCGTCTACCATCTCTGCTCACAGACCCTCTTGCGCCTGGTGCTGCTTTCTCTCGAGCAGCCACTGACAACACTCGTGCGGAGGTCTCGTTTGGGTGCGTCCGTCGCCTATCTCTGCCTCATATGGGAACCCTGCCGTGTGGGTAAATGCTTGAATGCCTCTCCCTACATACGACATGCAGGGCCAACGGTAAGATAACAAGAGTGGGCACAAAAGGGAAGGGACAACGATGTGCTAGGCCTTCGGTCGGACAGTACACCCTGCATAATCTCGACCGAACAGAGGACTGCAAATGTTGGGTAGAGCATAAAGTCAATTGCACTGATGGGCAAGAAAGGGTCGTCTAGCTTTCTCGTAGTGAGCTCCGAACGGAAGTTCGAACGGCATAACATCAGGGATTATCTTTTTATGCAGGGTATTCTCGAAGCCTATTTAGGTGTGCCTGCTGTTTCAGATGAAGGAACAAAGTCAATCTGCCGTGTATCAGGGTCTGCATATTCCTTATACATGCGCAAGGATGGATATGCCCACGTGCCTTCAGGGCTCTTCTGTCTCCTGCTTCCCGTGCCTTCGTCTCTTGTATTGTTTCTCTCATGCAGAAGCATCCTTTCTTTTGCATGCTTTTGTGGATGTCTTCGCGAGCCATGATAGTGGAGACTGATAAAGAATCTCTCTCGCACAAATCGTGAATGTCGATCATGATCGACAGATCTATGCACGGAATCGGGACTAGACCAGCTATAGCAGCTGCTTCTCCAAGGACATCGTTTCTTGTGCCCATCAAAGTCCTTCCCGCCCAAGATGTCAAATCCTACTCCATTGAGATCCACTTGATCTACGACCACTGCTAAAGCGGAAAATTAAATGTACACTATCCGTCAGTAGATGTGGCCTCAAAAGGTGAGATGGGCCGTCCCGTGCCTGCGTAAATCATCCTTCCCCATGGGACTGGACTGGACTTACTCGGGGGCTTCAGCCCTCCGGAGGGTATTTACGCCCGTACACCACAAAGAAAGCAGTGGCTTCTGCACCATGAACGACAAGCACCACCGAACGACGCCGAAAGACACTCCACAAATCGGTTGACACTTCAGCTACACCAGCCTCCACAAAGCCACACTCGTACTTGCGATGACATGCCAGTCGTTTCGTGGAAGATAGACCAGAGACAAAAGACAGAGAGAAAACAGAAGGTGCATGCAACAGAAGAGCTAGTCCCGTTGCGCGTGTCTGGATCCTCGTCAAAGGCCTTGTGGATTCGGCAGGAGAATATCCATTGAGGAGACCCAAATTCTTCGCGCCAAGCAAAACCCGTTGTGCTTTTCGACAGATGTCGGACCAAAGATGCCGTGCTGTTTTCGTGCAGCGTGTGTCTTGGTCTCCTACAGGCACAGAACTGACGATCGTCGCCGCGCACGCCGAGAGGAAACCCACAATACTCAATCCTCCAAACTCCACCCTCTCGTGGGGTTACGATCAAAGACATGCCCACAACGTGTCTGGTGATAAAATCACGCAAGCTGCTTAATAAAAAAACGCGTGAGGAGAAGGATCATTAAAAGTACGACAAACAGTTGTCTACTCCACAAGGGCAGAAGAGCTTATACTGAGAAGATTACCTTGTAGTGAGAAAGTAGTCCTTTGGGACATGTATGTATCACTCCACCAAAGAGATATCCACTTTCCTCTGCCACTATTGCCAACTGTACAGCTCAACCTATCCCCATCCACCCCTGACTGCTCGTCCTGCACGACACGACTTGTTGTTTCTTTCCACGGTCCTCTACTCGAGTAGTCAATCGATAACGTCCGTTGGAGGAAGACGAAGTCGTACCGCAACAAAGATGTGATAGGGGACTCCATGCAGAGGCCTAGAGCAGTGGAGAAGGTGTTAATGGGCAGGCGGGTCGCTGGCGTCCAAGATATCACACGAAGGATTCTTGGGATGAGGAAGCGTGTAGCCGTGTTATCCCACATCGCTTTGCGCCGACAATTCTTGGCCGACGGCCGCATGCAACGACGACACTCATCGTCAAGAGACTGCCTCAGAATCGTGCTGGACAGAGAGCCAGATGGTGGAAGGAATGCATCTCGCCAGTGTTTCCCCAGATGGTGGACGCTCAGCCTACGCTTCACCGAACAAAGCCGTGAGATTCTCCATATATGCACACTACCACCCCGACGGGGCCTTGGTATGAGATCCTTCAATGCTACTCCAGAGTGGTACAGTACCACGTGTACGTATTTCTTCTACCATCTTTGCCCTTTTTCCTCATTTCGACAAATCACGTTCTTCGTTTCTTGATTTTCTCATTCGCCACGAATCCTTCGTGTCCTGCGTGCCTGGCATGGATGTGCTGTTGAGGGGCTAAAGGGTCAGAAGATACAGATGCACATGGCAAGAAGGGTCATGTAGAAAGACCGTTATACTTGCATAGACCTTGAAAGGAAGGTCGACGTTGTGAAAGACGCGTGGTTGTGCATAGTCATGTGTGCTTTGTCTCATCTTGCTACACCAACGTTCAAGGTGCCTGATGGCGTTCGGAGAATTGATGATGGACAGTAGTAGAGTTATACGCACCGAGATGGGGTTGAGGATGCGAAGGAGGAAGGTACGTCTCTGCCAAAGCTGCCAATGCCAGATCTGCCACCACTTCGATGCTTTGCATGACAGGTACATGTAGCCAGGTATCCATAACCATCCAGAGCCCCGGTGCGCTTGACTCTTGTTCCTTGCATGGCTCTTTCTGCATCCTGATCGGTCGGAAACATGAACTTGACGTTGACGTAGCGCCTCCCTCATCCTGCAAGACGTGATGACATGCAGCCATCCTTGCAATCAAAAAAATACACGTCAATGGCTCTTGCCCCAAACAAGAAACCCAGGTGAGGATATTCATGCAACCATGGGACGGTGTTGTAGCAGAGATTGCTTCTGAAACCCGTAGCTGAAAAAACGCGACCATGGAATCTTTGGCTTGCCTGAATCTCCTCGAGATCGAAGATCTGAAAGATGAGTCGATGCAAATGGCGTAACCAGTTGGGTGAGATTCGCGACGGACGGCCCGTCACGGCCCCTCTGCAAATCTCCCGCTCTGGGCTTTCAGGGCAGAGGAAAAAGAAAAGGAAAAAAAGAAATAATAAAGAAAGGGAAATAAAGTGCGAAGAAGAGATGAGTGCAAAAAAAAGCGGCATGACGATTGCGGCAACAGCAGACGAGTCAAGTAGAGCATCAAAGGTCTGGCTCACCAAGATTGTGGGGTGCTTGGGAAAGCCCACCAGAAAGAGAGGCGGATTGGACAGCATCCGGTGGAGTCGTGCTCCGAACCAAGACGATTGGCTTCCGAGCAAAGCGAGAGCGTGAGGAGAAGAAAAACCGATTCATACATTCTCACCAAATGCCCAGGGGCATTTTTGTCGCTTCTAGACGAACAGGACTGCCTTAAGCGAATATATGCCTCCCTTTTGACCCTTGCGAACTCTCGCGAAGTGGTTTGGTGGTAGGGCTCTGGCAGCAAAGTGGATACCAGTGTTCATGGGATCTTGGAATTGAAGATGGGATTTTCGCTTGAGCTATCCGAATCAAGGAGCCGCCCGCTCATGTGCCCAATGCCCTCAGCAAAAAAGCACATACTAAGAAGCGGCAGTCGCGGCGATACTCTTGCTCAAATACACAACGCACTAAAGTTCATGTCTAGTCAGGCACGAGCGTTCAATTGTGAGTTGCACTCTTGTCGCTGCCGGTCGAGTACGGACAAGTACGCTCCTGCTCGACCTTGGTGAAATCCTGTGCTGATTACTACTCATACAAGCGCCGAGGAGGAGAGTGTGCGTAATCAACACACATAACTAGTTACGGTTTGTAGCGGCAGCGCAATGTCCACTTTCGTTCTGCAGACTCGGAAGCTTGGGTTGAATAGACGAAGAGCGCTTGGCTGGAGAGATCAAGGCCTAGGTTCGGAGTCATGCCGTGCACATCACGAAGTGCCGTATCTCTAGCAAGAGTCATGAATACCGTGAAAATCTTCTTGCTAGAGCATTGTAGGTAGATCTGGGGCTGCATGCGGCACAGAGGAGATTTGCATACTCGAGATTTTGGTAGAGTGCGATCCTTTCCCCGCAGATTGCCCATCTGAAACGTTGGTTCCTAGAGCTGACAAAGGCAAGTCTGGAAAGCTTGTGAAGGTAAAAAGCATAATCAGAGACATGGTGCACGAGGTAGAGATTCATGGACAAGAGGCAAGAGAATTGTTCAGAAATGTCAGAGGCCACTGTTGGGCTTGTTGTTGATAATCAGATAGCTAAGATAGCAAAAGACCGTTTTCCCAGAGCTCCCAACCATGCAAATGCAGATATCTCGCTGTACAGTACAGAAAAAGCCCAAAGCAAAGGGGCTGAGAAGAAAGAAACCTTGCCCCAGGAAGGTGTAAAGATAGACATGAAGTGAAGAAAAGGCAACAAGGAAAAAGCTCGCTTTGCGGCTGGAAACGCCAGAGTATGTGACTTTTTTGCTTGTACTCTCATCCAGAGAGACAGCACCTTGCGGGGTGTACAAGTCTAGGTAAAGCAGCAAACGTAAAGGAGGATGATTGGCATGAGGGGTCGTAAGGCGTCAAACATCAGAAAGAGAAAGGCTGCTGGGCGACAGACATCTAGTCATCGCGCTTTCTCTTCTTCTGCTGGAAGCTGTTATCCTCGGCTGACTCGTAACCTGATTGGCTGCTGCTGCTAGACCCGGCAACCGCGGCGGCGTGGTCAAAGAGCATGGCACCGAGCTCGCTGGCGTCAGGGGTCTCGCTCTTGGGGCGCAGAACACCAGAGCCAACATCTGCAACGTTGACGGCCATCTGGGAAGTCATGTCGCTGGTCATAACTCCCATGACGACAGTGCCGGCGCCGTGGGTGCGCTGGTGTTGGCTGAGGTTGTCACTGCGGCTGAACTTCTTGCCACAGTCGGTGCACTCGAAAGGCTTGTCGTGGGTGTGGAGAGAGCGGTAGTGGCGCTTGAGGTGCTCCTGGCGGCGGAAGCGACGCGAGCAGAGGGTGCAGACGAAAGTCTTGGAAGGGTCCTCAGTCAGAGACTGCTTGCGACCACGGCGGGTGGTCGAGGAGGAGGAAGGGCCAGAGTGGGAGTGGTCATCGCCGGAGGCAGATGAGGAGGAAGAGGCAGCGGCGTTGCTGGGAACTTGCTGAGGCTGGCTGTTGGTCGAGTGTCCGGCAGCGGCATACTGAGGGACCTTGGCCGAGCGCTTGACGACGGTGCGGCGGGCGGGAGTCATGTCCATGACGGGGCCGGATGTGAAGGAGAACTCAGACTGGCAAGGGGAGAAAGTGAGGTCCTCGTCACTGAAGCTGGCGTCGGTGAAGCAGAAGCTGGAGTCGTTGGTGAAGTGTGAGTCAACGCGCTGGCGCTTGCTGGCGCAGAAGTCGTCCTCGACGTCGAGCTCGAAAAGAGGCTCAAATGTGGGGAAGCCGTGGTTGGCAGGCATCAACTCGGAAGCGTCGAAAGTCTTGGAGGGAGTGAAGTCGCCCTTGAGTATCAACTTGTGCTCCTCGTCATCGCCGGCGCACAGGGTGGGCAAACAGGGGAAAACGTTGCTGGGGACGGTCAGAGTGCGGGGATCGCAAACACTGGCGTCGCTGATGGCAGAGCGCGAGTTGGGCGATGGCGAGGGTGACAATGATGGGCATGCAGACGACGACAGCAGGTAGCTGCTGTTCTCGGTGAATGCCGAGGCGGGATGCAGGTACACNNTTCAGCTAGCGAGTCAGCCCCAGCTCTATGATTGGCCAATCCAGGAAATTGCCCTCTCAATCAAACACGTACCTGGAGTCAAAGGTGGAGATCCGGACTGAGTCCACTCACCAAACATGTCGTCCTCACAGTTCTGCTTGAGCCCGTCGAAAGGGTTCATGTGAAGCTCGTTGGCGGGTGTGGGCATCATGTGGTAGTTGGACTGAGGGCTGTCGGCAGAGTTGAAGCTGGTGGCAGACAGAGTGGGGGTGGCAGGGCCGTAGCAGTCAGAGTCGAACGACATGTTCATGTTGGGCATCTCTTGCTGGAGCATGATGGTAGGCTTCTGGTGCTGGAGGCGAGGCGAGGCAGCAGGAGTGAGCATAGCTTGCGAAATGTACTGAGGCTGTTGCTGGTAGAGAGGAGAGCTGCGCTGAGAGTACAGAACGTGAGATGAGACGGGTTGAGAAAAGTAATCCATGTTCTGAGGAGCCATGTGCGAGTTGTAGTGGATGTGCTGCTGCTTTTGAGGAGTGTAGTAATACATGGGAGACTGCATGGGAGTCTGGGTCATATATTGGTGTTCCATTGGGTCTGAACAATTTCGGTTAGCCTCGAGGGTCCAAGAGGCGGTGGTGGCTTCGACACGACGCTTACCCGATTGATTTGGGATATGCCGTGTGTAAATTGGGATTTGCGTTTGATTGCAAGAGACGAGTCGGTTTCAGAAGAGATATGAGAAGACGGATTGGGAGTGTGGTGGAGTGCTGGGCTATGTATAAGATGCTATCGAGTCCAAGTGACGTCTGATGAGCAGCGAAAAAGAATGGTACGTCCAACGGGTTGATGGCAAAAGCAATGCAATGAGGGAATGGCCGGGTCGAATGGTGTCTGAAACGACCTGATTATGGCTGGGGGAGCAGAGCATACAAGTACTGATCGTCCGAGTCGAAACTGGCCGCAGGGCCGGTGCAATCATGGCGGCGGATGGGGAAGCCTCGGACGGCTTGGTGGGTACCAACTGACAAAGGCCACGCCCAACTGCACCGGTCCAGCGAGTCTGTAGTGTGCACATACCTGCACCCTCTGGCACCCTCAAAACGCGTTACTCCCATGCCCCGTGCAGCGGTCGAAGGCGCCTGTCTGTGCCTTGATCCCGACGCTAACGCGCCAGCTTGCCGCTCGACGCCTTGTGGCGCGGCGTCGAGTCTATTTCCATCCGTCGTCGACTCTTATTTTTTCTGCTGGGAACGGCCGTCACGCCAGCTAACCTAAGGCTGTTGATTCTAACGACGACACTACTGCACCTCGAGTTGTCAATCGTGAAAGCCTCAGGACGAGTATCCACGTGCATCCGCCCGAGCTGCTTGCCCTGTAGACCATCTCACCTGCGTGTCCAGTGTCCAGAGCAGTGGCGCCCAATCCGGACGGTGCATTATCTTGCCCCGATCGACACTCGAATCCATAACAGTTATACATGGCTAGTCCGTCAACAAACACGTCCTTGTGAGCGAGTCCGCCTGACGGCTGACAATGCAAACCGTCTATCCACTCGTATCAAAGTCGTGCTGCTCGTCCGTTGCCCGTTGGTCAGCCTGGGTAGATACATGTCCGCTCACTGGTTATCGCGTCTCGTTCTCCCACAGCAAACGCTCACACATACAGACGGCTACGCGGCGGGATGCCCAGTTGCATCGCTGCTGGTGGCGTGCCATCCGTGAGCATATGATATCTCCGTCATGCAAATGATCATCCTACAATCGTCAATGACTCGGCCGTACGCAGATGTGAAATTACCGCTGTGCCAGATATCCAGCATGTATTGCAGGTACTGTACTGTACCTGCTTGGTCGTGCCCTCGGATTTGTCGGAGCTGACATGAAAACCAGCGCTGCTGTTTGAAAGTTGGGTGTGATTGTGATTAGTCTCTCGGCCAATCGCGCTGCCGTGCTGCGCATTTCTCGTGTGTCGTCCGACTTACGATGTCTTACTCGCCAATCAAAGTCATTATATCACAAATATAACATATAGTAGTACATCATATACCGGTTACCTGTCATCTTGGCTGCAAATGGCTCCAATGATCTCTCACGTGGTCGAGGTTACGTAGGTCACAACAATCAGAATACATTCTGAAACGTGATGATCGGATGTGGTGATGTCCCTGTTGCCACTGATTGGCTGTGTGCTTCCCCACGCTCACTTTCCGCCCTCGGGCCCAGTGTTTCAGACTGGCCCTCTGAAGCTGACCATTCTCGAAAGCTTTCACAGAGCACACCTCAATATGCATCACAATCAAAATGATAGCGTTTGTTTCCCAACTCCTTGGTTCAGTAAATGGAACAATTCTCCCAGACCTTCTTCATCCCTACAGACCCTGCTAAAGACCCTTCCAACGTCGATCGGTAATTTCTGCAGACCCTTGTGCATGTGAGTGTGTGTGCGTGTGTGTGTGCACCGCTCGGTTCTCTCTGCCCTGTGGAAATGATCCCACACACGCCAACGGCATGCCAGGCACGAGTAGGCTCGAGTAGGATTCGCCTCATTGACTTCTCAACAACACTTCTCGGTCACTTTCCCAAATCGCTCGCAGTGCTCGGTATCTCTCCCATTGACTTTTTCGTCGAACTCCTGTTTCGCTCAAGTCGCGTGTTCGCATGCGGGCAGACTCAGATCTGCGGCAAAAGCTTCCACATCCTAACCATGGTGTTTGTGGGAACGGAGCAACGCCTCCCGAGGGCCTCCAAGCCATCGCCGATGGGCAAGATTAAGCTATAGACGCTATTCCCCTCATACAACTATCGTTACCTCGGGCTAATTCTCAGCTGAGCAGGATAAATCGATCTTCAAGGAAGCTTGTGGTGCATAATTATCCTGACTCCGCAGCAGATTAAGACAATCGACAGGCATAACCGCCAGGAACGGGTTCACAACTGGGGATTGACTCAGTCTGTGGTTTTAGCACGTCTCTAATCGGCGGTACGGCAGTGATCTGATCTTCACAGCGCTCCGACCCCTCTACGTCATTGGGAGTCTGGGATTGTGTGAGATTTGTGTGGCTCATGCAGGTACGCGACGCAGGAACTCAGGGTTGCGACTGCTCGTCTATTCTGCCTGTGTAAGGCTGTTCTCGCTTCTTTCTCCAGATTGTTTGACAAGAGGCACAAAACTTTCGCTACAGTACCGAATCCGATCTGGCAGCGGCAATTTCTCTTTCGGAATCACTCCCTGTGCGACACAGAGCCATTTGTGGCTTCAATTGAGGTCTAGTGCTCTCTTCTGATGATCGCCCCACAAGAGGCCGGGGAATAGGCTTAGTTTTCTTCTAGCCCCATCATTCCCGGCGACGAACTCCCCGACCGCGTCGTCTTGGTCAACTTTGTCAAGTCGCCGGACCTTCGACCTGCATGGCATCGTTTTAAGCCACACGACGTGGGTGCGAAATCACGTGAGAAGGCGTGAGGGCGGCGTGCTCGTGCAGGCTCCCCAAGCCAGATCGCCAAGCAGTCCAATGTCTTATCCCTTATCGCGGGACAGCGGGCGCTGCCTCTTGCCGCACCACGCTTCCATGCATTCGCACCCCCTTTGACATGAACAGTGACGGCTCCGCTTCGACAGGAGACACTTTGCTAGCGCCATGTAAGGTCACTTGCGCAAGGCCAAACTACCCAGATCCGGGCTCCTGTCTACACCTGCCTGCTCTGAAAAAAGACGGTCCCCACTCGATACGCTTAACATTCTCGGAAGCAAGTACCAACACCTGGCTTTTGTGCTCATGCAGCCTTATCCTCCTGCCTTGTAAGGCATGACAGGTCCTGCCACCAAAGGTCCACGGAGGCTTGGTACAGGCATGATTATTCAAATCGTTCAGACTTATCCTCTCAACCGATTTGTGGTCTCCAATCCAAGCCACCAGACGTTATACTCCCATCCCCATACCTCTCCCTATACCAAGGTCATTATGCCGAGGCTTGGACGTTCTGTCTATACCTGCCAAATTTCAATCCAGGGGCAAGAGTTTATCGTCGTCAACGCTTCTCATCTCGCTCATACTGGTGTTGCATGGATATCACGAGAGTGTGTTTCCATAATCCTTCCCAACAAGTGGCTCAATCAACAGAGTAAACTTATGCGAAGAGAGGGGTTGTGTTTCCACAATGATCCCAATCATCTCAAAGTCTATACACCAATGTACATGCAGAAGTACATCTGACTGCGAAAGCGAAAGCGATCATGGCCGACGATCTACATGGTTCTATCAATCCAGTCCCAGATCTTGGCAAAGTATTGCTCGTCAACAGGACTGACGTCTCTCAAAACCGCAACTGCATCTTTGGTTCTCGCCATGTCAAACGGCAAGACGGTCGGTGCCGAACTTGTGTCTTCCGCTTTGTGCTCAGGGGCATAAGCCCTCTTCCAATGGTCTAGAAGTTTATATGCGGGGTGATCGGCGCCGTCTCTTTCCTGCATATCTTCGAGTCGCGCTACCCACTTGGGCGGGTCCACAATGTCAAAGGCACATCGTTTCTTTAGCCATTGCAACATTGTGGGCCATGTAGGACGACGGTGCTCGTTTAGCACATGCAGGACATGCGCGCCGTCTCCGCTCCCGTCCACGCTTGCTATTCCTTGCATCAAGGCCGTGGCAGCAAGATCCACGGGCAGCCAGTCCAGTGTTTCCTGATCGAGATTCGGCAATGCGCGGGATATTTTGACACTGCTCAGCATCATCGGCCAGGCCTCACTGATATTCCATATGCCGCGTTGGGTGTCCCCTGAAAGTTGGCCGACTCTGAATATGGCAACGCGACCCTGGAGCTGCGAGCGCTCGTTCGCTCTGCTGCATATCTGCTCGGCGACCCACTTGCTGCGGGAATATCCCAGAGTGCTGGCTGCTTCTGGATCGTTGATGATTCTTTCAGGGATGGAGGTGCCTTTGCTGTACGCCATGACACTTGCTACGCTCGAGCAGTATGCAAATCTGGCTGCCTCAGATCTGCCGGACCTCAATGCAAGATTGATGAGATTTGTCACACCTACATTGTAAACCGCGGTCAGCAGATGGTCTGTTTTGCTATTCTTGTGGTGATGCAGCCCTGCAGCGAATTCATCTAATTGCAATATACAGAACCTGGTTTCTGGGTGCATAGAGTGCAAGAATAGCACACCATGCACCCTATGACCAGGTCTTCTGATACAGCGGTGAATGCCCCAAGCGGGCTGGTCACACACTCATGCATGTGTAGGATTGGGGGCATGACTTACTCGCAATGTTGTCCTTTGCAAAGCTGCGTAAACGCATGCGAAAATTGACACTCCATGCCACGTGCATAACAATCGAAACCTCTTGTGCAATCCTTTCGTAATCTCCACTGGAGAGGCCCAGGTGATCATCTCCTAGTGACGTTTGAAGGACTTCGACCTTCTCGTCACCATTTTCCAAGCCGCCGAGGCCGCGCTGTTTGAGAGCCTTGTCGACCCGCTCAATTGAAGCGTGCAATTCAGCTCCTCGGACGAGGCAGTAGACCTTTTTGACGGAATCGAGTTGACGGTAGTAGTTCAGGAGATGAGCCCCTAGAGCTCCCGTTGCACCCGTCAGGACGATAACATCTCCTTTGTCGTTTTCGCCCTGACCCTGCCCGTTTGTGGACGACGATGGGCTTCTGTTATCAAAGTTGGAATACTGGTCGACGAGCTGGAGCATGAGCGTGCGTTCATCCTCTTCGTCGGTAAGCTCTTCACCATGACGCTGCTTGACGACATACTCTGTCAATCTCTTGACCGTTCCGCAGTCCTCTACCACGTTGAGCGGCAACTGTTTGGTGGATTGTGGGAGGAGTTGTCGAAGGCCATATCTTATCTGCATACCGGCGACCGAGTCAACGCCATAAGAGAACAGGTCTGTGTTATCTTCCAGTTTCGCCTTCTTCGGGACGATGGACTCTATCATCTCAATGATGACATGGGAAACCTTCTCGTCAGGCACGTCACCGACGTTGAAGGAACCCATGTTGGTGTATGCCTTGTCGATGTCTTGAGCGAAGCGGGCCTCGACCACGCTTCTTTGAAGGGTACCTTTACTGCTCTTCTCTAGTGGTCGATCAAGCACTGCCATGGCAACCAGCATCTTCTTAGGTATGCGAGCGTGATCCTGACTTTCCGAGTTGAGTTTCTCGATGGCTGGCCAGATCTTCTGTACAAGGTCATGGTCTGGAATATCTCGTGCCGTCTCCGAACGGAACAGCAAGGCGCCAGGGAACGGTTGTGCGTTTCCAAAGATCAGAACATCGTCCAGAAGATCTGCGGTTGCAATTGCGCCCTCCAGTGGAGCTGGATCAAACTTCTTGCCAGTGATCAGCGTAAGTTGAGAGTCAGCACGCGAGTGGTATCTCCAGGCATTTGAAATAAGGTCATGAGGTGCGAAGAGATCGGCCGTAGCAAAGGATCCATCATCGCGAGTTTGCTTGGCCTAGATGTATCACGTCAATTGATGTTTGGTGTCAGCAGTTGGGAGAGACTTTACCATGTGCGGCCAGCCTGGCTTGATCACCAGTTCAACGAGACCATCCTCATTCTTCTCATACGTAAGATATTCGGCTCCTTGGTTGCTGCGGAGATACTGCCACTCCCTGTCTTTGGCGTAGTCACGGTGAGATGACATGAGGAAACCACACTCTGCACTGCCAAATCTCGAGATAAGATTGATTCCTTTGCCAACCATGCGATCTCCCACTTCTGCTGGCAAAGCAGCACCACCAACGCCAACGATATCCATGTTTCGAAGATACTCAAAGCCTTGCTCGTCTGCCTCCATCATCTGAAGTACGTATGGTACGGAGGCAAAATACTTCACAGGAGGAAGGCCTTGCTCTACGCCCTTTTCTGCTGCACTCAAGCACTTGATAACGTTTGCTGCTGTGATTGGTATACCTTTGCCAGGGAACAGCCAGATGAGCGCACCACTCGTCCATGCTCTGAATGCATCAGCTACACCACCGTGGTATAGCGGGGTGGTCGTGAACGTTGCGCTTTGCTTTCCATCGGGAAACGAAGGAAGAACACCAGCACCTGCGCGGTGTGTTTGCGGAATTGGCTTGGGTACGCCGGAAGAGGTTCCAGAGGTATGATGGAGGTATGCAACATCTGTCTCTTTGACATCTGGGAAAGTTGTGGATCCGGTTGCTTCCTGTGCCATGATGTCTGATAGAGACTGATCCTTGGAAAATGGCAACTCGATAGCATTGAGCTTCTCACCATTATCCTGGGCGATGTTTGCAGCTTCTCCAGACTGATCGGCATAAGTCTCGTCGTGGAATATGACAGTAGTCTGACAAGCCTTGCACAGGTGTGCGATAGCTGCTGGTTGACATTGTGGTGCAATCAGGAGGACAGGGTGTCCTAATCGCATGAGAGCAAGCCACGTAAACAGAAACTCCGGAGTGCTTGGACAAATCAATGCGACCGTATCCGAGTTGCACAGAAGATCTCCATGTGTCTTTTGCAACAAAGCTGCGACCTTTCTAGAGCCATCTTGCAGATCCGAGAAGGTCCATGTTTTGCTGTTCCACTGAGAGTTCGAGTTGGAGGGAATGGCAAAACCGACAGCAGGTTGGGACGGTATGGCTTCTGCCTGAGAATCAATGAAGTGATTGATATTCTTGAAGTTGGAGTTGGTCAGGCCCAAGGATTGCGCCTGCCCTAAAGTGCACGTAAAGTACGTGGCAGCCATGTCTGTTTCGTGTCACCAGCGGGATGGTCGATAGTCTCGTCAAATAGAGGAACGTCAGAACAGAAAATGGTGCAAAGCAGATTGTAACAAGAAAAGTTATCCTAGCAAATCACCAAATACACGCCATGATCTCACGATACGTCGCAAAGAACGCGTTGAGGATGTTGTAATCCACTAGGAGCGCGTCATGAAGTCATCAGTTTGGAGAGACACCCGGCCAAGAATCGTAAAGAGCCGCAGTTTGGCTGACATCTTAACTCTGCAACACATCCACCTCCACAAATATACATGGACACACTCTTGTTTCTGGTCGTACGACGCACACAGACAGCATTCAGCTCTTGGTAAATCTCTGCAGGCGCCGCAAGGCCTTTGCGGAAGCCTTGCCGCCGCCACAACTCGTGGGGTTGAAGAGCCAAATGCGACGACAAGCAGTATTTGTTCTGTGTAGAGAGTGGTTGGTATTAATGGTGGTGGCAGAGCAATATCAGTCAACATGAATTCGTTATCAATTTCGTGCTCAGTCTAGCTCATTCGCGAGTCTATGAACCACCTGCCTTTGGTGGTTGAGCTGATGCTGCACATTTTGAGACAGGGTTGTACCCTTTACAATAACCAATATTGACCACGACAACGTAGAAGGTCCGCGAAGTGCATTGGTGACTTATTGCTTATATGAATCGTATAGTAACACACTCCGGCTGTCTTGCAATCTGGTTCAATGCGATCTAGTGGCACTGGCGATCTGTAATGTTGAAAATCAATTTATGTCTAGCTTCTATCGAAAAGATAGTGTTGACTGCACGTGCGAGAAGCCGTCGTTGCCACAAGCACACAATATAATTGCGGTAGAGGTATACATTCTCCATTGAGTCCAAGCCCAGACAGTAGAACAAATCTAGAATATAGCATTATCATCGAGACTACCGAAGGCATTCCATCGCCGTAAGATTGATGAGCTGGTGATGTGAAAGTTCATATCGTATCTGATCTCAGGAACAAGCACGTACGGCCACAGTCAGCTGAAAACTGGGCATCCCGTCCGCTCTGCCATACATAAGCAGTTGAACGGCAGATTAGTACTACGGTGGGTGACCACGTGGGAATCCCTGCTGCTGTACGTTTTGATGAGATCTTCGTTTTTTTTTTTGCACGCGTCTGTTCTCTTGCAAACATCAAAGTTCGCTCTTTCATGTGCGATAATTTTGCTTCTCTAGCTGTGATGGAAGAGTGACATCTTGTGTTCGCGTGAAGACGCTGCATTGTCGCATCGCACGCACTTGCCATCCACACTTCAGCAACAAAAATTCCACTGCCTTACGATGATCCAATTCAGGTGTCAATATCCGTGTGTTTTTGTGAGCATATGACTATAATTTCTGTCAAGCACATTCTCTATAATGTAAAACACGTCTCTTATAGAGATTACTGCCAACCATGTTTGCAACGCCAACCCAGACCTGAACCTCGACTCCACCCAACACCAGTCGACTTGACCAGTGAACTTAGCATCAAAGTCATTCAAAGATCTTTCCGAGATCTTATGCTCAAAACTCCCCCAAATGTTCGATCTCTCCTCAAGCCATGAGCTGCTCAAAGTCATCCCAATTCACAGCATAGTTGTAGTACTCTTCCATGATCTTCACACAGATACCTCCAGCTCCAGTCTCAATCATGCCTTCCAACGCACCCACAGCTTCAAGGAAGACTTTACTTCTCGCCTCCACACCCTCATCCTTGCCAACCTTGTCTGCAGAAAAAGCACACATGAACAGATAGCCTACCACAAATGGCAATTGGTTCTCACGCTCGAGGTATGCAGGGCCAAAGATTTGGCGCATGGAGTCTGCGCAAGCGTCTTTAACACTGCGGAGGAGCATCCAGCAGAAACAGTGCAGGCGGAAGTAGTCAAAGGTCAGATTCATGCCATCTGAGTGGAGGAAGTTGGCTAGGCCTTCGAGGAAGATTCCGGCATTCAATTTGGTCGTGGTATTGAACTTTTGAGTGACCTGTGATTTGAAGAGGAAGCAGTCAGCATCATACCATCTCTTGACACCAGCTGTAACCAGATTACGTACCTGAGTCGCAGTCTCTGCGGTCGTGGGCTTGCGCTCGAGAGAAAAGTTCTCAGGGTCGCTGAACTGGCTCTCGATGTGTTTCTCAACAGCATCCAAATCGGTGGAGAGTGATTTTTCGTTATAGGGGTAGCGCTTAGCAAACAGTTGTGCTATCTCGAACGAGTCTTCCATACCACGAGGGCCCTTTAGCGAGGTCTTGGGAGCAGATTGTCTTGAGTTCTTGGCCAGAGAAGTGACCGAATAGCCCATACAGAGGGTGAATCTTTTGAGATAGTCTGAGCGTCAGCTGGTTAGCATAATGTTACAGGACACTGCGAGGTGAGAGTATTATATACACACCTTCAGGTTTCTTTGGTCGGGCACCAATGAACATCTTGTCTTCGCCTTGGAGCAGCAGTGCCATCTCCATGTCTCTCCAGATACTCTTCAAAAGCTTCTCTTGACGAGCAGTGTTGTATAGATGAGCTGCAGCAGGCTCTTTCTCAAACTCAAAGCTAAGACTGCACTCTCGAGCTCGCTTCTGCACGCTGACCAGTTCTTTCTCCAGATCTTCGTTCTCATCTTCATTCATATATGTCTTCAACGCAGAAAAGTTGGGGAACTTAGCGATTGGTATGAACGTGTCGAGGAGTATTTCGAGATGCGGTTTTATCAAGACTATGGCTTGTCGAATGACGACTTCCTCGATATCGGTCGGCAGTGTTTCATGGAAGTCAGGAGGCAACAGATTGGCATCTACCTCCAGGTATCGCAGCTTCTTGAAAGNATTCAAATTCAGAGAACTCAGAATCACGTGCTCAGGCATCATCAGAGTCAGACGTTCCAGCGTGCCTGTCACGTTCTGGAGAGCATCTGAGAGCCCGCTACCGAGAATGGTAGGCGGAAGCTCTTCATCGATGTAGGCAAAACTGGAGTTGATCTCGAGTGATTGCAGTCTCGTGCATCTCTTCAAGATAAGCTCATAGCTTCCAGACATCTGGCAGTGTTCGAGTCGCAGATGAAGAAGAGAAGTGAACGTGACTTTCGATTGAAATGANNGTGGAAGTCACGATAGCCCTCGAGTCCTCTTGCACTGAATGACGTGAGGGAGGGTAGCGAAAGNAAGACTCTCAAGGTTGTTGGAATCACCTAGTGATTCCACACTCAGTGACTCAAGAGATGGGAGGATCAAAGGGAGCTGCTGCGATCTTGATGCTGATTCGACCTCATATTTGAATAGCCTTCCATGTGAAGATTCGATGAGCCAAGAGTTGGGACCGGGCTCGAGATTGACGTTGCATAGCGTCTGCACAAAATCACCTAGGTTTTTGTNTTCGAAACGTGCTGATCGCACACTTGGTAACAGTGTCAATAGAAGTGCGATTTCTGCCGATTCATTGCCATCTTTGAGCCGTTGCTTCCATAAGCCTCTGAATCCAGGAAATAGACGCTCGGAACCCTGGAAGGCCTTGAGTGCATCCAGGAATGCACCAGAAGTTGTCTCGTGTAGAGGTAGTTTGTCATAAAGCTTGCAGAAGCATTTTGGGAGGGTGTTGGTCTGGTTGAAAGAGCCAATACGTAGTTGTTTGATCATGACGGCGAGGTCAGGACGACGGATCAAAGTAAGTATGAAGTTTTCGAGCCTTGTCTCCTTTCGAGTGATACGGAAGGTAATTTCATCGCGTTGATAGTACTTGTGCAGCCATTCGGAATCGAAGGTCAGAAGTCGGTGTTGGGCGCAAGGTCTGCTGTACTTGACGAAGCTGCCATATAGCCGTGGTTGGAAGATGGCGCGGAGTTGCTTGCATACAAGACATAGACTGACAATGGTCTGCTGAATGAATCTTTCGGGTTCGTCGACCTTCTCAACCTCATTTGCACATACGTCCGCTAGAAGATTGAGATAATTGGCAACCTCAAGCCAGATCTCGTTTGGGAAGTGAGTCATAACAGGCTCATCCAGATGGTCCAATCGATGCAAAAGCTGTGTAAAGGCCTATTGAATTCTGTGGTTGTCTCGATTGAGTAGGAGATGAGGGGCTGATGAACGTGCTGTTGGAAAGATCGCTGCGTTGCGCGTTGCGAGACGTGAAGTGGTGAAAGTGAAAGTGATCTTGTTTGTTGCGGGAAGATAGTGTTTCACGATTCAGAAAAACAGGGAAGGCACAACAGAGCCTTCACTGCCGTCTTGTAGAAACTGGGTAGGTGTGATGATGGAAGAGGAAGAAGTTGAGCTCGACGAAGAATTCACACGACGCAGCAAATTGAGTTGTTGGGCCCAAAGACAGAACTTGAACAAGGAAGGCACCACCCTCTGCACGTCAAAAGTTCATCATTCAAGCAAATCACAAGAATACACGATACCTTTTAGAGATAACGCAATGCCCACGGGGAGACCTCACAGCAGTTCTCTACAGAAATCTCTGGTGTAAAAGCCATCGTGCATGTTTATAGATTGAGCTATTGCCCTCTGTCGCCGCCAGACGGTTATTGAATAGATCGTTGCTCACTCGGTGTTCTCGAAGGAGTATGGTCAAGTGGTCAACGCTCGCTCTATTGCACGAGGATGGCCAGGATGCTATGCTGCCAGCGCATACCTGTCGTCAGCAACGTAGTGGTTAGCAACATGAGCCTGAACTTCCAGAGACTCAATAAGTGGAATTTGAACCCGTGCAGGTCGAGATAGCACGCTATAGCCCCTTGTTGGCGAAAAAGGCCAGAGAGAAGCACATCTGGCTGGAATTGCCCAACAAAAGGACCAAGGAGAACTGGCTAGCGGTCAGCATATGTCGCAAATACATGCTGAACTATGCTCCCCTAACAGCATAACAATGGCATGTCACAGTCTTGTAGTTGAATGGCAGACTGTTCTTCTTGACAACAGTCTACCTGGGCCAAACAATCTTTGCTTCTAGCGTTTGGTTTAACTAGAAAGATGGCAATTCTAGCATCGGAGAATCCGGAAGAAGCTTGTCAGCAGAGACATACAGCATGCTTGTATTCTCGTCATTTCTCCTTGCCGCAATCAATTGTTCATCTGTCCTCGACCATATTCACCTTTGCTCGCATGCGCTAAAGTTTGCTAGAAAGCAGACAGCACATACGGCTATAGTCCACAAGAGAGCGCAGCTGTACACGAGCTAGATCTATATGACAGGGAGAGAGGTATATGCCAGCTATATGTAACACATCTTGGATGATGACGGCCTGCTACAAAGTATCGAAATGTACGTCAGCAGTGGTTTACGACTTAGTTGAAAGATGTCCCGCTCATCATAGTCCAACAAGATTGAGGCTTCCGAGTAGATCGTGAGCAGAGCACAGGAGAAAGAGCATTGCAAGGCCTTAAATGAACATGGACAGGGCAGACTGAGGTAGCAAATGTGCTTGTGGTAATTATGGTGTGGTAAAGCGCACTCACGCCTTACATCTTCTTGACCTTCTGCGCTTCAGCTTGGCTGTCCCACCGTTGATGTGTAACATGAGTAAAGATCTTAGCTATCGGGGCACGAGGGAAAGGTAAAGGATATAAGTCGAACGATAAGACCAGGAAGTCTTGGCAATTTGTTGCCCCTTTGTTGTGAGCCTCCTACTAGCAGAACCCTCCGCTTGCGGAGGGTTCAGACTTGCGGTCGACAAGTAACTTTTTTTTTCTCCCATGCAACTTGCTTCATAGTTAACAATACTAGTTCGGGGATGGATACCCGACTAGGATTGTTTGGCATAAATGCCAATCTTGTACTTACTTATGTGGTGTGCTTTCCATAATGTCGTTCCCACCAATGCTTCTCGCATGCTCTCTACAGCTCAAAACACGAGTGCATCACTGAAGCACCTTACCAACCGCCCACTCCTTGCCCTCAAGCTGGATGGGCTTGTCTCACTGTAGTCGTGATGCGTGACTGAGGTTGTTTGACATGAGTTTTCATTTTTTATGTGCCCATGCGGTGCGCTTTCGTTATGTCATTCCCACTCCCTCTCTTTTATCAATCAATGCTTCTCGCATGCTCTCTACAGCTCAAAACACGAGTGCATCACTTAAACACCTTACCATCCGCCCACTCCTTGCCCTCAGGCTGGATGGGTTCATCCCAGGCCCACATGGACTCGACAAACTTCTTGTCCTCGGGGTTCTTGGGGTCAAGCTTGGTGAACTCGTACGACTCGACGTCAGGGGCGACGTCGAAGGCGGGGAGAGCCTCCTGGCCACGGACGAGGAAAGCACCGCGAACGATCGAGTCGTTGGAGGTACCGTAGACGGAAGCGGCACCGAAGATGTACTTGCGGGAGCCCTCGAGACGGGTGAAGAAGCCGCCGATGAGGTTGGAGGTCATGAAGGTCATGGTGAGCTCATCGTTGTACTTGTAGTCCATTCTCCAGAGGGAGTACTCCTCGAAGTTGACGTTCTCCCAGAACCAGGGAAGGGCGACCTCGCGGGTCTCCTCGTTGGAGTACTTGCGCTTGAGCTCGTCAAGAACAAAGGTGGGGCGGCCGAGGGCCTCGATGGGGTGCTTGGCCTTGGGGGCGGCAGGGGCCTCCTCCTCGTCGTCAGCGGCAGCCTTGGGCTTGGGGGCCTCCTTGGGCTTCTCGGCCTTGGGGGCAGCCTCCTTCTTGGGGGCCTGGTTGGGCATGGCCTTCTCGATGAACTCGAGCTTCTCGGCAACGTCAGAGTAGACGGACTGGTTGGTGACAGTCTCGAACCAGCGGGTGACGTTGGGGTTGTTGCTGCGCCACTCCTTGTCGAAGAAGTACTGGAAGCCACGGGAGATGATGCCGGCGGCGAAGAGGTCGGCAAGAGTGAGGCGCTCACCAACGAGGTAGGTGTTGACGAGGAAGTGGTCCTCGAGGGCACCGACGGCCTTGGCGGTGGCCTTCTGGGCGTCCTCGACGGACTTCTTGTTGTAGGGGTCACGGCCAATCAAGGGGCGGAACCAGCCACCGAGGGCGGTGAGGACCTCAGAGTTGGCAAAGGACATCCATCTGAGGATGGAGGCGTAGTCCTGCTTGGTCTTGCCGAGGAGGGTGGTCTTCTCGTTCTGGGAGGTGACNNTGTATGGCGGGTGCGGTCAGCGAGCTGCCGCAGCTAGAGTGGGCTTGCAGAAAAGTGCAGGAGTGAGGGGTACAGGTGCATTCAGATCAAAAATAATTCTCAACAATAGTCTTCAGACAGGGATAACTGTTTGATAATATGTCTCATCATTGCAGGGGAGGTGGGCTGGGTAGAGTTCGGGGCGATTGGGAAACGTACGGTAGATGGCAATGGCGATGCACTCGGTGAGGACGTAGCCGTCGGCGCCCTCGAAGGTGGGGACCTTGCCGAGCTTGTTGAGCTTGAGGTACTCAGTCTCGACACCCTTGGCAGGCTCGGTGTGAACAATGTCAAGGTTGAGGCTGTTGGCCTTTGCGACGGCCAGCAGGGCGGTGGTACGGGGGTTACCNNCTGCGGTGCCGTGTTAGCTGTGCTGTGCTGTAGACATTGACAGTGCGACAGCTGCGAGAGCTCGCAACAAACATACCGGGTAGGTGTAGAGCTTTCCGAAAGAAGACATTGTGAGGGGTATGTGCAACTGATGAAGAGGAAGCTACACAGAGGGGATGGATGGACGAGGTGGTGAAAAAGAAGAGCGGCGGCGTTGAGCTTTGGCCGCCCCGTCCAATTTTTAGTCGGACTATCCTCGGCTGTTTCCGCCGGCGAGCCCTCTCGTACAGCGAACTTCCTGCCCGCGCCAGCGACAGCGAGGTCCATCCACGTCTGCCAGTCATGGAGCTCGGTGCACTGCGGTCAGGCCTGCGCGCCGCCATCGCCTCATTCCGCCAACCCGCCACAAGGAGGTTCCCCATCTCACAACCACAATTCCGCCGTCTGGCCTCGACCACCTTAGACACACCACTGGGCGACATCCGCGCTGCCCCTCCGATCGATTTCGGCTCCAACAACAATGCCGCCGCTGCCGAAGAGAAGGCCGAAGATGACGACCTCGAGGGTGGCCGCAGCATCGCTGCCTACGCCGCCATGATGGACCGTCTGCGCATTGTCCCCGCTTCGCCCTCATACTTTACTGGCAAGCCCGACTTCACCGACGACCTGCTGAATCTCGAGAACCTGCTGCGCAAGTACCAGACACTGCCCGTCCTGCCTACTGGACATGCNCCCCGCGTTGCATGGAAGACTCTGGCCCAGTACAAGGTCAACAGCAACGAGCCCGTCAAGGCCGCTCGTTACACAAAGATTCTGCAGGTCCTGCAACGATTGAACTACATCCACCCCAACCTCATGCCCGACGACGTCGCAACCGCCCTCCGACGCTACATGCGTGATGTTCAGCCCTTCCACAACCAGCCCAAGCCTGGTGTTGTCGACGAGTACGGCCGTGCTAGAGGCGTTGGCAGGAGAAAGAGCAGTAACGCTGTTGCACTCCTGGTTGAAGGCGAGGGTGAGGTCATGATCAACGGCAAGCCCTTGACTCAGGCCTTTGGTCGTCTACACGACCGTGAGAGCGCTCTCTGGGCCCTCAAGGTCACGGAGCGCATGGACAAGTACAACGTCTGGTGCGTTGCGAGAGGAGGCGGTACCACCGGCCAAGCTGATGCTATTGCCCTGGCCGTGTCCAAGGCTCTGATGGTTCATGAGCCGTTACTCAAGCCTGCTTTGAGGAGAGGTATGTTGAACTTGAGATTCGTATCGATATGCAAGAACGGCGCTGACTTTACTTTACANGCTGGTGTCGTCACAAGAGACCCCCGTCGTGTCGAGAGAAAGAAGCCCGGAAAGCTCAAGGCCCGCAAGATGCCTGCCTGGGTCAAGCGTTGATCGTTGTACTACTATTACATTTCCCATATACACTCTGTATATCTGTACAAAATTCACCATGTTCCATTTCAAAAGTATCTTTTTCAAGCCTTGCGCTGGGGTCTCTGCTTTTGCGCCTGCTCACACAATTGCCTCTTGGGCAACCTCTCCAGCCACCCCTCTTCTCTCTTGACCTTTCCGACCTCGAAATAGTTCTTTCCGGCCTGGCCCTTGAACATGCGACTCCAGCCCTCGATAGTGTCATGCACCCTCTTCTTGGCCAATCTCGTGTCTCTTTCCCTTCTCTTCTTGAACTCGGCTCTCGAAGGAGTATCATCGTCCACAGGGACGTACGTCAATTCTGCACCTCTGATGTCAGGCGTCAAGTCCTCTTGGAAGCAACCAGTAATGAAAGCGCGGGTTGCATCACGGCCGGCGAAAAAGTTGTAACTTCCTCCTGGGCCATAGACCTGGCGGCCAGCAGTGACATCGTAGATTGTGCCATTGAGAGCAATGTATACTGGCTTGCTTGAATCGCTACCATCATAGGCTTTCAGTTCCTCATCGGTGAGGTAGACTGGTCCTCTCTGTTTGTTCTCCGTCAGTGGCTTGTTTCTTGGAGGGGTAGTGGGGTGAAGATATACCAGCCAAGAAGCCACCATGGCAGGCTTCGAGTACCAGGGTCGCCAACCCCATGTCAGGGATGAGGAAGTGACAAAGTAACTCAATGCGCAGTTGAGCAAGAGTATGCCACCCAGAATGCGAAGCACATCTGTAAAGCTGAAGCCTGAGCTCTTCTTGTTTGGTTTGGTGGTATTCGTGCTCGAGGGTTCCTTGGGCGCGACCGTGGGCTCTGCCGCTTTGGTGCGTTGTCGTACTTCTGCCATGACTGTGTTGTTGGAAAGACAGAAAGTGCAGAGACGAAGGAGTGTGAGACTCGATCGACGGAGGGGAGAGAGACACAATAATGCCAAGGCCGAGTTGCTTTCGGCTGTCTTTGCGCCGATGGCCATCGCTCGTCATCAAACGTCTATCTCCAAACTCTATTCTCCTCGACATCCATTGCTCAGATACAACATGCGTTTACAGATGTCACAGTAGAAAAGTACGATGTGCCTGAAACTTGCTCATTCATACTAAATCATCAAAATACTTCTAGTGCATCAACATTACCAAGCGAGTATCATCCGCGAACCGCTTTTAGCAGAAGGTAAAACAAGAGCAAGCATCCAGCACCCCCAACCAGCAACAAACAGAACATGATGAACATCAAAACATCAAGATCGTGACCAGGCAAGGTCGTTGGCGAAATCGTTGGCCCTGCATTCCTCATCTTGCAACCCCGACAACGTCCATGACTCCTTACAGCCCTTCTCGGATACCCAGCAGCATGAGCACACCACTGCTCCACCCTAACACTCGCAAACAAATCAGCCCTAGGTATCGTCCTTCCGAAGCTCTGGATTCTTTCCCATTGGTTGAAGACGTGACCATTTTGAAATGCTTCCATTTCGGATCTGGGCAGTGAGTATGGTTTGCCGTTGTCCCAGATGATATCATTGATCCTCTCGTGAACAAGAACAATGCGCAACTTGCAGAGTTGATAGTATTCGTTTGTGATCTGCAGGCGAGTGCGAAGCAATGCTGGCAACCCCGACTCGCAAATTTCGTATTCTTCATCCAGGACAAAATTGTAGATGATCAAACGCAACTCGAGTGGAAGAGAAAAGAATCCTTTGGTTGCAATCCGGAAAGGTTTGATGAGCTTGTAGCCATGGTATGCTGGATGGTTGACTGCCATCTTAATGATAGATTCGATCCTGCTCCAACGAGACCTGCAGATCCTTGAGGAGTCTTTCCACGTTCTGCGGCTTGCGAGCTGGTACGAAGGAGGCTGATGTAAAGACTGCTGCTTCGGGGTTCAGCTTTGGTGCAGAGAGTGTAGGAGCTCTTGGAGCAAAGACTGCAGCCTTGGGGTTGAGGGAAGTGGATGATGGCATGCTTGAGTGTGAGTCTTGCAAGTATGAGGGGTTGAAAGGGCACTACGCGAGAACTGGATGACAAGGAACAAAACAAGACCAGAAGAAGGAGAGACGTCTGTAAGAAGAAAGACAAGACTTGCATGGAGAATTTCAGAACGATGAATGTTGACGATTTATTTGTGCGAGCAAGTATCTGTATATGCGTTAGTTTACTGTGCTGGTAGCGAATGAAGATAATCCTGCTCAATCCATGAGATCACACGTGCTGCCATGCTGAGCCTCCCAGAGTGCTAGACTTTATTCCGACTGCATTTAGTTCTGCAACGCGTTGAACATCGTACCGTCTATCGAGGTTCGCTGTCACCTAGGTTCTCCCAGGTATGTTCTAGCTTTGAGATCAATGGTGATACCCAACACTTGAATCATCGCTTCGTATTGCCTGAGACAAGCACTGTGTGTCGCAGCCTTGCACAGTGAATTATCGTTCTCATCTATTTTACGTTCTTCGTCCATGAGTATGTTCTGTCGTTCCACGATGGAGTTCATCCGGCGCAAGTCTGTTTCGATGAGCATAGCTGAAGATGGCGTTGGTGTTGCCGAAACATCTCAGTCTTCCATGAAGAGTAACGAAGATTGTTGTTTTGTCTTCCGGGCTCCTTCCTTTGTTGTTCTGGTTCAGGGATGCATGCACTTCTGAGACCTTGCCGCTGTGACTGAGAGCAATATGTGAAAGTACTTTGCGTTCTCAGAGCTGAGCGCGGTGAGATACTGTAAAGCAGTAGACGTACTGCTCGTAAGTCACGAGGTTCGCCACATGCATAAATCAAGCAGATCACTTCGAAGAGAAGAAAAGCTACCAGCTCGAATCGTGTTTGCCTCACCTTTTCGTTTGTAAGGGTTTGTCACACCAAGACCATTCTGAGGTCTCTTCGAAAAGAGTTGACCGAGAATTGGCTGTCGATGAAGGGTGCCTGGTCATTCGAATGTTGTGTATGCTTGTACCTCCAACATGACTCTGGATCGTCGTTCAATGTGGCAGCAAGGCCCATGTCAGGATTTTGACGAATGCCTGATGAAGGAGAGTGAGATTGAAGACCAACTGCGGTCTGGATGATCGGCGAGGTGTTTACCGAAAGAGTGACCACGATGGCCCAAGTCCGACGGGTAAGCACTAACAATGCAGTCGCCCTTGTCCACCGACTTGGAATCCTCATCGCATAGAAATATCATTGGCCAGGTTGGGCCTTCCTTTTCTTCATGTTGTTGTGTTATAGCGACTGTGTCGGTAACAGTACAACACCAGGCCAGTGCCTTGACTCTTGAGCCGCGACAACAATTTCGTTGTGCACACCCCCAGCTCCCCCCGAACAACGAATAATCACAAAGAGGTTTTTCGACCGTAAGATTTATCCCAGAGATCAATGCGGTGGAAAGAACATCTTGGCATTGGTCTTTTCCACCTCGGTTGGAGAAGTGAGGCTGGTCGAGACGGTCTAAACAATCAATTTTGGCGACTGGGGAGATCCTTCGCGTTTCTTCGTCTGCAGCATGCCGTGTCCTGGATTCACGACCACCTATCGTTCCGGCATATTGGTACAAACTTAGAACACGACGAACAATAGGCATAGGCAGGACAGTAGGGCTAAACGATAAAAACTAGCACGGACTTATAGATGGCCAAAGGTGCGTATCGCGGGAATGTCAGGTCAAGTATAAAGGCATAGTCCATCCCTTGCTTTCATGCGTTCGATCGAGCACAGTAACTTTTCCCTGAATTCTGATATGAAAGCCGGGTTGATTTTTACAATTGCTACCGTGTTGGCCGGCACCAATGCCAGTCCTGGCGACAAAGTGCCAACATCGGCATCAAGCGACATCCAAGTTGCTCAGGAGCAGCTGAAGATCCTGGTCTCCCACGCCAAATACATCGTCAAGTCGGCCAAGAAGCCTTTCAGTCCAACATGCAAGCCTGGCAATGTCCAAGTCCGCAAGGAATGGAGCACCCTTTCGCCGAGAGAACGCATCGCCTATACCGACGCTGTTCGTTGTCTCCAGAAGAAGACTGCCAGATCGCCAGCCTCCTGGGCCCCCGGAGCAAAGACCCGTTATGATGACTGGGTTGCTACACACATCGACCAGACGCTTCAGATCCATTACACAGGTAACTTCTTGGGCTGGCACCGCTTCTTCCTCTGGGAGTACGAACAAGCTCTTCGTAACGAGTGTGGCTACCAAGGCACACAACCCTACTGGAACTGGGGTCTCTCTGCAGAAACTGGCATGGAGCAGAGTCCTGTCTGGGATGGCAGCAAAACAAGCATGAGCGGCAACGGCGCCTATATCAACCAAACTGGCCTCGAGGTCGTCCTAGGCGGCAATGGTCTTCCTGAAATCTACCTTCCTGTTGGAAGTGGAGGTGGCTGTATCGAATCGGGCCCCTTTGTCAACATGACTGTAAACCTCGGTCCCGCTTCTCTGACTGTGCCTGGCAATATCACCATTGTCAGTCCCAATGGTCCTCTATCTTACAATCCTCGCTGCTTGAAGCGAGACCTTACTGATGAGCTCAACACACGTTTCGCAAACTTCACCGCAATCGTCGATAACATCCTTGCACCAAAGTCAGTCTACGATTTCCAGATGCAAATGCAAGGTGTTCCCGGCAGCGGCATCATTGGTGTTCACGGTGGTGGCCATTATTCCATGGGCGGCGACCCGGGTCGCGATGTGTTCACCTCTCCAGGCGATCCGGCCTTCTACCTCCACCATGGCATGATAGACCTAGTTTGGACAGCGTGGCAGATGTTGGATCCCGAGAACAGAATCTACGGCAAGGATGCTGTGGCTGGCACAAACACTTTCTTGAACCAGCCGCCTAGTGCAAACACGACCCTGGACACCGAGATCAGTATTGGGTGGGCTGGTAGAGGTGTCAATGTCACCATGAAGGATGTTATGAGTACGGTCGCTGGACCCTTCTGTTATGTATATGCTTGAGTGTTTTAGCTCTCATGCTGCCTAGGTAGACCTTCCTCGAATACGAATAACGCAATGCAATACAATGCAATCAAATTTCAAATGGCCCCATTACCAACTAGTTTGACAAGAAGGAAATGCAATCTACTCATCTGCAGCCAACCCCTGTAGCCCAGTCCTACCGGCCAGCCTGGCTCCCAAACCGCCGCCCTCGCCCATATCGGCCTGACTCCTTAGTTGCCCAACGAATTTGCCCTTTTCGCTTCTCTTCCTATCGTCTTCTTCCTTTTGTTTGCGATCACGCTCTTCTAGCTCGGCAAGACGCTGCTTACGATCGGCCTCCAACTCGGTGGCGTTAGACTGCATGGCTGCTAATTTGGCCAAGCGTTCTGCTTCACGATCAGGAGAAGCAGGCCGTTCTTGTCTCATAGAGCGGTTCTCATCTCTGGAGGGTCTAGGTGGGCGGTCGTCTCTGTCATTTCTTGTAGGTCTGGGCCCGCGATTGCTGTAAGGTTCGTAGCTTGGTGATGCACGACGTCTAGGCGAGGGAGATCTTCGAACTGTCTTTGATCGCACAGGGGAGGGCGAACGTCGTCTGCTGTCTCTTTCTCTATGCTTGCGAGACGGAGAACGCGAATCTGAGCGTCGCGGACTGGGGTATGACTTGCGTCTGTGCGAGTCTGGGGAGCGTGAAGTACTGCGACGATGCGAGTCGTGCTTGCGAGAAGAACGCCTATCACCATCGCGTTTGTCGTCGTGTCTGTCATCTCTCCTCCTGCGTTCAGGTGATCGTGAGCGAGAGTATGAGGGCGAGCGTCGGCGGTGTGATCGATGCTTGTGGGATGAACGTCTCTCGTCGTCGCTGTAATCATCATGGCGTCTGCGCTTGCTGCGGTGTTCNNATCGTCTCTGTGGCGGTGTTTGCGATGGCTGCGTTTGGAGTCGTCCTCGTCCTTGCCGGCAGCCTTGAGCAGAGCTCGACGCTTGGTGGGATCGCTCATCATGGCTTCCAAAGCGGCTTGCTCTTGNTTGTTTGATGGCCAGCATGGGGTCGTTGCGAACTTTGGTCGCTGTGTCCCTCTGCTTGTTGGCGATCTGCAGAGCTGAGGGACCTACAGCAGCAGCTTGTTGCATGGCCTCGGTTGCATCTCTCTTGACAAGTCCGTCCAGCCTCCTCTTTCCAAGCAGGTATCCCTCCATCTCTTCAGTCGTTCCTTTCTGACCATCTGCGGGGCCGCCGTACATCCAGTCTACTCGGTCGACACGCTTCCGGCCGCCAGCAGCCTCTTGCATCTGTTGTAGTTCCTGGATTTGACGTTCCTCAGCGCGCTCCTTGAGCACCTGGTCGATCTTTTTGCGCTCATCCAGAGCCTTCTTCTCTTCTTCCCAGACGCGCTTCTGGTTGGACATGAGCACGGGGTGCCATGACTTCTTCAAGTTCAGATCGCCACCCATCTTGATCTTGTTGCGCGCAAGAAGGCGCTTTGATCAAATATGTGGAGGATTTTGTTGTGTGCTATTGGAGGAGAGAATGTGCGGTCGCTGTATGGTCGTGTAGACTCTGGACTTGGGTTGCGACGCGAGCAGGCGATAGATGAAGGTGACCGCAAAGAGTTGCTGCGCCGTCGCGAACAGAGGAAGTCACACTCCGCAATCAGCGCCAAGACATCCCATACAACGTCCATCGCGATTTCTTTCATCAGGGAACTTCGACTGACCTCTTCCATGAATTACAACACATATCGATCTGAATGCTTAGCTCGGCACAAAACCCGAGAAGTACGCTCACACATGACCGATGTGAAATTCTGCCTGGTGCCCTTTCCACATAACTCAACTTCACTTGCCTAAATTGACAGCCTGCTTGCGAACACCAGCTCGAGAGAGGTGGCATGCATCCTCAAGGGAACGCAGTCGTATTGTGTTCAGCGTCACACTCTTGATCTGTGTTGATCGGCTCTACTCTGCTTCCTCGGGCGCCGTTTGTCACACAAGGCAGTCACGGCACCTCTGTGAATTACAACCTAACTGAATTGTCCTCATGCAATTTGATCAGGCCTGAAAAACCCAAACGATTGATGGTTTGTTGAAAGGCACCCAGCAGTATCACAAGGGCTTATAAACGATGCTGTGAACGCAAGTTTTTGACAAGGGCCACGACCAAGGAACATCTCTGATATGATTGGGAAATTCGACAGAGGTTCGTCAACCAAAATATCGTGTTTATCTCTGACGAACAGCACGTCTCCGATCCAAGTTCTCAGTCAAACAAGCCATTTTGCAAATCATGGACGACTCCTTCAATGGCACAGTCTAGGCCTTCAGCAACTCGTCATGGAAGGACCACTTTTTACCGGCTGAAACCTCGTCAGATCCGCATGTCTCAAACACATGTCCTTCGCATCGAGCAAGGAGCTCACTCCGAAGGATGATTTGCACTCAACAACACCTTCACGATGGCATTAAGACCATCACCTGACCGTGTCCTTGCCCGTTCTTGACTCTTTCCAAACACATCTGTCTCGCTTGATTCTTCGCGAGGAGATCTGGCATGCGCATATCATTTTTAGTATCAAAGCACATGCGAATCGGGGGTCATGAGATAAGCTCAACACACGACAGGGCCGAAGCGATCTCACCGTCGTGGACGGTCTTCGAACCCGCTGTTTCGACCAATGACAGCAGGCATATCCTGAGATAGATTCAGGGACTAGACCGATGACATCAACAAGCCTTTTTCCCCGCACTTCGATCGCGACGCCGGAGTCCCAAGGTCAGCCTTATCGTGGGGAAAATTGGACGACCACTTTTGGTGACGGGCCGTGGCTTGCTAGGGATCAGTCCTCTTCGGTGAGGGGCACCAAAGTAAACGTCCTGGAGAGTGATGATCATTGGACCGTATTGGATTGAGTTTAACACCATGACGACGAAACATGTGTCGATGGCTTGACCAACGCTGCGATCCTCAGGAAGAATCACGAGAGCACCACACACCCAGCGGAGTGGTCGTGCAGACAAAGGAAAGACTTGACGACGGATGGTGGAAAAAGCTCCGACTCCGATGACATGACAGAGCTCCAGAGGTAAGCTATCTGAGGTAGCACCACAGGTATATAAGACTGTAGCACCCCACCCACCAGATCTTGGTTCTTTGCATCAAGCATATCTTCTCATTAAAGCATCAATCCACATTATAAACCAACACCTTCAACTTAAACAACTACCGTCATGTCTTCTCCTACCGACACTCAGTCCAAGGCTTCTTTCGACGGCGAGCGTCGTCGCTCCTCTGGCGGTCTCTTCAACAACATCCTCTCTCAGAAGCGCAGCCCCGACAACGCTGCCTACTCTGCCCGTCGCTCAAGCATTGAGGACCAGGGTCCACCCAAGGGAATGCTCGGCAAGATGTGGGACAAGTAAGCACCTTCACTTCAACCTCCTTCCAGATCATGAAGCTAATCCAGCGCNAGTGCTGTCAGAGGTGTCGGTCCCAACGCTCAGAAGTGAACCATCAACACATTTTCGACAACCAACCTCTTTTCATCCTGCATACTTGCGACGGCGAGATTGAGCGATCAAGAACAACGAACGAACGAACGAACGAACGAACACGAGATTGGCATACCTTCACACCACACTTTTCGATCTGTTAGGGTCGCTGGCTTGGATATTCGGATTTAGCTACCGATGCTGAGGGAAGCTGGATATTGGTGCTTTTCTTGTTGCATGTATATATATAACGACTTATGACAACCATTACCATCTACTTGTGCTCTCACTATCTTCAAGCATCACCTTTCACCTAGCCTTTCACGATTGATATCAGCGATGGTTGTGATATCTCGTCTTCTCAACTCTTCCCAGCAACCCAAGCCGATCAAGTCAAAGCAAAACAACCATCACACTCTGGTACTTTGCCCAAGCAAAAGAGCTGCCCAACTCTTACCCAATCTGCGTCATTGCACACAGAACGCTTGGAGCTCCGTTTGGCACATTCACACATTGATAGGCAAATTGCGACACCTCAGATGTTGAACTGAAGCTGGGCCTATGGTGTTTAGTCGACATGGCCCACTACTGACGACACGGGGGTCGATCCCCGGACCGTCACGGCGTCTTGTGGAAGACACCTTGTCGCACCCGCGGCAAAAGCGCAAGTGACTTTGGATTCTGCCATTGAGCCATGTAAGGTCTTTGTTAGAAAAATTCAAATCTGTGAGATGATGACAATGATGGAAGAATTGAGTATTTCTGGGTGTGAGGGAAGCCAGCATGGATAGGAGACAACAAATGGTCTGTGTGTTGAAGCCTATATCGCATAGGTAAGGATTGGGTCATCCTTTTGCTCTGGCGGAGTGTGGTATCCTTTCTTTCTTATCTCCTTTCCTTCTCCATTACGGAAGTCAGAGTGAGAGGAAGTTACGCAGTTCGGTCGTAAGTTTTGACATGCGCAATCTCTTCCAAATATCGATCTGGTAGGATGGCATCCTCACTGTCAGATGTAATTAAGAGCAAGCCAGTGTAGGGTAGTGGGAATGTCTGCGGAACCTATCAAATCTACTAACATCTGGAGCCAAACACGGAGAAGAAGGACAGTATAAAGAACAGCGTAAGTTTCGATGCTTGGAATGAAGTCAACCCTATTCTCAAGGGCTATTTTTGATATGTTAGTCGTGCGAGGTAAGTTACATTCTCATTCACTCTGTCTAGTACAGATCAATATCCAATAAGAGCCAATTACCACATCGACTCTCATCTAGAGCCCTGAGATGCTTTGACACCCTCCAACCCACTGACCACCCCATCCTCCACCATCTGCGGAACATCATCCCTCAAATCCGCAATCAACTTCTGCAATGTGCTCTGCCTAGCAACTTTTTCTAATTTGGTGTCGATGGCATCAAACCGCTTGTCAACACGATCGAGATGTGCATTAACGCGACGCAGATTTTCGTTGATGCGGTTGATGCGAAGATCGAGCTTGGCCTCAAACTTGTCGAGGCGTTCCATGACGCTCGATTGTGTGGCGTTGGTCCTGATTATGTGTTCGGAGACTAGCTGGTCGAAGCGGTCTCTGAGGTTGCCCGTGGGAGTTTCTTCTCTTGTGGATGATGCTGGCATTTTTTTTTTATGTCGTTGTCAAGTAATGTTTCTGTTGTGATTTGATTGCGATGTGGACTTATGCGTCGGAGCGGAGAGAAGACAAAGAGAGAAGGCAGGACGGAAGAACTAATAAAAGATATAGGTAGGCAGTAAATCAAGTTGTGACGCATCGCTGCTTCTGAATCCAGAATTTGGCCTGAAATTTTTCTTGATGTTGCTTGTGGTCGAAGAAAATGGACTCAAATCAGCTCAAGTCAGCACAGGTATTGGCGAGCATGTTTGATGGGCTCTGAAGCTTTGGACCGGCTTGTTCTATCTTCTACTTGAGTAATACTTCACCCTATCATGGCAGAGATATTGTTTCCTGAACCTGGATCGTACTACTCCTCGTCTAAGCAGCTTTTGGGGTACCATCGATAATTTTCAACATCACATGTCCTTCTGAACGAGTCTTCTCAGCCGGGATAGGTATCTTGCTCACAATCGCCGCATCAGAGTTTTTAATAATGCTCTGTCTCACATTGGGATCCATGTTGTCAATGGCGTCTGAAGTCCAGCCATGAAGATCCTTGGGGCGCACGAGGTTGAGTGGCTCGGTAAAAACACGTTTACGTCGTTTGAGTCCGGGAGCGAAGTTCTTGTCCATGTCTTCAGGGATCTGTTCTGTNNCTGTATCACCATGTTTAGGTCAATATCAGGAAATGTATTCTGCTTGGTTGAGATCACTCACCCGTATGATTTCCTTCAAGCACCTGATATCCTCCAGGACACACTCACTATCACGATCATCAGAAACACCATGCTCGAGATCGAAGATAGCCATTCTCAAGTGATTGTCGTCAAGAACGTGCTCTGTGCTGTCTGAGAAAACCTTAGACCAGGCCTTGTAGTGATGAGAAGTGTCCAAGAGCTCCTCTCGCATTGGCTTGGAACAGTGAGGTTGGTTAGCCATGCACCGTAAAGTTCTGGTCATGTCTGGGCCGAGTAAAGGGGCGAAGTTGTTGGTATCGAGGGCTAGGCCCATGGCGTTGAGAAGGCATTCCAGGCCGATGGTCGCGATGCCATGCAGCCAGACATCACTAGGAGAACCACGCAGAGCCTGAGGCTTGAACGACAACATGGCTAAGGGTTGCTTGGGTGGGAGCGCCGGGCTGTAAGGAGTGTTGAGAACAAGCGCAGCGTTATAGTGGTGAGCGTATTGGGACCACGAACGCGCCTCATGTACCAACTGAGCCGTCAAGATATACGCCTGGCATAGATCATGCGGCTCTCCGAACCCGTTGACAAGGCATTCATCCAAACGGCATTTCTGGGCTTGCATGTTCTCGAAAAGATTCCACCCGACTGCGTCGATCGAGACCAGACGAGGTGTCATGGACTCTATGACACGAGCAGATATATCAGCATCGACACCTGGAAAGCGAATCGCTTGCCCGTGACCAAATACAGCAGCCATAGGTGCGATCAACCTTTCTTGGCGTGCTCTGCGTTCTTCGGGAGTGAGATCTGTACGATGGCTGGGGTTGACCTTCCATGCGATCTTGCGATCATTCTTGACGACGATAGGTGTGTACTGAAGTGGACGTGATCCGCGAAACGGATGGACGTAAATTTGAGAAGAAGGCCAGACGTGAATTTCCAATTGTATTTGACGAGCGTAGTGAGGCAGATCTTGAGACAGGAAGAGTACACGTTGAACATACACCCTGTCCGATGGGCGACTGTAGAGAGGGTTGTGATGAGGCCACTGGGCCTTTGATTCCAAGTCCTCTACCGTGATTTCTATTGCTGGCGACCGGAAGTTCCTGACTTNTTTCCCAACTGCAATGTATGGAGCAAATCCGCTGAGGAGGCGAGGATGTCTCAAATGGATCAATGCGAACTCGTTGTATGAGCGCAGGTAGTTATCGGTCTCCTTGTGCAACTGCTTGTTTGTGCGCATGATGCTCACGTGGAACGTGTAGCTGTGTCCTGGAGCATGGCCACCGGTTGAGTACTTTGCGTTCTTGCCGAGCAACAGGTAGGAAAAGATCTCATTCTTGATCTCGATAGGCAATGTCGTAAGGGTGAGCTTCTGACGGACAGGGCTGGTCGGAGGCCCCTGTGCAGACCGTATGGGTAGTTGCATCATAGAAGTCGTATGATAGCTTGAATTGGCTTGGAGGAGGAAAGAGAGGGAAGTAAGCAAGAAGGTCTGTCGCCTTCTGAGATCTGGAAGCTTGGGACGTCTGCTCTCACTTCACTGCTGCGGCCGCTTGTGCGCTGAGTCCTACAGTGATATCAGAAAGACAAAGATGAAACATTTCAATACAGGCCAGGTGAGATTGAATGCAAATTTGCTTGCTGCTGAGCGATCACTTGGTTCCCAATGTGATTGAACGACATGCAATCATGCGGGTACCCGCATTTACATTGTGACCAGTTCATTCTGCTAATACGAATCTTTAGTATGGCCAACAACATTCGCAAATGGTAGCCGTAGGTACAATAGCGTGGTCGTAGTATGCTCTTTTGATCGTCTGTAGAGTTTCTTGGGCTTCGTTCATGGTTTGCTCAAAATGCCCATGTGTCCGAGAGCGTGCAGGAGAGTGGTTGAGGGCTAGGTGTGATCAAATGGCTTCTGTTGAAAGAGATCGTAATAGGCATGCAGAAGTCGAAAGCAACAGGTATCCTGTGTCGGGTGATTTGTGTCAAGGAAGAAAGGATGTTGTCTTGAGAAGGTGCACATGCCAAATTCCTCTAAATATGGAAGCCCCCACTTATGCTGGAGCCAACCCATCCCCGTCGATGAACATAGCATAGCATAGCGTTTGGACATAGTCACTATGTTTGCAGAACTGAACCGATAGAGTCATACAGGGAGATCATTTTTTATTAGATGATTATTTGGCACCAGACTAAATTACCGAACTCGAATTGCACTTTTCGTCTGAATCATTATTCAAGCTCCATAAGCAAGCTCCTCGGATGCAGCGAGAACGGGGAACTCGCCCCTGCTTCCGTAGCCACCGTAGAAGTAGTCGGAAGGAGGGATGGTAGGTCCACCAGCTGGGGGCTGCGGCCACTCGTCGAGGCAAGCAGGGTTGCCAGTCAAGGTGAAGTTGACCATGGTAAGCTCTGGCATGGTGTCGATCATCAGAGCATAGTCACCAGGGTAGAGATAGGTGTTGCCGTGGTCATCAATGCGAGCGAGCGAACCAAGAGTCAGGTTCAGTGTGGCGGTCTGGGAGGCACCGCCAGCAATGCTGTGGAGGCGCTGGTAGTTGACAAGCGACTTCTTGGGATAAGGAGAAGGTCCGAATTGACCAGCGATGAATCCGAGGGCGGCATAATCTGAGGTAACGTTGCCAGTGTTGTGGACGTTAACAGCGATGCTCTCAAAGGCGCAGCGGTCCTTGTAGGTCTCGGTGCAACCGGAAAGCAGGGAAGAAATGTCATAAGAAGACTTGGCCATGGGAGAGACGTCGGCAGAGAACTTGGTGTAGTGCATGCCGTAACCGAACTCGTAGACGGCGGTGCCGTTGTACCACTTGTAGGTTCTGCCGGGCGAGCCAGTGGTCTCGTTGGGACGCAGAGTCATATCGGTCATGGGGATGTCGGCGACGTAGTGGGCAGGGTACTGGGTAACGGGAAGACGACCAGCAGGTGCGACCTTTCCGGTGATGATGTTGAGAAGAGCAACACCACCATCCTGACCGGGGTAACCACCCCAGATCAGAGCAGAGATGTTGGGGTTGTTGACGAAAGGAGTGTTGTCGAGCTGATTACCCATCTGGGCAAGAACCATAGGCTTGCCGTACATGGCGAGCTCGCCGATGATATCGACCTGAGCACCAGTCCAGTTGATGGTCTCACGATCCATACCCTCAGCCTCAACACTAATATCAACACCACCAACGTAGAGGATGATATCAGCCTTCTCAGCAGCAGTCCAAACAGGAAGCCAGTGGTCGGTAGTAGGGTCTCCTTGGCCACCAGGTCCTCCGGCATAGAAGACTTGGGCACCAGTTTGTTGAGCAGCGTAAAGGGGGCTGTGGAGGTAGGTGGGGACACCGTAGTAGTTGCCCTGCATCTGTTGGGTAGCGTTGGCCCAGCTTCCAATGACGGCGATCTTAGTGCCGTTGGTGATAGTCAAGGGAAGCAGACCGTCGTTCTTAAGGAGGACCATACCCTCCTCAGCGGCCTTGAGGGCGAGCTGCTGAGCGTAGGTAGTTCCGACATCGGACCAGGTCAGGTTTCTGTACATGGCGTTGGGACCATCGAAGTATCCAGTGCGAACGAGCGAAGTGTAGAGACGAACCAAAGCCTGGTCAACAGTAGTCTGGTTGATCAAGCCGTCGCTGTAGGCTTGAGGAAGGTGGTGCTGGTAATAGGTACCGCAGTCGAGGTCAGTACCAGCATTGAGAGCGGCAGCAGCAGCTCCTTGGCGGGTGTCGCTGAAGTTGTGGGGCAGGAAGATGTTCTGGATAGAATCACAATCACTGGTGACCCACTGCTCCTCGTTAGTCCAATTCCAGTGCTCACGGAGGACGTCATTCAAAAGCCAAGGGTCGGCACAGGTGGGAACGCCATTCAAGGCGCTGTATGTGCACATGAAAGCTCCAACATTGGAGTCTCTGGCGCAAGAACGGAAAGAGGGCAGATAGTACTCGACTAGATCACGCTGGGGGATCTGGACGTCGTTTTGGTAGCGAAGGTTGCCGTTCCACGACTCAATGTCGTAGCCAGCGAAATGCTTGCAAGTAGCAGTGATCTTTCTGATTTCGGGGTCCTCGCCGCCCTGAAGACCCATAATGAGGGCGTGGACGTAAGAAGAGAGATGGTAAGGGTCCTCGCCGGGAGTCTCCTGGCCTCTGCCCCATCTGGGATCTCTGTAAGGGTNTACTGGAACATGAGTTAGTACGGTCTTTCAATTTTTTGTTAGAGCATAGACCTACATGTTCGGTGTCCAGAAGTCGAGACCAGCACGACCGTAGTTGTTGAAAGCTCTAGCCTCAGTACTGACAACCTCAGCCACAGATTGAATAAGGTCGTCATCAAACGCGGCACCCATCAAGATGGGCTGGGGGAAAGAAGTGGCAGAGTCGAACTGTCCACTGGCGTTGAATGTGACTCCAGGAGATGAAGCAACACCGTGAAGAGCCTCCTGCCACCATTGGTAAACAGGTAGACCAAGTCGGGGAACACCAGGACTGTTGTTTCCAGTAAGGTTGAGCTTCTCGGCGACGGTGAACGCAGCGACCAAAGCCTTGGCTCTTGCAATTGGGTCTATATAGTGTCAACGAATGGCGACTACTTATCACTGGTTGTGATGGAACGTACCTGCGGACTTATCACAGACGGTGTTGTTTGAAAGAGGGCCATTGGTACAGTCAGGGAAGCCACCTTGAGCAGTGCCTGTGAAGGTCTGAGCAGAGACACCTGCTCCGAGCAATGCCAATGCAGAAAGAGAAAGTAGTGCGGCCATGATGGAGGTATGTGGCCCGGTAGAATTGGGATGCTTCAAGTCAAAGTCTATGGGTGGGAGAAGCAGCTATATATACCAAGTCATTGCAGCCGAGCAAAAGCCATTGAGGTAGAATGATGGTCACTCTTTCGAACGAGTATGGAGATCTGCCAACCTTGAGCTTGGCTAAAGTCTTTAGCTCAGTGGGGTCTCAGTTGCGGAGCATCGTGTTCTTGCATTGGGTCAAGTAGTCACGGCGTCCAAGCGGTGGATCACAGCCGATTGCTTGCTATGGTCAAGATCAACACATCTGACCGGGCTGTGAAGACTTTAATTCGGCATGGATGCAACTACCAGGATGATGGTGGTAAACTCCGCATCTTCTCCGCAGGGTAAATAGGAAGATGGGGGCACTCCACACTTTCAGTCTGCCGTCGACTGGAGAGAGGAGTTTGTCATCCATGTCCGTCTGGTGCATACAGGTTGCAGGAGGACTTTGGATGGAGAAGACGTCACTTCTTGAGGCTTCTAATGTAATGTTCGGCATGGCGTTGCCGTGCCGAGGGGTATCTGGCGCAAGTACCTGCGTGAGCTAGCTGGAGACAAGACGAATTAGATGTGATAGATTTAGCCACAATTGGAGCGTGGCTGGCGTGGAAGGCATGGGGAGGGTAAAGTGTATTGAGTCGCAACGGGGTTAAGGTCAAATCATGTTGATCGATCGCGTGCAAGGCTTTTAGCCAGTTTAGCCAGCCAACGGGATGTGGAGTCCCGGTTCTGCACGCAACGGAGATGTCGGTCGACATCCTTTGTTGACAGCAGCATCGAGCATGTCGGTCAGAGGATACGGAAGGTTGAGGCAGGCTGACACGTCAAGATGGCATGGACAAGACTCTTCGCATGCGGAGAGGTTGGTAAGAGGCAAGGCATGCTCTCGGTTAGGTGCACAATTGGACGACATGTCAGGACTATGCAGGCATGCCAATGGTCTTCTCGTGGTACATTGATTTATGGCCGATATCGCATACAGGTACTATGCGATCCCGAGAAACACCTCGCAACAACAGCAAAAAAAAAAGGTGACAGTTGCATGGGAATGAGGCTCCGCAGAAAGCAGAAAGCACAGACGATGTCGACCCCGGATTTTAGCATCTCTTCGTCATGCATCCCAATTGAGCTTCAAGGCTGGACACAGATTCTACGAGCAACCAAAATCACCAGTTCGCGTCTCGCCAGCCACCGAGACACCAGGACCGAGCACATCAATACCGAAATACACCTGATTGAAACCAATCATGGGCTCATCAGCATCGAAACCCGCCTCGCGCGCCGCCAATGCTGCAACGAAAGCAACCCGCCAATACCCATCTCGCCCATCACCAGCAACCTCGACACAAGCACCACCCACACGCACATCAAATGCTCCATCCCAGCCCCCGCCACCCCCAGCCGCGAATCGTCAACCGGGTCCCACAGTCCACCCTCAAGCCCGCGCAAGTGGCCAGCGCAATGAAGGTAAATTGCCCCCAACTTCTGTCTGACCTATACCACATTCAAGGAAAGCGAGACTGACAAGATGCNNAGAAATCAATCTTGACGCCTCAGATCCAGACTTCGCCCGCTCACTGCGCCAGCTAGGTGCAGTACAACCCAACCCTACCCTCTCGCCCTCTTCAACCTTTGCCGCCCACCCAAGCTCGCACTTCCCAAATCCTTACGGCCAACAAGGCAACAACACAACCGCCCCTTCGCAGCGATTGAACCCGGCACTCCGTGTGTTGCAAGCTCGTGCAGAGTTGGCTGGTGAAGCCGAGAGAGAATTCTTGGAGGCTGGAAAGAGGGGAAGCGCTGGCAGGAGGTTCTTGGACGTGGGCACGTTGAGAAATCTCGTTACCATGCGAGATCAGAGGAACATGAGTCATGCCGAGATTGAGAGGGTCTTGGGCTTGAGGAGCGGTACTGTGGCAAAGTTGGGTCCCAAGGGTGTCGTGGGTGTTGAGGGCATTCAGGAGGATTGAGCAGACGTCTGACACTGTACTGTACATAATACTGGGCGCATGTTTCATACGACGAGCAAGCATAAAGCTGTATACTACTGTAAAAATAGCCACGGCAACTATACCTCCTCAGCCGAGGCCTTGTGACAGCTTGGTGTGCGGTAGCAAGCGAGTGACTCCGTTCCAATCTCCAAGCTAGAAGAACAATACACGAGGGAAAAGAGAGGGGTATACGACAGAAACAAAGAAAAACACAAAACGCCTTTCCATCCACTAAGAACTCCCACTTGCATAAATCTTTGGTGAAATAAACCTTTGGATCCCAGAAGTAAGGAAGATGAGAAGATAGACGGACAAAAGCAATGCTCAGCTGGTAAGCAATAGAACATGAGCTCTTCCATGTAAGCAGAGGTTATCAACGCCAGAATGGGTTGCGCGTACTGTTCTGAACAGAAGGCAGTCCAAAGTTGGGCATTGGGATCCAGCTATCTGAAGGGAACGAAGGCCGCATCGTCCACTGATACGGTTGATAGCTCGGATTGACGATCATCGGCATTGTGGGAGTCGAGTAGTGACCGAGACCAGGTTGTGCAAAAACTGCTGGACCTAGCTGGTTGTTGGTATGGGGGTGAGGTCCAGCTGACAAAAACATGCCATGGCCAGCAGGGAATAGCAGCGGCTGGTGACCAAAGAACGTAGGATGAAGCTGCGGGAGCACATGATTGTGGTAAGGCATTTGAGAGCCATTCGGTGCTTGGTTATCAGCACGCCTGGATGGATGTGCATGGCTGTCTCTGTGGTGGCGTGTCGGAGCTGCTAGGCGATTACGATTCGATCTTGGTACCAGAACCGGGCTCTCACTCAACCTAGACATAGAATCCGAGCGGAGCGAAACGGCGTCACGCGCAGTGGAGCCGAAGTTCTAACTCGGATTCTCCTGGCGAGACAGGAATTTGTGTGGGACAGGAACTTTCGTTGCTCTTGCTTTCTGAGATTGATCGAGTGAACGCTTCTTCTTTGGAGCTAGGACACGTCGCTGAGCATTTGTACCGTTGGTAGCCTGCTCAAGTAGTCCGACTGTTCGAGACAAGGCAATCTGAGGAGCAGTGACGAAGTGAATAAGCCACGAATACAGCTGCCACAGCAGGTTTGCACGCTGGTTCGCAATGATGCAACCGATGTTTGTCGCGCCACCATACAATAAAGACTCCAGTGTAGACAGAACCAGTTGCTCTGTATCTGTGTTCCAGTGGTCGGCTCTGGGGTGCTTCCCTTTGCCAGACTGACTTGCTTGGATCGCTTCAAGTCCGCGAATTCTGGAAATGTGATGACGGAGGATTTCAACAGCTTTGTTTATGAGAACCTGAATTTCTCCGTCTGGCTCTCCAAAATGTGCTTCATTGAGGTCCTTTTCTTGATTATCCTTAGCCTGATCACATCCAGCAGCGGCGGCCAGCAGAGCGTCGACACCATCATGTTCGCCCATATCTCTGTCAAGAAGGTCGGTTTCTTGTTCTGGACTGGCTTTGGGTTCGGTCGTATTTGATGATATATGACGCTGTGGTACAATCGGCGGCATGTTCAAACCTCCCAAAGCATGACATGCATCCTGTAGCTTTCTGATGATGACTTCGGGACTGTCCTGCTTTTGTGGCAGCTTGAAGAAGGGGCTCGAGAGGACGTTTAGACTTTGCACCTCTTTGGTGGTAATCGTTGGTGGCTCGCTGGGAAGCTCAGTGAAGGTATCGTACACTAGTCCTGCAGCTTGTGGAAGTGAATCTGATTCTGGTAGGAAATCGGACTGCAACTCATGACACTTTGCCGAGCCAATAACCGAGTCGAGTGCAGACAGAGAAGAACGAGGAGTGTCATCGATGAAGTTATTCCAAAAGTCATCATCATAGCCAGCATGCTGGACCTCATTAGGATCAGCATAGTCGCTCTTATCGACAGGCTTGGAAGAGGTCAGCAGAATAGGATCTGATGAGTTTCCCGCAGGAGATCCAGAAGTTTGCAGCAGGGAAGTTGATGACTGTAGAGACATGATGGAAGCTGCCGTCGATCTCCGCTTCTTGGTCAGAGGTTCGCACACATTGTCCAGATATCTGGCGGGTCTCGAAACCTTCCTTTTGGGTCGAGCAGGGGATTTGTCCGGTTCCGGATCTGGTTCTCTGGGACGAACTTTTAGTTTTAGACGGGTTGGGGGTCGAGTTTGTCGCGGCAGGGCGACGTTGATGGTGTCCTGCGAAGCTGGCGAGGCATGGCCGGAAGCGGCGTGCCTTCTCAACATGTGGAATGTGAAGTGGAGTTGAAGCTGTATTTTGGTTGCGACCAGTGGCTCTGGAGTATTGACCGTTGCTGAGCCAGTGAGACTGCAGTGAGTGACTGATCGGGCTCGGTGGGCAGTCGGCAAAGTTTAAGGTGTGGGCGTCACGGTTTGAGGGTGTTATAACTCTCCGGATGGCCCCAGGCTTGTCGGAACAAACGAATACAGTATCAAGACATAGTCATTGTTGGATGCCTGGTAGATAGTAGGAAGGTCGCAACACTGGACGCGCTGCTTCTTCTACAAAACATCTGACAGTAGGCAGGTAGTCATGCAGCAAGAGGAAGTAGCTTCGGCCTCAGCACCCAATGCTCCTTCCGAAAGAGGTAATCATGCTCTCAGGTGCGACAGCGTTCGCTCTGCCGCAGCAGTCACGTTGCCTCGTGATTCCCTCCGGTCAATTGCCTCAGCACGGCTCTCCATCATGCGTGTCGAGTCACATATATGTATGGTCTATCATGACATGTGATCTTGTGTTCGGTCAAGTAGTCGCAGGTTGTGAAAAAGTGGCTGACTCGCGTTGTCGAATGCGGTAAGTCAGCCGAGGGCTGGAGCAGCCAGGTAGCCTCTCGAGCTTCGTCACCAAGACTCCCGACTCTCAAGGACAAGACAACAGCCATGAAGTTCTCGAGTGCAATTGTCCTGCCGCTCCTGTCGCTTGGCTCAGGCCTTGCTGCCGCTGCTTCGTGGAGTTTCGAGGATGCCACGCTCAGCATTGCCAGCAAAGGAGCTGGTGTAGGCGGTGCCCTCAAGGAGAAGTGAGTAGCTACTGTACAAGCATTGTCGCATTGCCAGACTGACTCTTCTCAATCAGGNTTATCTCCTGAAGCACACCTCAGCAAGCAGATCAAGCTTGGTCCTACCGACACGCTCAAGCTGCTCCTGACAACCACCGAGGACAAGACAGCAAAGAGACCTCACCAAGCCTTCCTCACTCTCCACGAACCCAAGACCGGTCTCGAGGAGTCGTTCGTCTTCAGTGTCAAGGAGAGCGGCAAGGCCAGAGTCGAGCTGGTGAGTCTATGGTTCTCCCATCCTACAACTCGTGCAAGGCAGCTGACGCGCGTCACANNGTCGCAAAAGGACCTCCCCTTCCAATTCCTCACCGCAAGCGACCCTATCCAGGCCAAGCTTCTGATTGCCTCATTTGGCTCTTCCGATGCCTACTACACCCATGCCTTTGACTTGGCTGTCACCCGCGACCCCACTGTGCCCCTTAGCACTCCCGAGCCTCCTCTCCGCTATGGCAAGCTGTCCGAGATCCACCACATCTTCCGCAGCGACCCCAAGTCTCCTCCTACCATCCTCTCAAGTGTCTTCACTCTCGCCGTCCTGGCTTGTTTGCCCGTGCTTGTTGGCGGATGGCTGTTCCTAGGCGCCAACCTCAACCACCTCTCCAAGGCCATGAACACTGCTCCCATCTCGCACGCCCTGTTCTTCGGAAGTATTGTCGTCATGGAGTTCATCTTCTTCCTCTATTACTCTTCCTGGACTCTCTTCCAGATCCTGCCCCCTGCTGGTTTGGTTGGCACCGTTGCCTTCTTGAGTGGCAGCAAGGCTCTGGGCGAGGTTCAGCAGCGCAGACTTGCTGGCTTGAGATAGATCTGCACTCTTTAGGGTCACAGCTTTCGAGGATTCGGGAATCTTTGGAGCTCATCAAAACATACATTTAGAGACGATATCAAATGTCAAAAGTACTTGTTGATCGGCCACGTACCAATACATCTGCTCAAGTTACATACCGCATTAATCATTACATTGACAGATGGCATAGGCCAGCGACTCAGGTGAACACGTCTTTCTCCTTCTGCAATGCAAGAAAAGTTTCTTCGTCATGTCCAGGGATCACTCTGCCTCGAGTTGTGCGCTCGAGACGCTTTAGACGCTGTGTGCTCTGGAACCAAGCTGGATGGTCTCGAGCAAGCCATCCTTGAGGAATGCCATCGCGCCNACTATTGGACATCAGTGAATTGTTCTTGCGCATTCAGAATAAACTCACGTTCTCGATAACATGGCAGTGATCCGAGATGAAGAAGAAAGTTCCACTGTCTGGCAAGTTGATCTGCATGCCAATCAATCCATCGGTATGTCCGGGTAGGTGATGCAGCGTAATGCCTTGACAAAAGTCAATAGTACGATCATCGAACGTCTTCCAGTTTCTGCACCCTTGTCAGCGCAGTCTTTCTGCCGTTATTGTCGTTTCCACTCACAGGTCCAAGTTGAGATAGTGCTTCAGATATACACCAGCATCGGCTCCAGTAGCCACACTCCAAAACGCACTCTTCAACTCTCTGTCATGCACCCAAACCTCGACATCCGTGCGGCCAAAGAACTCGTCGAGACCTCCGGCATGATCAAGATGCAGATGTCCAATAATGACCTTCTTGACATCTTCAATCTTGTTTCCAGTGGCCGCAATCGCATTCCTAAGCTCGTGTCTCTCCTCATACTTGACCCTATGGAATACGTCATGCACCTGCGGGCCCCAAACATCTGGGTAATCCTTGCCGCAACCGGTTTCCCAGAGAATGAGGCCTTCGTGTGGGTGGGAAATCAAGCAGCAGTACACTGGAAGATTGCGACGCTTGTTCTCGAACGATTGACCGGCCGTGGAAGCGAGGGATGTATTGGCACCGCGTACGACGAAGCCCTCGTCACATGCTAGCCATCCGCATTCTAAGAGCCAGAGCTTCGTACCTTGAGGGCAGACATTTGAGATGTGGCCAGGTACTGCTCCCGAGTCCAGTTGAGATTGGATTCCTGCCATGATTGAGTGAGGTAATTCCGATGCTACGTCGAGTCTTGGATATGCAAAGTGAAGCAGACTGCATGTATACGAGGAGGAACCATAGTCATGGGTGAGCTATAAAGTACTGTTATACCCCGCCGTAGTAGGTGACCCCGCATCGGTAAGCAGTGACGAGGGAGATGATCAATTGTGGAAACTCAACTTCTTCCTTGTTCCCGATCTGACGGCACAGCGGACGACAAGGATGCTCTCTAACAGATATCCAGGAGACTTGGGATTACAACGACAACGCTCTTATGCATCCCACAGCGTCAGAATATAGTTTTGTATGCTTGATGGAGCTCGCTGAACTCTACACCCTGGTATACCACTCACCCCACAATTGAACGGCCCGAACAAAACCCAAAACGCCATTCTCCGTTGCTTCTTCCCTCATATCTTAATGTCTTTAGTTCCACCCGATGATGCCTTGCCTCAATACCTGAGCCTGTCTGACCAGTCCAACTCTTCTGCCAATGATACCTTCGCCACCAACTCCCAAATCGAGCTTATGAGGCAAGCTGAATGACTGCGTTGTGAACGTCGACAATGGAAATGCGTGTAAGATTGATGTCGCGGGTGTTGAAGCTCTGAGGTCACCGTCACGNNGCTACCACTGCAATTAGCATGATACTCCATGCAGCGTGGAAAGAGTTGTTACGTACAAGATTACAATCTGGCAACTGCTGAACTCTGTATCGTTTGTGGCCGGTACCGTGGAAGATTGAAATGTCGCTGTCGTGGTTGAAGCTTCGTCTTGGTGGAAGATGAGCGATAAGTCTGGTAATGTTGATTCACCAAGGGACTTTAAGATGGCGATTGTGCCGCCGAGGACTGGACGAGAAGATTCGGTGCCACACATATTCGTCTTTGTTCTTGTTTGCTGTGGGATGCTGACTCTGAAGCTTGAGTTGGCCTAGGTATGATATTTGAGAGACGAGAACGAGATGCAGAGGTAGAATAGTATGCAGACACAATGTCCATCAAGGTAACAAGCAGCACATGGCACCCTTATACAATCTGTCACCACGTTTCAATCGCATATTTCCCCCATTGTCCGAACCCACGTTTGTTCCACCAAGGTGGAATTTGCTCAATTTCTGGGGAAACATGCTCAATTTCTTGGCCTATGCTTCATACAAAACCGGCGTGGCTTGAAACGGGGCTCACGGACTGGGGTCTTTTGAGAGTGTTTCTTGTATGCAATCAAAGACTTGTCAAACTCTCAAATCGCATTTGTTCGGACTCCGTTGGTGGGTTTGGGGGTTGCCGACGGCCTCTGGCTATTTTTGTAACGACTCATCCGACAATATATCCTCCACGACCTTGCGTAATTCGATCTTCATCACCTTGCCAGTCACGTTCACAGGGAACTTCTGCATGCCCAGCTCGTGCAGAGTAAACACTTTGCTAATCGGGTAGTCTGGGCCCAAGTGCTCGACCACCAAATCTTGCAATCTTTCCGAGGTCGTTCCTGTCATGTCGGCTACGACTGCCACTGCCTCTTCTCCCAGTTTTGAATTGGGGAGGCCAAAGATTGATGCCTGGACTTTGTCAGCAGTCACTCAATAATGCAAGCTCCAGAGACTTACCTGAACACCTCCGAATTGGGCAAGCACGTTCTCCAACAAGATTGGCGGAACCGGTATACCGAGTCGTTTGATGATATCCTTCTTTCTTCCCAGCACGTAGATAAGGCCGTCTTCGTCGATGAATCCGATGTCGCCAGTCTTGAACCATCTCCCCTCTTCATCCTCGTAGAAGGTATCGGCGGCCGCATTGTCGCGATATGCATTAATCACGACTGGACTCTGAACATGCATGTCTCCAGTCTCTCCCCTCTTTGCAATGTTACCGTCGTCGTTGACAATTTTCAGAATGCTTCCAGACAGAACTGTTCCCTGTGCCAACAAGCCCGTTGATACTGGGATCTGGCCTCGTGCTGGGGCTTTAGACGAAGGCCATCCGGTGATCCAAAGACCTTCCGTCATTGCCCAGCCAGAAACGAATTGTGCGTTTGGGAAACCCTCGACGGCCAAGTCTTGATGGTCTACTGCCGCGATATCCCCACCCATGAGTATTTTCGTTATACTCTGGACACTTTCTTTTGAGAAAGATGGATGCTTCACCACTGCTCTCAACATTGGTGGGATTAACGTGATGAGCGTGATTTTCTCTTGTTCGATGGTCGATATTACTCCTTCGGGTGTAAAACCTGTCGAGAGGTATACAACTGTGCCGCCGACCAACCAGGTCTCGCTACTCAGGTGTAGGTTTATGGCTCGCGAGTTTGCGAACATCATTGTCGTCTTGCCAGCACCAGCAGGAACAGGGTTTTGGGCGGACCAGCCGTAGATGAGATTCCTCTCCGTCAAAGGACAGCCTTTGGGTTGGCCAGTTGAAGTCCCCGAGGTGTATAGGATGACAGCTGTACGGTCGGAATCCGTATCCTGTTTTTCGAGAGCAGGCTTGTGTGCATGGACAGAGGAATCGAAGGCTGCTAATCCAATCCAATCAGGCGAGCTCTCTCCAGAATCAAGAGTCATCTTGCAGTCGATCGAATGTTGCAATTCGGTACAGATATTGTCCACGGCGTTGGTACCATCGGATTCATGAACAACCACAATTGCTGGCTGGAGAGAGCGAATGTAGAAAGTCAACTCATCCACCCTTGCTGGTTCAAGAGCTCGCTTGTCAATGGTGACCAGGGTGATTCTCAAAAAGTTTGCTGCCATCCAAAGCAAAGACCATTCCGCACATACTGGAGGGAGGAAAGCAAGAAGCACAGAGTTTGGCTTTACACCATGGCTTTTGAAGATAGAAGCAATGTTCGTACCGCCTTGAATCATTTGCGAGAATGTCCATTCCACTCCTGATTTCGATGCAGAAGGGCCGACAACTGATGATAGAAGGTCGGCAGGTTGGGTACGTGCAATGACGGCGAGCTGGTCAGGCTTCTCTTTGGCCACATTGGAGAACAAAGACCATATTGATTCTTTGATAGGAGACGGGCGTCCGCCATCCAGTATGGCGTAAGATTTTCTGTTGCCGTTCATGGTTGTATGGTGGTCAGGAACGATAGATTGTTAGGGAGCGAATGTGGAATGACAAGGCATGTCATTGCTATTATATATACAAATCAATATGCATACTGTTTCAGTTTAGGCGTCGATGACAAGACGCCAAGTTGATTGACCAATAAAGATATGGTTTCGTGGTCGTGGATGCAGATCTTCCGCAATAACCGGTGAGGATGGCTGGTATGAGGGGAGCGCCGGAAGTCTAACAACCCAGTTTGTGGTCCAATCATCAGGTTGCTAGCTCTGACCTTTGTGCATTCTGATAAGATGGAGTAAGGTACCATTATCGATATTCGAGTCAGATCGACCGGTGCGGCAATACCATTCACTCTTTTTCTCGACCATCTCACGTGCCAGCGCTAAATGGTGATACGAGCTTACAATCCTTCGTGATTATTCGATCATTCGGTCAGCACAAAGGATTGATCTTTACATATAGTCTGACAGAGACACAGTAATACCGCGATTTGCAATCCACGCTCAAACCCAATCGGGCCACATGAAGCCCTCGTCGCTGAATGCTGATCCTTGATCTTGAAACATTGGTCCCTCAGCTTCTGGAACATAACCATTGTGACAGTAATCCCACTGCACTTTGACCTGTCCTTCATAAAACTTGTCGTACCGCTCGGCCATCGCATTTCTCAGACTCTGCACTGAACCATCTGGATGCAAGGACCTCCAGGGCTCTCTACAATCTTTTCCCCTGCAAGATTTTTGCACCATGAGTAGGGCGTCCAATCTCTCCACCGCTTTTTCAAGCGAGTATCCAAACACTGAATCTACCTTACCACCGTCTTCTAGTAGGTTATTCATTTGTCCTGGATCGCTGCTCATGTCGTAGAGTTCGTGTTCATTCGTACACCAAACCTGATAATAGAGATTATAGCCCTCTGCAACAATCCTGATGCCTTTAAAAGTGTTGTTTTGGTGTAGTCTGCGATCATAAATGCCTTCGCCACCAGCGAAACCCCAGTACTCTACTTGTATGTGCTCGCGTCTTTTGTTTTCTTCTGCTTCGATAGCCTTGTGAGTTACGGGGATGGGTGTGCCGTCAAAGTCTTCGCGCAAAGGTATATCCAGCAGTGAGAATATGGTGGCAGCAATGTCTGTGTGGCTGGTTACGAGTTGCGTGGTTTGATTGATGGGCACATTGGGACCGCGGATGATTAGAGGAATGTTGATGTCTTCCTCGCAACCCGTGGATTTTCCGGGTTGCATGCGGTGGTTGCCGATGTGGAAGCCATTGTCACTGCTGTAGATGATGTATGTGTTATGGAGAAGGTCATGCGACTCTAAGCGTGAAAACAGTGTATCGACCATTTCATCGACGGCTTGGAGGGCGCGCAGGCGTTGGCGGTAAAAGTGGTCATTCCAGTCTACCATTGTGGTGTTTTGTCTTTCGAGTGAGCGAATCCAGTTTGCTCCTGAGGGCATTTCTGGGTTGAAATTGGCTGTCCTGGGTACTTTGACATCCTCGAATAGATTGGCATGTCTGGGTGCTGAGACGGGCGCGTCAAAAGAGAGTGAACCGCTGTTGTTCTGAATATCGGCATGAGGGGCACTCGGTGCAATCATGAGGAAAAAGGGCTTCTTTGCATCTACGGCTTCATCGAGGAGACCATATGCCTTTTGAGCTAATACATCTGTGACATATCCGCCCTCGTGGCTTTGAGGTGGGTCTTTGTTGCGTTGGAAAGAGCTGTTCATATAGTTGTATGTGTATGGATCTAGAAGGAAGTCGTGGCTTGTGAATCCAGCTGGGTATGGTGTGTTGTAGTTGTCCACATTGTGAGCATTGAACAACTTGCCAGTGTAGTAGACATTGTATCCAGCCTCCTGCAGCCAGACGGGTAGGTATGCCGAGTTGAAGCCTTGTTTGACGAATTTAGGATAGCCACCATAGGGTGGGTTGACGTCTGTGATATTTGTGTTGTGTGCAGCTTTGCCCGTCATCAGAGTAACACGGGCTGGACAGCATACGGCAGTCGTGCAGTAGTGCTTGTCGTAATAGGTTCCCTTGTCGATCAAGTGTTTTCTCACCAGTGGCATGTATTCAAGAGATGAGAGATGGACATCTTGATCGTCGGTCAAAACGAAGACAATGTTTGGCGGGTTCGACTGCTGGCCGAGGACTTGTTGTTGAGCTGAGACGCCAATGGCCGAAGAGAATACAGCAGCTATCGATGCCAATCTCATGCTGATACTCGGAGACTGGATACAGTTCTGTTGAATGACTAGTGAAGAGGAGATGAAAGAGCGCTGCTTCTCTCTTGTGTTCAAGTACCCCGCATCACGGACGTCGAACCTTGATGGCGTGCTTGAATGGGGCTGGGCGATAAACGAAGAATATAGTCAAAAAGTGGTCGTTGATCTAAGATGGTGTTTTTACAATAATACTGTACATTTGTTTTGGCACGGGGCGAGACTCTAGATCTTCTCGGCCTCCTCTAAGAGCTCCTCGATGCTGAAGCTGCTGTCTCCTTGGCTAAACTGCTCCATCAATTTTCTGCGAGGACTTTGCTCGGCAGCCTTGCCGTAGAACTTTTGTAGACACATCAACAGCCACTTGCCCTCCTCGACGGTGATTTGCTTGTCCTCAGTGACAGTGCCCTCGAGCAGGACCAGGCCCTTGTCGTCGGCTAGATCAAGATGGTGGGTGACGGTAGTGTGAGGCTGAGCAAACTCGCCCTTGAGCTTGAACTCGGCCAGAGCGGTGAAGAGCACAGTGCAAGTGGTGGGCGAGGGGAAGGTCCACTGCANAAAGTGAATCTCGGCACCCTGACCCTCCTTGGGCAGAGGCAGGACGAACTGGGGGTGCTTGCGGGCGGTTTCGGCGATCTGGTGGTAGGTAGGAGTGGGCACGACGGCACACAGGGAGCTGGGGGAGCTTGCGTGGCGCAACCTCCAGATGTATTCAATCTCTTTCTGAGGCAGCTCTTTTGTCTTTGCCACGTCGATGAAGGATGCCAGTGTCTTGATGCCTGCCTTTTCCTCGGCCGATACAGAGGCCTTGGACGACTCTGGTTGTTGTGCCTGAGGCTGAGGCTGAGGCGGCGGAGGGGGCTGGAAGGGAGCATTGGGAGTCGTGGAATTGGCCATGGTGGTGTCCAGAGGGGCGTTTGCGCCGGGCACAATGGCCTGCTGTCGCAACTCGACAATCTTTTCCTTGTACGCCGACTTGAGCTTGTCGACATCGCCGTGGCCCTCCTGCTTTGCCTTTTGCTCGAGCTTGGCCTTGTACTTGTCAAAGACTCTGTGGTCGGGCTTCTGGTGCGTCGCCAGAAAGCGGATGTCGTGCACCTGCGCCCATCGTCGCTGTGTGAGGCGTGTCGTGGGTGCAAATGCCCTGGCAATGTGCCGAGTCGGTGATACTAGAGATGCCATGTTCTATTTGGTGGAATTGTTCTTGTTCGCAACGCCATCCGAAGCATAAAGATGCTATGCTTGGCGCGTTGCCGCTTTCGGCCGTCGGCTGTGTCCGGCGTGCAAAACCGGTATACCGCGGTACATGACAAACTTTTGTCACTCAAACCTCTCCACAAACAGTGACGACCCCGGTTGTTGTATGCGGGGCTGATCACTTTCCGTGACGATGCTCAGAGAAACAAGCCACTGCGCACTGTGGATCGTGCTGGCTATTCGGCACACGATCATATAGGTAGGAAGCCTTTCTGCCCAGTTTCCTTCCTTCTCTCCCTCTGCTTTCCCCTGTCCGCCTCCTACACCAAAATGCCTACCGAGTCCCCATATCCACGCATCCAGGTCCCAGAAGTCGGCTTGTGGGACTTTTTGTTCGAACGAAAGGACAGGCCATACGCGGATGACCACGGTGTGCACTTCAGATACATCCATCAATCATTGTCTTGTCTAACCCACATTCANGTCGTCTTCCAAGATGCTTACACCAAGCGCTCTTACACCTACGCCCAGACACGCAATGCCGCCATTGACTTCGGCAAAGGCCTCAAGGGTGCCTGGGACTGGCAGAAGGGAGACGTTATCGCCATGTTTACCCCAAACTCCATCGACACCCCCATTGTCATGTGGGGTGCTCACTGGGCAGGAGCCACTGTTTCGCCCGCAAACCCTGGCTACAGTGTAGACGAGCTGGCCTTCCAGCTGAAAGACTCTGGTGCAAAGGCTCTGGTGACACAATGGCCCGTTATCGCGACTGCTCGGGCCGCCGCAAAGAAGGTCGGTCTACCGGAAGACCGTATCATTCTGATCGGCGACCAGAGAGATCCCGAAATGAGAGTCAAGCATTTCACCTCGATCCGCAACACCGCCGGTACCAACCGTTACCGACGCACCAAGGTCGATCCTGAGAAGGATCTGGCATTCTTGGTATATTCCAGCGGCACCACGGGTCTCCCTAAAGGTGTCATGCTGTGCCATAAGAACATTGTTGCGAATACCCTCCAAGTCGGTACAGCAGAAGCGCCCTTGACGCCGGAAGACAGGATTCTTGCCTTCCTTCCCTTTTTTCACATCTATGGCTTGACCGTCATCTTGCACATGAGCTTCTACAAGGGCTGTCGCACGGTAGTAATGCCGAAGTTTGACATCGAGGACTTCTGCCGCATCACACAGGAAGAGAAGATCACGTTCAGCTACGTCGCACCCCCCGTAGTCTTGCTTTTGAGCAAGCACCCTGTCGTCGAGAAGTATGACTTGAGCACGATACGCATGATGAACTCTGGGGCCGCGCCTCTGACCAAAGAGCTCGTGAATGCCGTATACGACCGTACAAAGCTCAAGGTCAAGCAAGGTTATGGCTTGAGTGAAACCTCTCCGACCACTCACACTCAGCAATGGGACGTCTGGCAGAGTACAGTTGGGAGTGTCGGCATCTTGTTGCCCAACATGACTGCCAAATATATGTCACCGGAAGAGCAGGAAGTGCCAGTCGGAGAGGTTGGCGAGCTATGGCTCAAGGGACCTAACATTTTCAAGGGCTATTTGAACAATGCCGAGGGTACTGCAAACGCCCTGACGGCCGATGGCTATTTCAAGACTGGCGATGTCGGTTACCAAGACAAGGACAACAACTTTTTCATCACCGATCGAGTCAAGGAGTTGATCAAGTACAAGGTAAGATACATTACACGCTCAAGCATGATTGAGAATCTGACATGAGTCTTGCAGGGTTTCCAAGTCCCGCCGGCAGAGCTCGAGGGTTACCTTGTTGCACACGACAAGATCGATGACGTCGCAGTCATCGGCATCTACAGAGAAGATCTCGCGACAGAAGTTCCTAGAGCATACGTTGTACCACGCAAAGGCGTCGAGGCCGGCAAAGCTCTCGAGGACGACATTGTCAACTGGATTGGCGCAAAGGTTGCGAATCACAAGAAACTGAGAGGCGGTGTCAGATTCGTCGATCAGATCCCCAAGAGTATCTCAGGTAAAATTCTACGACGAGTCTTGAAGGCACAGGCCGAGGAAGAGGCGAAGAAGGGTCAAAAGGCCAAGCTGTAGTTTTGGGCATGACTTGATGGAGTGTTCTACTCTGAGTCCTGCTTCAACATATGTTTTGGGTAGCAAGCTGACATTCTCAAGACGCGCTAGATAGATTGTTGTATGATCAAAAGAGTTGTACTATGCAAGCAAGAACATACAGCCGATCATCAGTCTGCCGATGTGCCGAGGAATGCTGAACGTCGGGTCCTTCTCTTGAAAACCACCGGTGGTCGTTCCTTCCCACCACTCGACTTGCTGATCCAAGACAACAACAACGATTGTTTTCTCACACAAAGATCCTTGATCCTTCAAGTCATCATTTTTCAACAACAATGATTGTCATCAATCCGCCATGTTCTGGACGCACTTTCTTTATTGGCGTTCATCACAATCGTGGCCGAAAGCAGCCGAAGTCTTGCGAGTTGATCGATCAAAGAAGATGCAATGCTCAAGCAAACCAAGTCAGCCGAATCCGGCTCGAACAAAGATCGTCTGGCGATGTAGAGGAAAACGATTGAGCATCGAGTAAATGCAATCTACCAGATCTCACACTGTTCCATTGCATACATACTGACTAACATGGCGCCCAAACGACCTCTGGACAGCGATGAATCGGCAAAAGTTGGAGCAAAGAAACCTCGCTTAGAGGGAGATGGAGATGGCGACGTAGAGATGTCTGATGGACTATCTGCCTTTATCGACCAGTATGAGATTGACGATGAGCCTTTCCTCGACGGTGCCAAGGCAAAAGTGGTTGATGAAACCCTAGTGCCTCAAATCAGACTTGATGACCTCGACTACGATCATGGTGGCTTCCCCGACGATCTTGTCTACGATGACAACGGAACCGTTCACTCTGGATATTACAACCCAATCTCTCCAAGCTATAAAATGCCCAAGTCACCCGTAACTACGTCTAGAGCCTCAACCTCGGAAATCTCCTTTCCCGCCAGTATGATTTTGAGAGTCAGGGATGCAGTGTTGAAGTTTCCTAAGGTCCTCATACCTCAAATTATGAAGTCAACTCCAGAGAAACACGAAATTTTCGAATTGTTCGAAAATGTCAAACGGCTGGATGGAGGCTGGATCGGTGTCGAGGGAAAGCTGGGAAAGGGTGGTCAGGGATGTGCTCGACTGTTTGTCAAAGTTGACGACCAAAAGAGAATTACCAAACGAGTTGTGATCAAAGATTCGTGGCAGCCGATAGAGTTGTGGGCTCAGGAAGACTGGTGGGAAAAAGGCAGGCTTGGATACGATCCTCGGGAATCAATAATGAACAGACTGTTGAGTTTACCGACGCCCGAGAGATGGGAGAGATATATCGTCGAGTATCTGGGCCATTCCATCAACCATATATGGAAGGTTAGCAGGACTTACATGGAGTATTGCGACGGGGGCGATCTGCACAATCTCATGAACGCACAGATAAAAGCCTAGTAAGTTTTCTGATGGGGAATCTGGTGTCTAGAGACTTACATTTGCAACAGCCGGCACCTCAACCCAAACTATGGATCTGAGGGAAGTGGACATGATTCCCCCAAATGGGTTGACTCTGCAGCTGGAACAAGAGCGCCTGAGCCGTTTATCTGGTACTATTTGAAGCAGATGGCCGTCGCATTGCATCGCATGAACAACATACCCCTGCGCAGATATAAAGACAACTACCAAGTGGTCCATCAGTAAGTGACATCCCCTTGAATCAGGCAAAGACCATGACTGACCCGTATGCAGAGACATCAAACCGCAGAATAGTAAGTAAGCTCTGACTGACTACGGGTCGACCTTACTGACTCGATTTTAGTTTTCCTCACACACCCAGATCCTGAAGACTTTCCACAGTATCCAATTTGCAAGGTCAGTACTCCTATCATCCACAAGATTCCGCAACAGATTTCTGACCATGCTGCAAAGATCGGCGACTTTGGTTCCTCACATGTCACTTTTCCACTCGATCCTGACAACCCGGGGGAATATTACGATGCAGTGACACCTGGTTATATTGCCCCAGAAATGGATGAAGACGTGTGTAATAAAGAGGCATGGGAGCTCAGCTCTGCCACAAATGTGAGTCTTGCCTCCCGAACTTATAAGGAGGGACGAGCCGGCACGAGAAGAACTGAAGCTAACCGTCAAATCACTCAAAATAGATCNTGGCAGATTGCAATGTCGGCCGTAACCCTGATGAGACTGGAAAACCCGGACTCGATAAATTACGAGGAAAAAGGCTGGCAGGAACCATTCACGCATGATCTCGCCGATCTGACCTTCGATTACAGTATCGAACTCCGGGACCTACTTGAGGCAATGTTGAGCAACAATCCTGCATCTCGACCCAGACCTCGAGACATCATCGAGTGGCTATACAGTAAAGATGTTCAACCTCACTGGAGACAGATGGCCACGGCACCAGACTGCAACGATTTTGAATTGTGTTCGTCATGGTTGCACTGGTCGCCGAANCAAAAAAACCAAATCAACGACGTTCTCGCCAATGTTCCATCTTTGCCGAAGAAAACGAAGACAAAGATTGGAGGATTGCCGGTGCTAGGTTCGTCTTCGGATGACGACGACGACGACGAAGACGACAACGACAATGCAACTGTCAAGGCGAAGGCGAAGAAGCTTCTGGATGTTGTAGGCTCAGCGGTGATGGCAGGCACGGATGACGACGATGAGGAGGAAGAAGAAGAAGAAGAAGAAGAAGACGACGACGAGGATGATGAAGGGGGTGAAGAAGAAGAGGAAGTGGAGGAAGAAGCAGATGGAACCGAAGACCTCGACCCAGACTTCAATGATCCCATGGCAGGATCGAGTGGTCCATCCCTTTCGAGCGGAAGCCCATACAAACCTCCTCGCAAAAGATGAAGAAACGTTCCTCAGAGGTGTGAGCAGTTGGTGGCAGTCGTTGATTCTTGATAGCAATACATGAGTTTCGAACAGAGGCATTCCCAGAGAGACATGAGCTGTTGATGTATTTTGGTTTCTCTGGACATTGCTATGTCTTCCACAACTATTGCACATTGTCACGAGACGTGGGTGTCTGAAAGAAACGTCTGTCTTGATTGCCCGGTTAGTAAGGTTGAAGAAGCATAGTCACGGTTCCTTTTCGCGACTTTGACATTAATCTTTGGCAGGAGGTTTTGGAAGGATAAGCATTCTGATGTTTGATACTCTTGGTATACATAATATACCAGACTTCTGTTTACTCATCTTCTTCTGGCAATTCCTAATTTCTATTAGACACCCCGTGTCTCGCATACCAACCATCTCCTTGCATAACAGGTACGTTAGGGTCAGCAGGGTACCGAGGATTCGGAGGCAGCGGACCAGTCCCATCACAAAGATCACACTTGCAGTTTTCCAGGTCGCCCAGCACGATACTGACCAGGTGCTGTCCAAAGCGTGCAACTGTCTTGAAGGGCTTCTTGGATGGGTGTCCGTACACGTAGATATCGCCGATGGTGAGGTATTGCGGGTCGTCAGGAAGTACATAGGACCTACGATGGCGCCAGTATGCCGTGTAGCCCGTGGGTGAAGACTTGACAAAGTTGACATAGTGGCCTGAGTTTCTTACTGTTACTCACCCGGATACAGTGGTGTGCAGAAAGAGATAAAACATACCAAAAGCAGTCAGTGCGTAGCCACGCGTGTTGAAGACGTGCGTCAAGTGCTCTAGAAACTCTTCCGTCTGATGTTTGACCGTGACGAGGTTGAAACATTCTTCCCCAGTGCCGTCGCTGTGGTATTCGCCGAGGTCGATGTCTTGAGCCTGGCTGGCGATAGGGATGGGTGGTGTGTCGTTCATTGTTGAGAAAGTGTTTTGATCGTGGTCGGAGTAACAACGCGAGGTGGAGTTGGAGAAAAAGAATGCGTGAACGGTGACTTCTGCTAATGTACCAGGAAGTAGCGTTTGCTCGTTTTGCTCTCGTCTTGTCGCTTATTCGGCTTGATTCTCCTTCGTGTCGTTGTGCAGATTTCGGGATCAGGTGCTTGCAGGTTGAGCCTGCCTTTTTAATGCCCGGGTCCGTTCATCAGACCGCTAGGGGTTGTCCATCCAAAGGCGGACCTCCCGATCATTCTCTCCGATATAAATTCATGCATTTCGACAGCCAACTAAATCTAGACGATGGCAAGATGGAAGGGAAGAATGTATTGCTCTTATTGGAAGACTTCCTGGAGGCTACCGAACGTTGTATATCAGCCGTGTGAGCCATTGAGAGTGATATGCAAAAAGGAGAAATCGGCACCGATCCGATTCGAACCCTGACACCTTCCGCTAGCACATATATTCATCTCAGATTCCATTTGTTACTGTAATCGGTCGAGTGGTGTAACGGCTTATACACTCCTGATTCACAATAAAACCATCCTGCCTTGTACGTCTCAATTCATGCCCCCAGATGGCCGACATCTGGTGACTATGATCAAGGAGCCAAGGGATGGTTTTCCCATAAGAGCTCAGCTCTGGTTTTTTTGCTGTTTTTGATGATGATCACAAGATGCTTGCTGTGATATACAAATGCTATAGACCCAGTTCTTTGTCAGTTCGGTTACAGTGATGCTTGATCAGCACGAGAAGGAAAGTTCACTTCAGCTATATTTGCTTTGACAATGGGTTCATTCGCCCGAGCTGAGCAATCAAGTCTGGTCAATCCAGCTGTGGATGTTCTTGATCTGCCCGGTCGCTTTGTCTGGCTGAAGCAAGTCGAAATTCGAGTGACTACTTCACATGTCCCTTTACATGTCCGAATAGTAGACCTACCAAGCCCTCTTTTCCTTTTAGAGAGACATCCAGCGCATCAGCGAACAAAGAACAGAATCCTCGCAATACAAAGTGATGGAAGAAGATTACCAAAAAGAATCAAGCTAATTAATGATCTTGAACTTTCTGCTACAGAATCAGAGCTTCAGGGGCGATCAGAAACAGAAGTGCCTCCATTGACAGTGCCCGCTCTTGCATGAGTATGTTCCATTGCTCTACTTTCGTCAATTGTCCTGTGCTGAGCAGCTGTTTATTTGAGGCTCAAGTGGTAGGAAAGGTGAAGGTATCGGGCATGCAGGAACGCTATAGCGAGTACCTCAAGCTGTATTGGGAGAGTCCTTGGGAGCCATATCAGGAGTGTCTGCGGAATCTGTGCAGGGAGATCTTGCAGACGCCGGACGATAGAGGTTGCAGAGTGGGCATCTGCAACTAACAAGATTGCTAGTCATTATGCTCAACGCATGTATGGAAAAGTTCTGAAGGGTTGCGAATGGGCGGCCGCTGGGATGTCCCCAAATCTCGATCAGAGCGTGTCCACTAGAACTTCGGTAGCTGAATGCCGCGTAACCTTGAGGAAGAGCGCCTGTGAAACTGATGTTGTACACTTGTTTCACACATCAGTCAGGATTGGACTTGAAGGAGCGGATGGATGAGTAGTTACCGCCCTGGCCTAGGTCGCTTAAATTGAAGATCTGGGTGAGGTAGTCGAGAACGTGCTGATGGTCTGGTCTGGTCATGTGCGTAGGGTATCTTCCGGTGCCATCGCTTGTGATTATGCTGAGATCGGTGCTGACCAATGGTAAATTGTCATTGATGTTTGGTACTCGACCAACAACAGGACCTTGGGTTGAAGGCTGATTGGTCATTTTGAAGTGATGTTGTTGATGGACTGTGATCAATATGTGATGGAAGATAATGGGAAGAAAGGTTGTTTCTCGGTGCCTTGTGTTTCGTATGAATGTGGGAACACGGCAGGTGCAACAAACCTCGAAGTAGCCCCTCTATGAACAAGCTTATAATTCGAAATTGGTTTGGTACCTTCTCAACTCGTTTCATTGTCCTGTCTTCACGGAAAGAGGCGGGTACCAAGCAAACCTCTGCTTCCCTTTCTTTTCTCGCATGGAAAGCTCTGTCACACCTAACAGCTATCTCAATACACATCTTTTTTCGGACCGTTGACCAGGAAGCAATGGCACAGCCGCACCACAGTGGCTTCAAAATGCACTATAGGGGTTCCTAGACGCGTACCGCTGCATGAGAACCAGGGTGTGGCCATCAGATAGAGGATGACCAATCTAAGAGAGTGAGAAGAAACTCTGGAGTACTGCAACTGTTAGCAACGATACCAACCTGGCACTGAAGCATCTCCAACGCTTCTTTTCGCCGGATAACCCGACCAGCAAACCATCTCCATCTCGACGCAAAGAACCATTTGAACTTCACAGCCGCCCAAAGAAGCTAAGCCATGGGTCCGGAACCTTCTGTCTTGTTCCCCGGAGACCGCTGTCTTGCCTATAAGAATTCTTGAATCCAAGCACTCCTTTTACTGCATCTCTCTCACACGGAACACACCCCTTCGCCCACCAGGTCACCGAGCATCCAAAATGGTAGACCCGGATCCCAACATGTGGAGAAACCCACCTAACCCCAAAGTCTCGACCCCAAAACCAGCTGCAAAATCGACCACCAAAGGCATTAACCCAGGACATCAAAACTTCGACCTCAGCGATGAGCAATTCACAAGCGACGGAGTCAAGGACTGGCCCACCAACAAGACCCACGTTCCGGACGAAGAGTTTTTGAAGCTGCTCACCACTGCATACAATGCACGCAAAGACCTTGTTGACCAATGGAGTAAGTGCTATCTGCGTCGTTGACCTGAGTTCCGTACTCTGGCTGACCGTGTATACTATGATCAACAGCCNGGACAGCCCATCAACTTTGAAGGCGAACCTCCAAAGGGCTACGCTCTGTTCAGAAAATCTGATCTGTCTGTTCATGGACATCCCAGCGGCAGATATTTCAGATCTGTCAAGCTTTTCGTCGATCATGTGCACAGTATCATGACGGAGACGCTCCCCAGCTGTCGCTGCGCCGTATGCCTCCCTACTTAGGCATGATAAAGAAACCGAGCCTGAGCTTTTGGTGGCCTCTCTTCTTTCTCTCTGAGCATGACTCCAGACAAGATCTGTAGGCAAGCACAGAAGCATAAAGATAGTCTTTGTGTGTACATCAGCAATGGGAGACCTTGAGAATTTGAATGCGCCTCGTGAGCTTACCACCATTGCTCTTCTCCTATCCCTCTTTCTGTTGTTCACCCAGACTCTCAAACCTTATCATATCAAATTGCACAAAGTTTTGTGAACCAGTCATCCGTCCAGAAAGAGCCTGTAGAGGTGATAGTTTTCCCTGGACACTTCATTGTTTCAGATATTGTTGTGCATGTGATTGTACGCCCATGAGGTTTGCGCTTTGAGATGCAACCGACTTGGCTTTACTTCTTGTCGCCTGTGGTCGTTCGTCTTCGAGACCCGGGTTCCAAGATTGCTCTCTGTGTGCTGAACGTAAAGTAACCAATTATCAGCCAGCGAAAACGCTCGATGTTGTTCATGTTGAGTTGGCTATGATTCGAGAAGGTCGTATGAGCAGGAAAAGGATGAACACAGGAGGTTCACGATGTTATCGAGCGAATGAGAGCGGCTGATAGCAATTTAGTATCGATGGGAAATGGACTCTTCATTATTATATTGTCATCATGATTGCGTGTCTGGTAGACGAACAGCGATGTCGCCGGATTGTGTGATGTAGCGAACCCATGGCAGGGAAGAATATTGGANGCTGTGAATTCGAGTTAGCGTTTGCCTGAGATGGTTTACAGCTCCTCTCCTTACCTTGGGTTCGATGATCTTGAGATACCTCACGTTGATGCCCGATGTAGTAAAGTATGGGATNNCTATGGACGAGTTAGTAAGTGTAAAAGATAACAGTAAACATACAAGACATACCTCAAACTTGACGTTGATGGGTCGCTTGCTCTTGCCACGGTCGCCAACACCACCCATACTACCACCAAAGCCGCCCATCATACCACCACCCTTCTCATCATCACCGCGTACCGACGGCAAGCCCAATTCAGCACGCATCAAAAACTCCTTGCCACCACCAAACTGTTTGATCTTCCAGACAATAGCACTCTGCTCGGGAGCATAGTGCACCGAGCCGATATTCGTCCTGAAGCGTGGTGTATCGGCATCTTCTGGCACTGGAATGGAGATTTCGACATTGTTGGCGGTCGAGCGGCGCTTGAATTGTGCTTTTGCTTTGAGCATGTATTCGATACGACTGCCAGAGTGGTTCTCAACAATACACTCGACCCAGATGAGAGGCTTGACCTGAGTGTTGAGACGGTAGCTCATGAGCTCGAACTCACCGTCCGGAGGGATGAAGCTAATTGTACGGTCGTTCTCGAAACGCGATAGGCGGACACACTGGTGGAATTTGACATCCTCCATCTCGACTGCCTTGCCGCGAGTTGCGCGACCAGTGGTCTCGAACATGGCCTTGTCATTGAGACCTAGGCGCAGCTCGGGCATACCAGACAGATAACACTTCATCTTGATGGCACCAAGGATTTCTGAGCGTAGTACGTTTCCGGTAGATGAGACGAGCAGGTTGAGAGATTCGACGACATCAAGGAAGACCTCGTTCTTGCGGTAGCGGATGCCTTCTGAACGCCACGAGACGGCGTTTGTGACTGCGATGGGTGGTCGTGCCTGCACTTCCAGCTTGTGTGATTCCTGGGTAATGTATTCTTGCAAGATTTTGCTTTCTGTCGTCTGAGGGTGTCCGAAATCCATCATTTCATCGAGTAGTTCGTAGATGATGACAAAGTTGTCACGGATACTCTCCTCTTCCAGCTCTTTAAAGTACTCGGTAAAGACCTCGACGATTTTGTGAAGGAAGAGTAGGATCTCGGCGGCATTGGAGTTGCGCTTGGTGAGGGCGAGGAGGTAGAGGTTGTTGTGACGGATGTAGAGGTAGTTGATGCCTTCGTCGCTGAAGCAGGGAGGGACGGCCGAGCTCTCTTCTTCGGCTTCGGATAGGAGGACGGGAAACTTGTCGACGGCGCTCATGGGAATGTCACCGCGGTAATTGCGCGCCAGAAGGGTNNCTGTGATACTGTCAGCCTGGGCTTGTGACAGGAGCTGTCTATTCATGTGTACCTTGCCCTTGAGGTCGAGGAAGAAGAGGGCCGAAGCCATCGTGTAGTGAGAGCGCTGCCGGTCGGGATATGATTGGGTGTTGGCGTCTGAGTTGAGATGTCCGGACTGTCGGCGAGCAGCGACTTCCTCTTTGGTGGGCGACGGCTCCTGGTGAATTGTTGTTGCTATCGAGTGATGACAGGCAGCCAAGCGTCGTGAATGTTGCTTGTTGCTTGCTCCCCTAACTTCCCCACATGGCGCACTGACCAGTCCATTTTCCCATAAAACTTCAGTCTTGCTTGCCAAATCTTCGCTTTCTTTCCTTCAACGCAGCCTTTTAGACAGTTCTTGCCGGCATCTGGTGCAGACTTCACGTTATGTGCAAGTCTGTGCTGTATTCTCAATTGCTGGTTTGCGATCAGGTCGATGCGCAGACGGACAAGTGGTTCTATAAGAACTGGCTACGCATAATTCTGTTGTGTAGGCGGTGTCAGAAGATCCCGACATCTCTAGATATTAAGTATCTTTTCAATATCGGCTTTTATCAAAACAATCAATCGCATATTGCAGTTCCCAGAGAGTGATAAAACTGGTCTCGATACTGGTGATCGAACTGTTTGCGCCGAGTCATCTCTGCGTAGACGAACACCAAGTCTCCTCAATCACGTCCCATGTGAGGACTTGCTTTGTGCTCTGCCTCGGGCTCCCCCTCGTCATCGCCAGCAACAAGAAAGTTGGTGCCTGCGAATGCGCTGCCTGAGGTACCGATGAAGCTCAGTCATCGATGGTGATATAGTCAACCTTTGGCGACTTCAAGCCCCTCGCAACGCCGTACATGGTCTCGGCCAGCTGAAACATGACTTCCTGCTCCCAAACTCCAAACTCGCCCACCGTATCTCTGGCCACATCTTCCACGAGCTCGGCAGCTGAACGCACAAGGGTGCTCTTGGTGCCTCCTTTCCATTTGGCAAGTTTGTCTTCCTCAGCATGGACCATCTCAAGTCCCTCTTTGTCTTCGAGCTGGAATTCGAGGTCTTGCTCTTCGATCTCAAGGACGGCAGCGAAGGCGGAAGTGAGGTGGATGTTGAGGAAATGCTCATCGGCACGACGGAGGCGGACATGCGAGTAGATGAAGACTCCGATGAGGCGACGCTCTTTGTCTGTGTTGTGGTCGCTTGAGGAAGGCATGTTGGTTGTTCTTTCCTGTTTCGGAACTCAGCTTTGCGTTGATTGTTTCGTGACAGGAAGACTTACCTTTGGTGCTGTACTGTTTATTATGAGGAGGTGATCAGATAGTTGCTTCCACACTCAGGGTCGAGCGATATCCGGTGCGAATGAGGTTGCGAGTTGGGAAGAACATTGAGAGAGAGATTTGGTCGTGAGCCTTCTTGACAGCCTCAACTCACTACGGGTACTGACCCAACACCAGTAAGACTCCTTTGTCCAAGCCATACTTGCAACACGAGTCAAGACGATCAAGCCTCACTTCGTCACGAAACACACTCCTCAGGCAAACACCCACGAACAACGCCATCACATCCAGCTCGGAGCGAACCTGAGTTCAAGCCGCTACAAAACATACAGACAAATTGAAGAGGATAGAAATTCCGAGTAAAAGGCTTGCCCGTCCTACGGAGTCTCTTTCCCTTGACCAACCATTCAGACCAGCGCAGATTTTGTACTTCTACAGCTCTTTGACATCCGTCAGCTCCTTCCTAGAACCAACGATCATGAGATTCCTTGGACTCTCTTTGTACTCAAAGATTGGCAACGCATCCACCTCTGCCATTCCAGCTTCTTTCAGGAAGAACACTCTGTCCAAAGCGATCGCCGACTCTACCACCCTACACAGCAACACCGACAATGTCCACAATATCGCTGTCTCCGCCATCCTAGACTGATATCTCTCTTCATACTCTGCAATCTCCTGCTCTGTGACGTCCCTACCAATCTGCGATCTCAGGGATGAGAGAGCACGAGAAGTATATGCGGTAAAACTCTTCAAGTCGCCGTTCCTGATACCCCAGACTGGTCGCTGATCGCCCTGTTGGACTAGCTTCTTATCGAACAGCAGTTTTTCTAGGACGGCACGATACCAGTGTTTTCTTGCAAATATCGAGTCGGGGTTGTGTGTCCAGTTTGTTGGGGCTTGACAGCCTGTGATCAAGGCTGAAGTAGAGAGGTTGAGATTGTTTGTACGCATGAAGGACGAGATTGGGAAGCCTGTGGGATTCTCAGGTGTGAGAGGGTCTATGTGGTTGAAGCAGCACCCTACAACGGCGAGTTGAGTTATACAGGGAACGGTTGTAGAGAGACGAATCATGTGTTCGGAAAGTGAACCGCAGGCGTGCAGACCAGTCAGTAGACACTCATCTCCCTCGGCCCAACGTGTTACTTCTGTACACAATTCGTCCGCACCGGTAACAAACCGAACGAGATGTGTAATGTGCTTGTTCTCGACGAGTCCAGCTTGTTGAGCTGCTGCTTTCGAACCTTGGATTTGCTTTTCACTGCCATCGATGGCGAGGACTTTAAGACCACATGCTGCTGCCAAAGTCAAGGAGAGATAGCCTTGTCCGCTGCCAATATCGATGACGCGAGTGATGTTGTGTGTTTTGCAGATGTGATTGATGTATCGAGCGCCTGCGCGCACTTCTGCCAATTTCTTGGTGACCATACGACTGGCCATGACCTCTGGTACTTTGACGTGTGCAATGTTGTCGGGCAAGATTAACTGTTCGCGATCGAGACTCAGGTTGCGTAGCCGGTCTAGCCATCGCGACAAGCTTTCCGGCCGGCCAGGNNGGAGATCATGGCGCCTAGCTTCTGGTTGTTTGCGAAGGCTGTTGATGAGGTCTTTTTGTGCATCTTGTGGGGTCGGCAAAAACTCCCACCATGTCGTCCATTCGCGAGGCAACTTCTCCCAGGCGTCGTAGATAAAAGCATCATTGACATGAATACCTCCAGTGATCTGTACTGACAGCGGCTCATGCATAAATGCTATGACATCCCGAGCATAGCTGTGGATGTCCGTGTAGCCCGACGGTAGATTGACCATCTCAAGGGTGTGAAGCCCAGCACGGAAGTCTGGATCGAGAAACCAGGGATAGGAGGAGGATTGTGAAGCGGCACCGTCAATGTAGGCTATCGAAACAGAAATCCTGTACACAGAGAGTACGCTGAGTCTGTACAATTGGAGATGAGTGAGCCGACTGTAAGAGATCGCTTGCCAGGTTCCAAGACGCTCGCCAATCAGGTAATCGTTGATGTAGCAAGTCACCAGTGCCCTTGGACAACCTGACAGCTCCTTGAACGTAAGCACCTGTCGCGGGGAGGGTGTTTAAGCAGGACACAGAGATCAACGATGTTAGACAGAACAAAGAGCAAGTGGATTGTACCCGTCCGTCGACTATCAACCCCATCAACTATTGACCACTGGCCTACCTCTGGAAGTACACTAACCTACCTGCAAAGAAGAAGAAGAACTCAAGAGAACTGGTCGAAAGGAGCACGGCTACCAGGCATCGACATCAACGAATGTCTGTGAAGTGTACGTAGAGCGTTTGTGAAGACGTCCTTGGTCACTGTGGTCACCTTAGGCTGTTCGTCAACCAACGGATTCCGGAAGACAAAGTCGACCTTCCAAAACTTTCCGTCGTCCAGAAGTCCCGGCTATAACTACCCTTGATGCTAGAGCACGGTCCATCTTGCAGCCATGGCAACTATAGGCGAGATTTTCTCCAAAATGGCCCAGGTTGACAACAAATATATGGTGTACTCTGTTGTAACTCAACAATCTCTACTCCATGAAGCGCCCTCCAGGGACAGAATTGAAACACATGACTCGCGTATAATCCAATACGACTTGACCGGTCTTGCTGTGTTCCTCATGCTTCTCGAGCGTCTTGATATCGTGTCTCTTGCTGATTCTCAAGATGAGCATGATTGCATTGGCCATTTGTTCGGGATACAGAGACTAAGTGTACGATCAAAGACCCTGCCATCCGCAGGGGCAAAAGGTATTGTCTATCACCAGATTGATGAGACGCACATTTCTATAACAGCATGCTATTAATGTTTCTACTCAAGATTATGTCCATTAAAAGACACGATGTCATCAAGAAATGGGATCATATCCACTGAAAGCACATTAGCCTGCCGTTCTCTCAGCATCCAACATCTTTGGCAGTCCAGTCTCCTCGTACGTCTTGCCGTCTACCATTTTTGCCAATGCCTCACTGCAGGAAAATATGAATGACATGCCACCTCCGTTGAAACCAGCGGCAATGAACCAATTCCCTTTGCCAGGAACTTTACCCACAAAAGGAAAGCCGTCTTTTGTTTCGCCTTGAATGCCTGTCCATAGATGTGTAATCTTAGCATTGCTCTTCTCCCAACCCTTGAAGTTGGACTGCATGTAGGTGGCAAAGTAAGGGCGGACGTTAGGGAGAAGTGTACTGTCATCCGTAGTATCGTGCCAGCAGTCCTTGTCAGCATCGAAGAGAAACTTTGCGCCGCCAACTACAATGCCACTGTCTGGTCTTGGATTCAAGTAGTCCACTCTTGTGGCTTGGTCTGCTGCATGGTCATAATAAATGTTATAGGTATGGCTCAGGTGTGGAGAGATCGGTTTTGCAGGTGCGATATGGCAGGCTGTTCCTTTGTAGGGAATAATCTCATCTTTATATAATGGATGGATCGCTGGAGTATAAGCGTTGGTGGCGAAGATGAGTTTTCGGGTCGTCAGACTGCCGTGAGCCGTGTGAAGGACAGTGGACGAGGTATCAGAGGAGTCGATGGATAGTACAGGAGTATGTGTGAATAAAGTCACCGTTCCGGAATCGACCAATCGTGAGAGGAGCTGTGTGACGAACTTATAAGGCCAGAGGCTGCAGACAGGCATGCTGATGGCTGACTTTGCACCTTGGATTGATGTGACNNCTATTTGCTTGTGAATACCTGCATCGGCCAATCGATCGAGGGATGGGTAGAAATAACACACCTGCTCAGCGATTTCAGGTCCCACAAAATCTAGGTCCCTCGCCCATTGGTAGCCCTCTTTTAAGGCAGTACGATATAGTTGCTCTGCCAGGATTGCTTCTCCCTCATCAACAAAGACATCGTAGCTGCGTCGCATCTCGAATTCGCATTTCAGCCCCTCTCTATCCACTGCGTCCTTCATGTGATATTTCTGAGCAGATACAAAAGCAGCAAGCTCATTAGCAGCATCCAACCCACGCGTTGTCATCGTTTTACGCAAAGTGAACGCTTGAACCTTACAATGGCCNNCTGTCTTACTCGTCAGTTGGAATCAGCAGATACTTGAAGTGGCTCAGCATACGCCATTTCGTCCTGTGGCTCCGGAGCAGACCTCACGAGCATCGAGAATAACGATTGATGATTTCTTTCCTAGNNATTTTTTTGCAGCATGTAGGCGTGAGAGGTGGTAGGCTGTGCTGACACCGGTCATGCCAGCTCCGATTATGGCAATATCACATTCTGAGGGCAGCTCCTCGGATGAGCAGTATGAGTCTATAGGGTGTAACTCAGATCGCCAGTATGAGAGGGTGTGGTTTGGCACAGGAAAGCCATCACTAGTTGCCGATTGGACATTTCCAGCTTCGGCCTGCTTGACCTGAGTTCCCTTGCCAAAGAGGGACCATAAGTTATTCATGGTGTGCGTCTTTTCCAATCAAGAGAGGCTGAGCATGGGGGCGGAACCGACAAGGCGAAAGGACGCCAGTACCTGCTTCTTAAATTCCAAGTGTGCTGTTATCCGGCTTATCAGCGACACATGCTGTTGCCTACCAGTCTGGCTGAAAGGAGGGCAGGTTCCTACGTGAGGGGTCATACGAGTGGCTTGCATGCTGTAGGTACATGACCATCCACCACCGGATGTATCTCACGCCCACGTCTCAGAGCTTGATTGGCGATGTGCTTCTATGACCAGATAGGGAGGGGCTCGGATGGCAATAGAGGTGCTGCTTGTCCTGAGGCTGAAGGAGAGTGCGGCTCTCTCGGCTGAGGCTGTGGCGGAGGTTCAACCTTTGTTTTGTCACTGTCGATCATGACGGAACGACTCCAAGCACATGGGTGCTATCCAGCACACACATTGGACAAACATAACCTTCGAGAGATACAAGCACATTCGTATCGAACGCTGCAGGCACAGCCCGTACCAGAATAGATGGTTCTTTTTGCTCTTAAGGCTAAGTCAAATCTTTGTTCCTTTTCATGTTTACGTCGCTGTTCTCATAGCATTGTCCTGCCAATTCTACTCATCTCGCCGCCGTTATCTGAAGGCGCTTATCATATTAGTAGCTATCGAGCAGCTCGTGTATTTCATCCAGCAAGAAACAAGCAGTAGAGAATCACACACATCCAATGCAGCAATCACAGCCTGTGGCGCCGCCGCCAGAATACACGCGAAGAGACCCGGCATCGACGCCATCAACTCTGTTGGGCTCTTCTCGAGCTCCCCCGTCCCAAGCNCAATCCACACAATGTCCTACCACAAGCCCAAACTCAAATACCGTCACAGTCGACGACACCACAGGAGCAGTATGCTTCCCGTCCCCCACATCTACAACCAATACCTCAGACTACGCCCGTCCGCCCTCCCCGACTCCAAGCACTCAAACAACCGCTTCCACCATCCTCCCAACATATGCCGAAACAGGGAGCTACAAAGGGTTTCCTAGCGAGGCAGCATACATAGCCGCTCTGACCGAATGGGCCGAGCACAAGAAATACGTGCAACCCAGCGAGGAAGCCCAAACCCTGTCTGGCNNTTTTTTTGGGTACAAGACCATGGATGAGTACACTGGCGAGCCAAAGGCACCGAGAACTACAAGGAGGAAGTCAAGTCAGGGTCAAGGCGAAAGAGGAGGTTTTGTGGGCTTCTTGAAAAAGATGGCCAAGAAGGATGAAGGAGGTGGGCATGGGGGTTGATGCATGATGAGGGACGATCTGATTCGGTGTTGTGGGAATTCTGGGTAGGCCCTCAAAATGGATATCAACCATCGTGACTGCTGGGGAAATGCAGTAGTCTGCGATATGATCCATGAGCACCATCATGCTCGTATTTGCATAACTAAAGTACGATGGTCTCCGTCAGGGAGTGATGGGACGTAGACCAAGAGTGTATGACAGTCTCCAGACACGCAAAGCAGCATGACCGTGTAGCAGCGGATGTGAACGCACCACAGCAGTACTCTGTACAAGATGTAGGCGGGTGTGTCTTGTGTGCATGCTTGTCGGGTCTAATTATCACTATAGAAAAAGAACGAAAAGATGTGGCCCTGAATTGAAACCCACCGAGCCATAGGTCACAGGCAATAATGGGCGATTAACGCGACGGGCAGTTTCGGTCTAGAAACCTGAAATGGGGTCCGACAGAATGTCGAACAAAAAGCCACCGGTATATCATACTGAGATAGTCCAAGCGGTGGGTGACAGGTCCCATGTTAAGAGGAGAAAGGAAGAAAACAAAACGGAAAGCGAAGAATTTGTAGTGACGGGCTCGGGGCTTGCCCGAGGTTCGGCGGAAGCTGCTTACGCGCGGATGATCGCTGATTGGCCAGACGACTTCCATCGGCTGGGGATGGATTCGAGGTTCATACCGCATGCACTTGTCTTGACGACGACGACGCAGTAGACATCACAATCACAATGCTTGCTCAGAGACTCGGTCTGCAAACAGCGCGCCGCCGTAAGTTAGCTGACTTGGTCCCATCGAGATACGGACTAACGTGGCAGCANGTGGCGGTCCGCCAGCCTTCGCTCCTCTCGTCGCGCACTCCCCAGCTACTCTCTTCCGCCGGCTTGGTCCAGCAAAGGTACGGACTGCTTCCACTCGCGCCGCTCTAGCTTTCGTCAATCTCACACACGTCTTCTGTCNNCAGACACGCCGCCTTCCAGTCCGTGTCCGAATCCGAGGCCTCGCAACAAATCCTGGCCAAGCAGCGCCTGAACCGCCCCGTCTCGCCTCACTTGGGCATCTACAAGCCCCAGATCACCTGGTACGGCTCCGCTCTCAACCGTGTCACCGGCGTCACCCTCTCCGGCGCCTTCTACGTCTTCGGTCTCTCATACCTCATCGCTCCCGCCTTCGGCTGGCACGTCGAGAGCGCCAGTCTTGCCGCTTCCTTTGCTGCATGGCCTGCTGCTCTTGCCATCTTGGCCAAGCTCGTTGCCAGCTTCCCCTTTACCTACCACAGCTTCAACGGCCTTCGCCACTTGATGTGGGACATGGGTAAGGGCATTACCAACAAACAGGTCCAGGTCACTGGCTGGACTGTCGTTGGACTCAGCGTCTTCACCAGCTTCGTCCTGGCTCTTCTGTAGATTCCCCCTTTCTTGTTCTGTCCTATATCCGACGTTTTATCCTCTTCACGAATCGATTCTTCCTCTTGACATGTATATTCTTTATTGCATTATCAACTGGAGATCAGGCCTTCTCATCCACCTACATGACCATCGGCCTCCAATCTAGCTCTCACATCCCTGACGAGCGCTTTGGCTTCCTCCACTTCGACCCCATCTTGACACAGTTCGTTTGCCAGTTCCGACGCACGCTGCCAATCCTGCTTGACAAAGCTCCACTTGGCCAGCCATAATCTTGCTTTGCTTGTTGTCTGCGTGATTCCAATACCTCCTCCAGCGCTGGATAGTGGCGCCCCTGGTGGCAAGTCGTCCTCGTCTGGACCTTCTTCTTGCGCCAACGTGAGTTCCATGTATGCCGATGCCTCGTCCATGTTATTGTCCTGCTCGTAAAGGAGGGCGATCTGATAGAGGATCTCGGGGTCCAGTGCGCCTCCAACTGCTCCAGCGAGCGGGTCTGCTGAAGATGCAAAGCTGACTGTGCCACCACCGTTGTCAAGATAGCTTCCAGCAACCAACGCCCTCTTGTATGACCGTATCGCATTCTGTAATCTGCCACAGTTGGCGAATGAGTTTGCCACTGCCATCCACATCTTCGGGTCCCAAGGTTGTAGAGCGACCGCGCGCTGAAAGTAGAACAGAGCATACGAATGCATGTCCAAGAGTTCATAGCCCTGACCCAGGCCGTACCACGCTCGGTAATCCTTTCTGTTGGCGTCAACGGCTCGCCTATAACTTTCAATGGCTGCTTGGGTATTCTTGAGCTCAATGTATTCATGGCCCATCAGAGTCCACGCTGACAGAAACTGCCGATCAAGAGTGAGAGCCCGTCTGAAATACATGACTGCCTTTTCGTGCTCTGAGCTTTGAGAGTAGTAATTTCCGATAATGCAGCACGTTTCGGGACGGAACTTGTCGATGGCTGACGCGACCGACGCGAGATGTGCTAACTTCGGTCTCGACGGCATTACGTAGAGAATGTTTGAATACGAGTCCATCGAGTCGAGTCGGTAAGGATGCCGCAGAAGAAGGTCGGCGAACAGCCCATCGGCCTCCTCAAACTCTGCACGTAAAGTCAATAAGATACGATTGACAAAAACGTGTCCAAAACTCCTCACCTTNNTAGAATGATAATGCAGCAGAGCACGCTGAGTCTGCAAGAAGGCCGAGTTGGGAAAGATGCTGCTGATTTGATTGATCTCGTTGTAGACCTTTTCTGTCGACTGGAAGAGCTCTTGGCTACAGTAGATATGGAACATGAAGGTCATGATATTTTGTGGCAAGTGTTCGGTTATTTCGTTGAGNNCTGGATAGGTGTGTTAGTAGATTGTCTAGAAAGAGATTCTAATACTGACCTCCTCGGCCGAGCTCAACAGATCTGCAAGTTCTTGCCATGCTCCCCAATTCCAGGGACAATGGTTGACGCTTTTGAGAAGCCATGCCTTTGCAAGTGTCTCATTCTTGCCTTTCAGCAAGACAACTCCATAGAGATACTCCAAGAAACCTTGTGACTCGTGTGTACTTGAGAGGCCTCCTCGAGCGCTCAGGTATTCATCGAGGATGCTGGATATCCTGATGAGCTCCTTGTTCAGAGTGACAGAACCATCGGTAGGACCTAGAATCATCTCACTGTCTTCTTCCTTGCGTTTCTCGCCAGCCATGTATTTTGCATACAGAGCAAGAAAAAGAGAGCGTTGACTGAGCGGTGGTAGGCCTGATAGATGATTCGTTGGCTTTTGTTTGGGTTTGGTGGCAGCATTGGCCGCATCTCTAGTAACTGGTTGTTGTGGGACAAGACTGGGTATTAGAGTAGCGGCGCAACGATCGAATTCACGACAATCGAAAANAGATTTGGCCATGAGAAACTTGGGGTACTCTCTGCGTTCTAGTCGGGCTTCGTGCAAGTCTTGTGAGAATTGGAAATTGGACCATGATTTGTCTTCGCCGTTCGGAGAGTTTGGTTCTGTGTCGTAGGCAGAGTCGAGGTCATGATCTGAGTCTGGGAAGGCATTGAGAAGTTCTGCAGCNNCCTGAATGTTTGTCAACACAAGCATGATACGGAACACAAGTAGATGGATTCACCATTTTGCAGAACGGTACAAGCAGCGGTCGTTACATGCGGCTACAGCCTGGTGCAGTTGAGTGCGTAATTGTAATGTTTGCTCAGTAGACAGAGTAGCCATATCGGTGGATGTCGGGGGAGGTGGTTGGCTTGGCCGGAATTGTGTTTGTTGATGTCTACTTATGTCTCACCAGCATGAACGTCTCGGAAGTGCAAGAGCAGTATATCCTGTCTCTAGTATTAACGGAACGGACGCGGTCGAAGAAGATGACTAGCTGTAGAGTGGTTTGCTAATTTGGATTGAGTCGTGGATCAGGAGGGAGATTGGTGGGGTTCTGGCTGCGGCGCAAGGGGAGAGAGACGGAGGTCAATTTGGCCAAACAAATCGGACGACTTTTTGTTCTTCAACACACTCGTTCTTCGTATTGTCGCCATTTCTCGTCTCGCCCACTCCTTGTCTAGTCTGCGCTCTTCAGGTCCTCGCCGCCTCCTGAACAGCACAACAGCGAAACCTATCCACTCTTTGCGCCCACGCACCACCACCACCGCCATCATGCCCACCACTCTCAAGCAATTCGAGTCCGTCTTCCCCCAGCTCATCCGGGACCTGAGCGACCACTGCAAGCAATACAAGCTCCCCACCCAGGCCCTCACATGGTTCGAGGAGTCCCTCCAGCACAACACCGTCGGCGGCAAGTGCAACCGCGGCATGTCGGTCGTCGACACATCGGCCCTGCTGCTCAAGCGTGACCTGACCGACGACGAGTACTTCCGCTCTGCTACCCTTGGCTGGATGATTGAGCTGCTCCAGGCCTTCTTCCTCGTCTCCGACGACATCATGGACTCGTCCAAGACACGCCGTGGTTCTCCCTGTTGGTACCTGATGCCCAACGTCGGCATGATCGCCATCAACGACGCCTTCATGCTCGAGAGCGCCATCTACATTCTGCTCAAGAAGTACTTCCGTCAAGACAAGAACTACGTCGACTTGATGGAGCTGTTCCACGAGGTCACCTTCCAGACCGAGCTGGGCCAGGCCTGCGACTTGTTGACTGCCCCTGAGGACCACGTTGACCTTGACAACTTCTCTCTGGAAAAGTACACCTTCATCGTCATCTACAAGACCGCATACTATTCATTCTACCTCCCCGTCGCTTTGGCCCTCCACTTTTGCGGCATGGCCACCGAGAAGAACCTCAAGCAGGCACACGACATTCTCATCCCAATGGGCGAATACTTCCAGGTCCAGGACGACTACCTTGACAATTACGCCGACCCCGAGACTCTTGGCAAGATCGGCACCGACATTCAGGACAACAAGTGCAGTTGGTTGGTGAACCAGGCCTTGAAGCGTGCCACCAAGGAGCAGCGTGCCGTTCTCGAGCAACACTATGGCAGAAAGAACAAGGACGACGAGGCCAAGGTCAAGGCTCTCTTCAACGAGCTGCAGCTCGACCAGGTCTACCATGCATACGAAGAAGAGAAGGTCGGCGACATTAGAAAACACATTGCCGACGTGGACGAGAGCGAAGGCCTCAAGAAGGAGGTGTTTGAAGAGTTCCTCCGCAAGATTTACAAGAGAAGCAAGTAAAATACTGGTCGACAGTACGCGCAAGCTATGCTACAAAAGATACCTCTAGAGCCATTATAATAATTTCTTTCCACCCTCCCGCCCGGGGAAGCACGCTCAGTAGATGTATGGGAAGAGCTTGTAGGGAGTCTGCTTTCTGTAATTCTGCCATTGTTCGCCGTACTAAAGGGCATTGTTAGCAGTGAAGCAGTAATTGGCCTGAAGGCAACCTACCCTCTCATGGCAATATCTGTTCAGCTCGGGTATACCATCAGAGATGAAGTTGTACGAGAAGAATGCGCCAACGATGGCTCCCCAGGTCCAGCCACCGGCAGCCAAGGCGTAGCCAGCACGCCAGAGTGTATATCCTGCATAGTTGATATGTCTTGCGAACCGGAATAGGCCTCCGGTGTAGACTTTGCCCTTGTTTGCAGGGTCCTTCTTGAACTGTAGCCTCTGCCATTCGGAGAAGGTCTCGGTGAAGATGCCGACAAGATATAATGCGGAGCCGACTAGCAGGGGNNGGGTCTGCGGGAAGTGTTCGCCGTTGACCGAAGCAGAGGTCATGGAGCAGGTAAAGAGCAGCGAGTTGACGGAATTGAAGACAGTGTTGAAAACCGAGACCTCAATGGCAGACAATGGTGGGAACTCCTCTTGACAAACGCCGACAAGCCAGTAGTTTTGCTTGATGGCGCTGCCTGCAGCCATGCCGAGGAGGATTAATCTATAGGGCGACAGAGCGAGACCATCGAGGAATGTATTTGTGATGACTGGGGGCCCTTGGGCCAAAGTCTTTCCTCCGAGCTTGTGTATAGCAGGGGCGGCAATGCCTTTGGCAAGGAGACCATACTGAAGGACCGGGTCGAGACTGCGGAGGCCTATAAAGAGACCTGTTCCCAGAGGGCTACTCTGCTTGACTCCACGAAGGATCAGCCTGTTCTTGTGTTTCTTATCCTCTGAACTCATGATGCGTGTTGTTTTGGGTGACGAGTCGGTGAAGTAACGTAAACATTGAGAGGCCTCGGAGACCATGCGCCCCGCACTCCCACAATCACATGTCTAGAAGACAGATGGAAGCCCGCTCTACTCGCGTTGGCATCAGATACCCCTTTGATGCCAACGTGATGTTTAGGTCGATCGATGTCAACGGCATTGATATTCCGAGCCGATCTTGTTTCCAACGCCGACACGCCGACGCGCCATCTTCGAGCCTCTTGTCGCGTCTCCCTCAGACAAAGAACTCTCACCACGTTTGAGCTTTTGGTCATATCACATTTTCATTGTTCTTTTCCATTCTTGCTTGTTATTGCTTGCATATTCGCCACTCATCGACGCACCATATCTGCTTCTTGGAGCCCATGCCCGCTATGCTGTAGCAAATGTCCTTCAAGTTTGCATACTTCTGCGATTATCTTGAGCGCTGCGAAGAAATATCATGTCACGACCCTCCATTGCCCCCAGCAGAACTCAAGTCGAGACTCTACCGTCAACATGCCTCTTGGTTTGCTTCGCACCGAAAAGCCATTGATGCCCTGGATGAACCTGGTACCACCGCATTGCTATCAACATTACTACCATGCAAAAGAAAGGATCGCATCTATGGATTGCAATCTGCATCCCTCTTGAAACTACTCGGTCGATGTCTCGGATTGAGCGCATCTGCTAGACAAGAGCTTGCGTCATTCCAGAAACCCAACAATGGTGATCTAGGAGATTGCTTGCAGCGCCTTCTAAAGGTTCGTGGTCCGCCAGCTCTCCCATGTGTCGGTCTGCAAGAGGCAGATGATGTGTTGCACTCTCTTGCTGCAGGAAACAGATTTTCTGCTCCATCGGTCCGCCAATCCTTTCGTCCTTCAGCAAGCATCGATTCCTCCCTCGCCGATACCTTCATGCGCCTTCACCCTGTCGAAGCCAAATGGTTTGTACGACTCATCTTGAAAGATTTTGCTTCAGTGATATTGAACGAAAGGTCAATAATGGCCTCAATCCACTTCTTACTTCCGGACTTGCTCGCTTTGCAAGACAGCTTTGAGGATGCATGCACCGCCTTGAAGACAACCTTTGCTGATTACCCGAGTCGCCCGGATCCTCAGTCCAGAAACATTTTGCGCCAAACTGCCCTCTCATCGTTTAGACCAACTCCTGGTGTCAAGGTTAGTCGTCCTGAGTACACCAAAGCCAGGTCTATAAAACATTGTTTGCAGATGACTGCTGGAGGAAAGTGGCTGTTGGAGCGGAAATATGACGGAGAATACTGCCAGGTATGAGAGTCTTATCTGTTTTGCTTGCCTAGACACTCGCTAACGATCCGCGTGTATAGNATACATGTCGATATCACTCGAGGTGACGATTGGCTCAAGATATATTCCAAGAGCGGCAGAGACTCCACCAAAGATCGAGCAGGTCTGCGGGATACTATCAGGAGATGCCTACGCATAGGTAGTGACAACTGCAAATTCAAGCGCGCATGTATTCTGGTAGGAGAGACGGTGGTCTTTTCTGATGCCGACAACAGCATTCTTGGATTCGATGAGATCCGCAAGCACGTTTCCCGCGCTGGCTCGCTTATCGGTGCTGAAAACGAGCCGCCAGCCCGACCGAGCGAACACTTGATGATCGTATTGTTTGATCTTCTCCTACTTGATGACGAAGATATCTTGTCGAAATCTGTTGAGGAACGCAAAGCCCGACTGGGCAGCGTCTACAGAAAGATCCACGGCCGAGCAGCCCCAGCTGAATCTTGTGTGATGGACTTTTCAAAGGTCAATGCTGAGCGCAGGCTTATGAACCATCTTGCGGCATCAATTGCATGTCGTCATGAGGGTCTGGTCCTCAAACCATGTGGTGTTCCCTATCTCTCTCACGATTCACACAATGGCATCAAGCTCAAAAAGGACTACATAGCCGGACTCGGAGACGAAGCTGATTTTGCTGTTGTGGCCGCATCGTACAGTGCCCAAGAAGCAAAGAAACGATCAGATCTGCGCTTGAAGTACACCCACTTTCACTTGGGATGTCTTTTGAACAAAGGTACGCTCCATCAATATGGTACCAAGCCCAGATACAGGATTGTGGCGACGATTGCATATGATCATTGCATATCAAAACAAATCTTGGAGAGGGTCAACGTCGAGGGTGCCTTGCTCGCAGAACCATACATCGAGAGCACCTCGACATTCTTGATTGAACCCGACAGCATGCTGCACATCCGAGACTATTTTCGAGAGCCTTTGGTTTTCGAGGTGTTGGGTAGCTCGTACAGCAAGCTTCCTGGCGGCTATTTCATGCTGCGACACCCTCGAGTGAGAAAGCTACATCGAGACCGGACATGGAGAGATTGTATCACATTCGATGAACTACAAGTGGCAGCAGTCCAAGCTTTGGATACCCCTCAGGTTTCAGAGACACAAGAAAACATCAATTGGATGACCAAGTTGGAGATCAGTCACAAGCGGAGATACGCAAGACATAGCCTCAACACAACGCCACGATCAAGCGTTGCCGATACGACTCCTCGATCAGCCCGGAGTGGCTCGACTTATACCCCCTCACCTACAGAGATTGGATCAAAAATCAAGCCCCTGGCTGTTCTGGGGGACAAACTGCGCACGAGGACGACTGTACAGGCTCATATCATCCCTATCAAGCAAGACGCCCCTTTACCTACTCCGCCGGAATCGTCTCCATCAGATGGATCGAGAAAGGTGGAGCCATCCACGGTATTAGGCAAGCGCAAGTTGTGTGAAGGCAGATACAGCGGGATCAAACAGGTTTGCACTAATATCGCATGCCCATGCCGGAAACAGAAGAAGCAATTCTTCGTACGGAGCCCGGATGCATCGCCACGGACGCCACTTTCGGACATCACTCATCAAACGGTTGCAAGACCGGTCGGGTCGAGCAGTGGTAAAGCACATGGACCAAGCTGTGCTGAGGGGTGTTGCAGTTTTGGACAGGCTACACCGCTTACTCAAGGAGACAAATGCATATTCGGCCGGTCAGTTGTCTTCATAGCAGACTTGCCACTGGCAGAGAAGGAGAAGATTCGACAGAAGGTACTCGAGCATGGCGCGGTGGTCATCCAAGACTTGGCGTATTGGGATCGAGACACTCGGGCGCCCGAACAAGACCCAGGGACGGTGTATGAAAGTCAGGCCTACGAGGGGATGCGAAAAATGGTACTGGTGGACCCTCGGGAGATACGGCAGTATCGTGCTTGTTATGCAGAGGTCGAGAGATTGGGTTTGGACAGAGTCGAGATCTTCGACTACCGTATTGTCAAGGCCATGTGCAGCAATGTACAGACAAGCTAGGCAGGGGCAATGCGAACGGGTGATCTGTGCCGTAATCGGAGCATGGGACGTTATCAACGCGGATACATAGTCCAGAGGAAATAGCAACGAATCGAGGTTGATTTGAGAAGGTCATGCAAAGAAGCAAACAGAGACGAGGGACGGTGACAATTGGAAGGAAAGACGTTGCAAGGCATGACGGTATTGTGCATCGAAATAGGCAACGAGTGTTTGATTGGCTGAAACGCGGCCTCCTGTCAGGGTCCGGCCGGGGAGGTCCTTATTAATCCCAAACATGCGTGTGCAGCGGCCAAAGGCAAGACCAACGACGACCCCAATGCAGGTGTTACGTGTGACGGCTCGGATCCTCTGCTCCTGAGCAACATCATCATGGACGAACAACGGCCCTGGAGCAGGAGCGGCATCAATCCTCACGCGCGATCCATGTCGGAGCGAAAGGCGAAGCGCTTCAGCCTCACATTCCCTATCCAAACATCCGTGTCGCCAACCTCGGCAATCCTCTCACCAGTCCTACCCTATACTCCTCTGCTCGCCGAGAAGCCCACCCTAGCTGCTGGTCCGACCGATTCTGCCTTTCTCACCGCACTGGCCGCCCACGAGCGACGCGTACTGGAATTGAGAGAGGAGTTGATCAAGGCCGAGCATGAACTGCATCGTCTCAAGCAAACATGGGCTGCCCACGAAGCCCACAAGAAGCGTCAACACGACCCGCGCAAGGTACACAAGATGCAATCCTTGCATGCCACGCCCGACACCGATCCGCTACTCGCCTCCCGGCAGCACGACATGGAGCGACGCAGAGCCTTGTTAAGCAGCAACAAGAACTCGACCCGTACAGTCTTTTCCGGCTCTCGCCATGCTCGTGCCTTGTCACTATTGTCGCCTGACGCTATGCGCCCGCCGCCACCTCGCTCGCAACCTCAACCGCGCACTGAACAAGACTCGTCACGACCCCCACACCCTACCCGAGTACCCACCGATGCCGACTTGACCACCGAGGTGGCACGTACAGCAGACGATGCTATCGATCTGGGCTTGCCTCGCGAGGTTCTGCTCAAGACTGGCAAACAAATGGCTTCTGACTTTCGAGACGGCCTGTGGACCTTTATCGAGGACTTGAGACAGGCCACTGTCGGCGACGAAGGCATCAACGGAACAACCTCGCGAACACAATCTCGCTCTCCGAACCCGTCAAGGTCTCCCAGGCCTCAACCTAGTAGAGGTAGTCTCAAACCTTCGCCTAACCCCCAGCCTTTGAAGAGAAGTGCCACAACCGGTAGTCGACGAACGGATTCTCGCTCGCCAGCACCATCAGCCGCCGAAGAAATCGCATATCTCGATATTGGTAACTCGTTTTGGAAGGAACACGAGTCCACGCCTGCTCCTATTCTTCGCAAACCCTCCAAGAAGAAATCTGTTCCTCCTCCCGTCAAAGTCAACCGTGCTTCGACGACCTCTCTTGATGCATGGGAGAATTGGGAAGCCACTGTCCCTAGCTCTGACCCGAAGCCGTCGCGATCCAACTCGTCGATCTCTGAGCTTCACACGTCCTCAAGCCCAGATGACACCAGTCCCACAACCAGCACAAGGTCGGTCACATTCATCTTCTATAAGACTTCCTAAGCTGACATAATGTGGAGTTCATCCAGAGACACAAAGAGGGACTCGTTGCCATGGCCTGCGCTGAACAAACTAGCCCCGAGCAATCTCAGGCGCACTGCTTCACATCTTATGAATGAGTGGGAGAGGAGTTTGTCTCCTACCTCGGGTGATACTGATAGGCAGGGCGATTATCTGGAAAGAGCTATATCCCCTGCAGGGTCTTTCAAGGAGACCAAGAACGATTGATCTAATGAATGTAATGACCATATATCTTACGAGATGTAGCCTGGCACCTTATATATAAAGGGCTATATAGAATTCAATTGGTGCATATGGCCATCACTTCATATTCCATGCTTCTTGATACATTTCAGGTTCTGCTTGTGTCGCTGTTGAGCTACATCGCGTCAGTGTTCTATCAAGGATCAGTGTGTCTTTGTGGTAAATCCAAAGCGGGTTGGAAATACTCAACAACAACCACAGAAACGTTATATAGATCAACACTCATACAGCCATTGCAAGTTGATTAGGTTGAAATCTTCTCCGAGTTTTGATCCGTACAACCTTGGAAGAACGCTCCCTTTAGTAAAGATCTATTTCATGCTCATGTTTCCGGTATGACCCTGACCGAAGATTGCTCGGTGATTACCTAAGCTCGCCGCAATCCTCTAGCTTCTTGGCGTGATGGTCGGTCCTACCCGGTAGTCGCGCGAGCTTTTATCAGAGTGATCTCGTTGCTGCTGCTGTTGCGCGGATCCGAATACCATTATCGAAGATGGCATTTCCCGGCATGTCAGCTCCCGGCTTGGGCGGCCAAGGTGTTGGTCTGGATGAGCAGAAGCTGAAGGAGCAGCAGATGATCAAATTTGTGCGCATGCACTGCCTATACCGAACAAGACGAGCAGCAGAAACTGACAAAGAATCAGATGCAACAAGCCATGGAGTCATGTCCAGCAAAGACCGCAATGTCAGGTGTCATGGGTTTTGGTCTGGGTGGTCTGTTCGGTCTCTTCATGTCGAGTGTAAGGCTTTTGTGCATTTACTCTTGAATACAGGCTAACCAAAACTCCTTGTACAGNATGAGATACGATGCCCCTATGACGGCCGGCGCCGACGCAATCACAAAACTCCCCGTCAAGGATCAGCTACGACAAGGATTCAAAGAGATGGGCAAGGCGAGTTGGAGCAGCGCAAAGAACTTTGGCCTCGTCGGTAGCATCTTTGCTGGAACCGAGTGCTGCATTGANGGGTGTAAGTGGACTCGCCACATTTGCCGCCTCTCCTGGGATACTTACTGATCGTGGCTACAGTTCCGCGCAAAGAACGACTTGTACAACGGCGTAGCAGCTGGCTGCATCACAGGTGGTGCCCTCGCTGCCAAAGCCGGTCCGCAGGCCGCTGCTCTGGGTTGCGCTGGTTTCGCTGGCTTCAGTGCCGCTATCGATTACTACATGCGCATGCCGAACGACGACACGGCCGCCGACCCGATCGCTTAGGTCTAGGTCATCGGTCCATGTAATACTAGGAGCAAATGCTTCTTCTTTTGGAAAATTGGCGTTCAAGAGAAGGGTCCTCTGACCATGGAGTTTGTGGCGCACAAGGCAGATCTCGTCTCTTTCTGGTGAAGGGCATCCGTCTATTGGTTCTTCGAATATGCAATACCACGTTACTTGTGGAACACACATCTCAGCTATATCTGCAGTGTTCTGCAATGGCCAAACGATATCGGCTCTAGTCAGAGCCTCCTTACATCCGATCATAGCATCTCGGCACGGTTAAACCATCGCTTGCCCCTGCTTCCATCGGGGTAGCCGGGTAGATCATCAAATATCTGCAAGGCGGATGCTTGTGGTTCTAGACATCAACGAGGCGCCGCAAGGACAGAATCGCCCCTCCTGAATTTAGCCAAGTCGAAACCTATGTTATGGTCATAGGAGAGGCTGCATATAGTGAATCCCGGCATCTGTCATGCTAATGGCGCATGCAATACGAAATCGTCTGCCACAGTGCTTGGTAATGCTTGGTAGTTGTGGTCAAGCTTTCACTTAACCGGCGTCTTGGTATACCAACAGATGCCATATCACGGCCATATATCAAAACCGAAGCCGAGCCGTCTTCGAATACCCTTTCTCACCACTTACACGAAAGCCCATTGTTTAGCCGCTCCTCCCCGCGTCTCCGCATTGGAGAGAAATGGAAATGCGGATGCGGGTGCGGGTGCGGAGCAATAGAGCAGGGCACGATGGCTCTTTGCCTGTTCGCCTGCCGCTTTGGTGGGGCCCCGAAGGCCAGTGCTCTTTACACTCACCTTCTGCTTCCATTTGCGAAAGCGAACGGAGCTTCTGTAATCTCCAGCCATGAAACCTTGTCCTTTTAGCCTGTTCGCGTATGCAATAGGTCACTGTCAAGGGACTTGCATGCAGGAACATGAAATTGCTAGAGCAGGACCAGATTATCCGGCCATCTGTAGCCAGGAAAGAATCATGTAGAGCAGTATATATAGGTAGGCACTCATCTCTGTTACACCCATCATCAAGCAAGAAGCCGCACTTCCTTCGTTACACTACAGTCTCTCCACCATGTCTATTCGTTCTTTGCTCAGCTTTGGCTTGTTGGCGGCTCCTCTTGTTTCCGCCCTGCCTGCTGCAGACTACAAGTCGACCTCTTGTAGCACCAGCACTTCCCACAGCACCTCCCACAGCACTTCTCACAGCACTTCCCATTCTTCTTCCCACTCCTCGACCAAGTCGTCGGCACACAGCTCTGCAACTTCTGCTGTCGTCACCACCACCAGCTCTGCTTCCAACACCGTCCAAACTACGACTCTGTTGTCAACAGCCACTGGCAAGAGAGGCCTCAACGACTACGCAAAGAAGGCCGGCAAGCTCTACTTTGGTACAGCTGCAGATGTCCCTGGAACCAATGAGACCACCGACAGATACTACCGCGCCGAGCTTGCCAACAGAGATGACTGGGGCCAAGTCACACCTGCCAATGCCATGAAGTAAGAAAGACCTACCATATCATAAAGTGCATAACTAATCGCCTCCAGATGGGTCTTTACAGAACCCGAGCAGAACGTTTTCAACTACACCGAGGCAGAGGTCTTCCTCGCTGACGCTGCGCCTGGAAAACTTGTTAGATGCCACAACTTGAATTGGTACAACCAGCTTCCCAACTGGCTCACCTCGGGCACATGGACAAACGAGACCTTGACCGCCGTGCTTCAGAACCACGTCACCAACCTCGTCGAGCACTTTGGCAACCGTTGTTACGCTTGGGACGTCGTCAACGAGGCCTTGAGCGACAGCGGCACCACTGGTAGCCTGGCCGACAGCGCCACCTGGAGATCTGATATCTGGTACAACACCATCGGCCCCGGTTATGTTGCCATTGCTTTCAAGGCCGCAGAAGCCGCCGTCAAGAAGAACAAGCTCAAGGTCAAGCTCTACTACAACGACTACAACATCGAGAATGCTGGAGCCAAATCCACTGCTGCGCAAGCACTTGTCAAGAGTCTCAAGGATGCCAAGATCCAGATCGACGGTGTCGGTTTGCAGTCTCACTTCATTGTCGGCGAGACTCCTTCCAGAGCCGCCCAATCTGCTAACATGGAGGCATTTGCCGCCCTTGGAGTTGATGTAGCCATTACTGAGCTTGACATACGTACCACGACACCTCCCACTCTTGCAGCTCAGCAGCAACAGGTCGTTGACTACACGAGCTCTGTTGGTGCATGCGCAGACGTAGATGCTTGTGTCGGTGTTACGGCTTGGGACTTTGACGATGCATACAGCTGGATCCCTTCGACTTTCCCTGGTCAAGGATATGGCGACCTTTTCTTCCAACCTGGAGGATACAACACTCCCCTCGTCCGCAAGGCAGCCTACGATGGTTGCATCGACGTAAGTGTAAACGCNGATTCTTGAATTATCAGCATACTAACAACCGCGACAGGGTCTTACCAGCTAAGCTTCTTCATTATTATGTCGGGATGAGTGAGCCAGCTCGTTCTTGAACTGTCCAAACCCTTGGCAGACTCGCAAAACATGCTGAATCAACTTGAATCTTGTTGAATCTGAAAGGACGGAAACACGTGGGATATATGTGCACAGTCGATTCGTATAAAGAGATTGTTTTTGATTCTCGTGGTGAACGTCTTTGATTGTGATTCCAATGTTGTGGCTTCGGTAGTGTCTCCGATTGGCAGAGGTATGGAAGCAAATGACATTTTTGTCAGAGAATGCTCCTGTGTTTGCAAAATGAAGTTGGTCAACTCGATATGTACCTTTGTTCGCGCATACTTCTCGTGTTCGCCTATGATATTACACGTGCCAAGCTGGGCGGTGGTGCCTCCATGATGTCTTTACGCTCTGTGCTCGCGTCATCGAATCGGGTGGGACTCGTGCGACTCTGTATGTGGTTGAGTTCATCATTTGATCCTTGGAGGCGTCGAGATGGGTCTCGTGATCCTTTGCTTGATGGAGCCATGTAAACGAGCCTCGGAGCCTTTCCAATGGGTCCATCATCACTGCAATAATAACGCAGCAGCAGCAGCAGCAGCAGCACACCGGAGTCGCAGGCCGACGAGAACTTCTTCAGAATGCCGGCAAACGGTAAGTTTCGGCTTTGGGCGCACGAGGAAAATGGTCCGGGGCGATCTGCCAACGGCCCATGTCGACACTCCTCATGGTTTGGCTGATGATGATGCACACAGATGCTTGCGGCACAGAGATGTGGCTTTCAGATGCAAGTCGCGGCGGAGATGCTGGAAAATTGCTGACTTGGCAAGCCTGTTCGACCTGCCTAATTCGCGGTTCCCCGCAAGACAGTCTTTGGCCCTAGCCTTGTACGGTATTCTGTTACTCGAGCAAAACTCTTGTTCACGCCGTGCCTGCTGGTCACGCGGTTGCCTTGTTGGCTATATCGCAAGCTACGCGGCAGGGCGCTACGTCTCGAAGACGTGCAATCTCTCCGAGTGCCCATTCGATGTGATGGTTGGGGACTGCCTCGTAGCCCCGTCCACCGTTCCGATCCCGGCCCTACCAAACCATGCCATCATGAACGATTATGTAAAGTTGCTAAGCCTAGTCCGAAAAAGATGAAAATGTGCTCGACAGAGGGTGCAGGAAATCACCACGAGGTCAAATCTCACTGGGCGTGTGATGCTGCACCCAAAATGCACGGCTTCGTCCTTTTCGCGCAGCCACAGTCTCTTCTGATCCAAGGCGGTCGAAGGAAAAAAAAAACACCACATCGTCAACAAGAGCCGGTTGTCAGCCAGCATCAGCAGCAACGTGTCGGCCCTCTCTTGCTGGCAGCTTGTTCCATCCTTCCGTCTCCTTGCCTCCCTCCTGCCCCGCACCTTTTCCCACACATTCGTACCTCGCACCAGAGAGGTCCTTGTCTTGAAGAGCCGCCGAAAAGTACAAAATTACGTCTCTTCGCCCTGAGCTCAGATCAAAACCTTGCTCCCTGCGGTGAACGAAGCCGGCCAATCATCCGAGCGTGCCCCTTCTGCGTCTGTCGCGCATCAGGTTGCAGAAGCTTCTTCTCTGTTTGGTCTTGATCGTCTAAATTTGTTACCTTGTCGCACCGTCAATCCAGTTCACAGGCCCCCTGGACCTTTCCACGCCTTTTTGTCGACCGCTGCCCGCTCTTCAGCTCTTGCTCTACGCATCTCAGTTTTCTTCAAAAGAAAAAAAAAGCCGTTCCCTCGCAGCTGGGCACGGTCGCCATATCACGTGGTGGCTTGCCCAATTTACTCCTGGTAGAATGCCACTGATGATGCCTACAAAGACTGTTGTTACAATCAATTCGACTGGTCGCCAGACGGCCTCGTTTGTTCGCGTCGCCTCTGCTGTGGGCTGGCGCGTAAAAGCCCAGGTTCGGACTTGCGATGGTTTAGTCGCAGAGGAACTCGCCGCTTTACCCAATGTCGAAATCGTCGAAGGAGATTTGTGCCAACCAAAGGCTGACCTGGTTCCCTTTTTGAATCACCTTTTCGAGGGTGCCAAGCTGGCTTTCATCAACACTACTCACTGGGGCGACGAGGTCGCCATTGGCAAAGCCTGCGCCGACGCTGCCAAACGAGTGGGCGTAACACACTACATTTACTCATCCATGCCGGATCACTCTGTCTACAATCCAGACTGGAGACCACTTCCGTTATGGTCGCAAAAGTTCACAATCGAGAACTACGTCCGCCAACTTGGAATCCCGGCTACTTTCACCTATACTGGAATCTACAACAACAACTTCACTTCTCTACCTTATCCACTATTCCGCATGGAACTTCAGGAAGATGGTAGCTTCCTATGGAAAGCCCCATTCCACCCTCACGATCCACTGCCTTGGCTAGACGCCGAGCATGATGTAGGCCCGGCCCTCTTGCAAATTTTCAAGATGGGTCCAAATGCCTGGAAGGGCCAAAGGTAATGACACAACACGGCGCTACGATTCTTGAATTCACTAAACTCATGCTTTTTAAACAGGGTCACGCTTGCTTTTGAACGACTAAGCCCAATCCAGGCCTGCATCAAGTTTTCACGTGGGGTAGGTAGGCCGGTCAAATACGTACATGGCCCGATAGACATCGAGGTCTCCATCCCCAGTGGCTACCGGGAACATCTCGAATCACTCCAGGAAACCCTAGGCGAAAAGAGAGCCCCTTACTTTGGACCTCTGGAATATCCCCAAGAAGCCAGGNNGAGTCTGTGGGAGGGTTATCGATCACTCGAAGAATACGCTCGCGAAGTCTTCCCAGACGAGGAAGCCGCCAACGGATTGACGTGGATGGACGACGACAAGGAGTTCCCCGAATACGCCGAGAGCACTGGAGATCCCGACGAGGATGGAGACGAGAGCAGTGCTGGAACCACGACGAATCCCACACCTTCTTGGACCCCAGGCATGCGGACACCGTTCAACCATCCCGAGGCGGACGCCCACAACTTCTTCGTGGGCAGCTGTTAATTCTCCGCATTCCTCTTTCGCTTCCGTCGGATAATTTGTCGACTCCGCAGTATGAACACACGCGAATACGAGTTCTTATCCGTCCAATCAAGCACAGCAGAAAAGTGCATTTCAAGGTGTTTTTGGGGACTTTAGTACAACCAAAGCAAATGTATTGGCGTTACACGGCATAACAAAGTCATCGACAAGATCCACGGTCACTCGGTGTGATTTCATGATTACTATTGGAGGACACGAGGTGACATTCGCTTGATGGCTGGCTGGCTGGCCGGCCGGATTCGGTTGCAACATCATATGCGTGGGGGAATTGTTTGTTTGATCCTTGCAAAACCACAGCGTCGGCGTACAGTGCACAGGTATTGCTTCCCTTTTCCGAGGCATCAGCGCTCGCGAGCATGTTCACAATCCATGTATGAAATTCAGACATGAACCTATAAAACTCGGAATTTGACAGTTTTTGAGATGTGACAATCCTTGAATCAAAGAGGGAAAGTAAAGCACAATTGCTTGTCCGTTATATATCTATCAACAAGAAAAGAAAAAAAGCCCTTAGACCAGGCTGGCCACCTTGTTCCAAACTCCTACAAATCCCAAAAGTGTACAGAAGCAAAAAATTCAAAACGCTCGCGCTGTCCAACCAAATTGACTCCAGACCGACAAAAGTCCCTCAGATAGGGTATCAAGCTAAACGACAGGGAAAACCAGAAAAACCAGGATGATGGAAAGAGCGATGAGGTGCCGGCCTCCTTGCTCGACAACGCCAGACCATGACCGACGCACGCTATGCTATATAGGTATTAAGAAAAAAGACATTAATGACGAAAAACGTCGGAAGATTCGAGGATGCTCGGCAGCTAAGCATTAGGCCAACGCATTCGCAGGCCCTCGCTCCAGCGACCGTACAAGGCATCTGCTAGCATGCCAATGTGTTCGAGGCCAGTCTCGACCTTTCCGGGCATCTTGTCTTCGAGGATGGCAGTACGAAGGATCTTTTCGCGTTCGCTGTCCACAAAGGCGCTCTGGCGACGCATCGAGCGGGTTTGAGGAGCCATTTCAGACTTGTACGGTGATGTTGGGGGTGTGATCTCCTTCTCGGTCACGAGTGACACCTTCTTGATCGAAGGGCTGCTGCGAAGACTAGCAAGCTGCGATGCTGGCATGATTTGAGCGGCAAGTCTGGGGTCTCTCTGAACGCGCTCAAAGATGGCCTTGAGCAACAACAATTCACCTTCGGGATCTGTTTCGTCCAAGACATTCCAAGCCTCCGCCATCCTGGCTAGAGCAGTCTGCTTGGGTCCAGGAGCTGTGGAGGCGTATAGTTCTTGTAGTGCTGGATCGATACATTTGACATAGGCGCGTCTTCCGAGGATAACCTCCTTTGTATCCGGCATCATTACAGCAGCAGCAGGAGGCTGGTTCTCGGAATCTTCGACTGCTGTTTGCGACGAGCCAGAGCTCGAGGGTCGAGCTCCTCCGGAAGGGACCCGCTTGAATTGGCGCACTGTCGAAGCTCCATTCCCGAACGACATGTCGAGTCCCAAAGGCTGCTTTGCCTGGACGGAATGACGTCGAGTAGTGTTGTTAGAGCTTGAGCTTTGTTTACTGACTCGGCGTGCGGTAGGAGTTGAGCCAGATGCCTTACGAGTCATGGCGGAAATATCGAGCTGACGAGAGGGAGAAGTAGGGTTTTGCTTTGGGTTGCGAATAGTTGCAGCGGGGTCGTACGAAGGTGATTCTCCTAGTGAAGAATCGAGGGTTTCCATGGCGGCGAAGGCATCCTCGGCCTCGCTGTCCCAAGCAATCATGTGCGCAGGGTCGCGTGGCTTGACGGTTTGAGAGTGGTAGTTTGCTGGTCTGACGGTGTCAAAGACCCAATCATCCTCTTGGCTGGGCGCGTGAAGCTCGTGCAAGGTCTGTTCGTAGTATCTGAGGCGATCTTTCTTGTCGTTGGCAATACGATTGCGGGCTCTGTCAACCAGCATCTTGAGAGAATCCACTCTTCCAGCGCGCTGGATGAATTTGTGCTTGAGAAGAGTCTTGGCGGTAGGTCGCGTGTCGGCATCCTTGTTCAGGCAAAGGGCAACGAATTCGCGGAACTCCTTGGACCAGGTGCCACCTTCGAGTCTTGGGGCTCTTTCTTTTGGGATCAAGAACAAGACCTTCATGGGATGAACCTGACTGTGAGGGGGTTCGCCATTGGCAAGTTCCATGGCGGTGATGCCTAGACTCCAGATGTCTGCTTTGAAATCGTAGCCTGACTCTTGGATGACTTCGGGAGCCATCCAGAATGGAGTGCCGACAAAGGTCAGACGCTGCGACTGGATGTTGGTCAGTTGGGCGGCGACTCCAAAGTCGGCAATCTTGACTCTGCCCGAGCTAGACAGGAGAATATTAGCAGCCTTGATATCTCTGTGGATTTTGCCAGTGTTGTGCAGGTAGTCAAGGCCCAGCAGCAACTCGCGCATGATGACGGCGATCTGAGCCTCGTTGATGGGGCCGGACTTGAGNNCTGGACGGGTCAGAAGGTGGTTCGAGTCTTGTTAGGGAACGTGTTGACGTACCAAATCCAAACACGAGCCTCCACCTAGATATTCCATGACAATCCATAGTTTGGTGCCGCGCACAAAGCTGGCCTTGTATCGTGTTACGTGTTCGCTCAAGCATGTGCTCAGCAGAGAGATCTCTTGTTGGATCTCTTGGATGTCGTCGTCGCTGCCTTCGAGGTCAATNNCTGTGGGAGCCGTGGTCAGCCGATGCGAGGGATTGTATAGGGGCCGGGGCGTCGGTACGTGTTTGATGGCGACCAGATCGCCAGTGGCCTTCTCGACGGCCTTGTATACGACACCAAAACTGCCACTGCCCAGCTCTTCCAGCATGTGGTAGTCGTCGGCCATTGCGGCTTCTCCAAGAGTAGGGTGCATATTTGTGTTTGTTGTGCAGCAGCCTCGGTCTCGTTAGGCTTGGGCGTTGCAGCAGCGGCAGCAGCAGCAGACAGAGGGAGGATGAGGATGGTAGTCGAGAGCGGAGCATGCATGCGAGTGGTTTGCGGCGGGCTTTTGTATCAAATTGTATGCCCGAGAAGCAGCGAGAGCTTAGTGCTAGTCATGTCGCAGCATGGACAAGAAGATGGCCCCCGGACGCCAGCCATGCCAACCGCCCGCGTTGCCCGGCCAACCTCGGATGTGCCACACCGGCCTGCTGCCCTCCATCATCCATGCTCTGCTTGCCAGATCCAATGCTTTTCTAGAAGCCGCCTGCCGTGCACTCAATCTGATCGCCCGTGAGCCGCCTGCCTGCAGCGACTGTATCTTGACTGCACCTGCTGTCCACCAGTCTGCCGTCCATCTGCTCGCCTGCTTCGCCGTATGCGCTTCTGGCCTGCACCCCCTTTGGGCCTCCAGAACTGCCGGGTACTGCCTACGCACTGATAGTCTAATCTAACGTCGCAGCCAAGGACCTTCACACATGACGATTCTCTACTAACCATGGTACCAGCACCACCGCCAAAAGGTCAATGAGTCCAAGGGAGCCTCAACTCGACACCCGACCACCGTCACCGCAGCAATCTTATTGTCGCCGAGCCCGTTGTTCGCCGCCTCCATCATTGCCAACGTCGCCTGCCGTCACGAGCCTGCCAAAAGACATTACTCGCTACCCGCCTAGCCCTACCCACCATAAACCTCCATCTTCTGTTATGACTCTAGCGAGCTGACTGTATGCCCATCTGCTTTCTCATGTTTCCGTGACAGCGGCAGTCGCTGCTCGACGCGTCCGTGTGTTGACATGTTCTCCTGCTCGTGAAAAAACAACAACACAACACCCGGCACTTTCTCTCTCCCGACCGCTGTCATCAGGCCACCATCTATACCATGTACCCTCGACCCTTCTACAGCCCCATCCAGACAGGGTCCATTTCATTCCAGTCGGCACTACCACACTCTCGACGTTATGAACAGCCCCTGTCCTATCAGACGTTGTGGAATCATTCTCTACTCCTTGTCCGGAGTCACGAGATGTTCTTGACTCGCTCGACATCAAGGTAACAGGCAGATCTCGATAACTGTTGCTATCTTGTTCCTTGCTTTGCGCAGCGTCCAGCCGGAGATTGACCCACCATTCCATAGAGTAGTCCTTGATTCTTGGCCAGTCACATGGTTGCAAAACCGCCATTGTATCGGGCCGCCATGGCCCTCCACGTCTCGAGGAGATTTGGGCTGCAACCATTGTACGAGTATGAAGTCATGACTAAAGCACGAGCTGGCGGTCAGTCCTCACTTTTTGACAGGCGACTAGGCCCCTGTTTACGAGATTAGTGCAAAGAGATTTTTTCTCTCTCTTGTCCAGACTATAGACAACCCAACAGACAGCGGTGAAGTAAGGAGCAGACTTGGAAGGGGTCGGTGTGTGTTCTTTGAATCGACTAGTGAGCATGACGAGTGCAGGAGATCGACTTCGCTTATCGATGGTGCATAAATGAAACCGAACTTTATCCCAGCCCTGCAGTTCACGAAGGAGCACCAAGATGCGCGCGAAGATAGCGGAATCTGGCAGTGGTCGATTATCCGAGATGGAAGCGTCAGTGCTTTCTACAAGTGAGGCGGCCAGCGTGTTTCTGGTTCTTCTCGAAGTTTCATTTGCTTCCAGTCCAAAGCTCAGGCCTGATATGCGACCTTGAGTGAATCAAGCACGCGGTAGAGAGTATCATCGTGTTTGTTCAAATACTCCGTACTCTGTGCTCAAAGAAATCCAGAAGGGTGCGAACGTCATGATGAAGTGTCAGTGCTTGACTGGACGGCATGTCCTCCGACAATCAAGAAACGAACAACTGGAGGTGTGGGGCGGGCAGGTGACGTGAAAGAACGAACCGTGGCCACCCTGTCACCAGAAGAGACAAACTGCTGTGTCGCGCTCACATCATGACTGTTGGATTCGTAGCTCTGTTCATCTCATCAGCACCACTGAGCTCTTGCAAAAGCATCATGAGCCGCCAGCACAACAACGCGCCCCACGCAACTACGATTCACAATGAATGAGGCTACCAGCGGAGCTTCTCCAAAGCGCTCGCCTTCGACTAAGGAAAAGGTCAAGCGCTTGGGCCGTGAAACCAAAGCGAAGACCAAGAACTTATTGCATCTTAATAAACACACTTTGACTCCCGAGGAGGAAGCTGCAGAGGGCCAAGACGACGATCCGTACGAAGAAATTCGTCACGACCCAGCCTTTGATCCATCTCAACTGGTCTCTCAAAAACCCAAACTCTCGACTCGCATCGCTGGCGGTCTTTCGAATGGTGTAAAGATTATCGTCCACCCACAAGATGCTGCCAAGAAGCTGGCTGCCTCGAAAGCAGCCATACAGGATCGTCCCTATCTATCCGAGGAAGCTGACAAGGAATTCCTCGATGCACACGAANNAAGTCTCTCGAGGGCAAAAACATCGGCTTCGCGCTCAAATGCATCTGGTGACCAAGACGCCGTCGATGATCAGCGTGAGCGTGTCCAAAGGATAGAAGGCCTGCGACAGAGCAGAAAGGTGGCTTGGACATCGAGCCGCCACTTTAGACGTGCCCTCGTCTTTCCCAAGCGCGAGTTTACCACACCTGCCAAGGAGGATTACACTTATGTCGACACTCGTACTGGCCAGCGTCGTGTCAATTGGCTGGAGTGGCTGAAAGCACGCCAGCTCAATGCTATACAAAGCTTCGCCACGAATCGTATGGGGCAGATAGATTACACGGGGCAGCCTCCATTCGATAGAGAGGCCTCATCACGCTTTGTAGAGCGCATCCTCATCGCCTCTTCGCCATGGCAAACCTTCTTNTTCTCACTCCGGAGTCTATACCTTTGGGAAAACCCGGCAAAATCGAGAAAGTGGCTAGCCATCTGGCTGTTCATCTGGTACCTCGATTATTGCATCACATTCATCATGGCATATTGCGCCGTCACTGTGCTACAAAACAGATTCCAACGCAAGCAGGTTGAAGAGATGCGCGAGGCGTACACGTCTGCACTGCAAAAGGGTAGTTCTGCTTACAAGTTTAGTGCCCTTCTTCAGCAGCACGGAGCAGACTGGATCGACCCTGTCATCGAGAGTGCGGGACCCAAGATACAGATGCAGTTGTCTGATATGGCTGATACGCTAGAGTCATTGAACAACTTCTACGACTGGCGCGATCCGAAGCTCACTTGGGCTACCCTCTTCTTCTTCTTCACGGCGATTCTGCTGGGGATCTTTACACCTAGTGAATACTCTATCAAGATCGTGAACATGTCTTGCATTACCATGTTCTTTGGATCCCGCTATGTTGCTCACTACCACCCCGACTACCGACATGTTGTCAACGCCTTCAACTACATCTTCTGGGGCATTCCGAATGACGCGGATTGGTCAATGTCATATCTCAGGGAAAAGGCTCAAGAGACTAGAGCGGAAGTGATTGCAAAGCGAGTCCAAGAAGAGTGGGATAAGGATCTCTCTCAACCAGGAGGNGGGCTGGCCGCCGGTAGTCCGGAGGTCCCGGCAGTCACCAAGACGACATGGCCTGAAGACGATCACTTATCCGATAGCGAGGGCGACGATGCTGCGAGCTTCCATACAACAGACTCTTCGAACAGCATTCTCGATGGCCTCGACATTTTGTCATTCCGATGCTCTATGCACAATGTACCTGGTCGTCTGGTCATCTTTTCGGATGGCCTTTATTACCAAAGAACGTCTCCAGTTGCGTCGGTCCGCAAGGAAGTATGGCGCCGTCTATGGTCGGAGCTCGTCGAGATTGAAAAGACTGAACCCAAGACTGCTGGGTTGGTCAAGTCGGACGGCATTCGTCTTGCCTTTGCAGACGGAGTCGAGGCGAAGCTCGAGCATGTCCGTCAGCGCGACAAGGCCTTTAATTGCATCATTGGGTTCTCTGGTTTGAAATTCCAGATTGTTCTTCCGGGAGCCGCCACGGGAGCGGACCACGAGACTTTTGGTCAAGACAACAAGAAGTTTGGGTTCAAGAAGGGTTGAGTGATGGTCTTGGAGAAGATTGGAGAATTGAACAAACAGTGTTCCCTACGATACCACGTCCGTTCCTAAGCAATGCTTATTATCGTTTCCATCACATTCTCGAGAAGGTCTCAGCGTGTCGTGAGCTCATATGAATATGTAGTTATGCATACCGTGATCGAATAAGCTGGTCGGAACTGACCATGGCATCAAAGACTGATCATCCATCTAGCGCATCGTCAAGTCCGAGCAAACGTCCACAAGAAAGAAATAAGCTAGCTCATGAGATACTGCTCCAGGAACTCCCCCACGCACAACCAGCTGTGCCGCCCATCCCCTGCAGAATGAAATATGGAAATAGCAAGATCAAACACTGGTTGAGATCGCGAATGACCCAACGCCGAAATGCAATATAGGAAGAAAGGATCATTTGTCCTTGTTAAGAAATAGTAGTCATGTCATGAAGGAAGAGCGTCTACGGTCGGCGGGTCGATTCGACCNATCTGTGAAGAGGCGTCAGCATGTCGAGTTTGTCAAGAAACAAGAAGAAAGCGAGACTTACATTCTGACTCTTCTGTCGTCGCCAGCAGAAGCGAATATGGCTGGATTGGTCGGATGCCAGGCAACCGAGTTTACGGTGCCAGGAGGGTGTGCTTCCAGTGCGACAACGAGTTGTCCAGTGTGTTTTCGCCAAATATAGACTCGTGAATCTAGTACTCGATTAGCAAACTTGAGGTATGTTTGGATGCAGTATTTGGTATCACCTTCACTGCCACTAATGACAAAATTCTCGCCAGCACCACCAAAGGTACTTCTTATGACAAATTCACTTTGAGTCAGGCCTGTGTAGCGTTGCAAGACTTCACCAGTGTCCGAGTCCAGGAGCACCAGACGGCCTTCGTTCATGCTGACGAGCAGCGACTTGCCGTCATGGCTTAAGGTGGCACAGGTGAGCCTGTCCTCCATGACCCATTCTTGGAGTTTTAGACGTGTCTTAAAGTCGTAGACGATGACGCGGTTGTCGTTACTTATAGCGACGAGGCGGGATCCGTCAGCCGAGACTGTACAGTCGTTTACACGAAGGCTTTGAGCATCGTGGCTGATCCACGAATGCAGTAACGACTGGTCTGATAGTTGGTAGAGACCAAGAGGTCTTCTAGAATCTTGTGAGCCAACAATGAAGCTTTGGCCATCGGGGGCCCAGGCAGCGGTTGTGACGGGATAGTGGAAGTGGTCGACACCTCCGACGCGAGTGCCTGTTCGAGCTTGATAGATTGCCAGCTCTCTCGCCTGTGAACAGGCGAGTATGTATGTGTCGTCGGGGCTCCAAGCAACGTAGCAGACACCGCACTCGTTGTGGGACTTTTGCTGGTTCAGACGGCAGATGGGCATCCATGAAGTGGTGTCATAGATGATGACGGTATTGTCCTTGGAAGCGGTTGCCAGCATGGAGCCGTCGTGGGAGAATTCGAGATGCCAGACTTCGTCACCATGATGTTGCAACTCGTGGAAGATGTGTAGAGGGAATTGGTCGCGTTCGCAGACGTGGTCGTGCAGCAGTGAGGGAGGCATGGTGGTGTTATGATATAGACACTGGTCGATGTGCTGCTGCTGGACGTGGTCTAGAAGGACGGCGAGGCGGTGTTCGGGGATCATGACGGAGGGAGATATGGATTCTGNAAGCCGTGGTCAGTCTGGCGTGTGTTTGAGCAGGGTGGAGGGAAGCGTACTCGACAGGTCAGACAACAGGTCCCGCCTTGAGTTGCCGTTGGCGCCATCCCAGTGGGCCTGTTGCCTCAGGTCGTCTGCGCGGCGGCACATGATCAGGCTGGACAGAGTGTGCAGACGGGCGACATCTTGACGCAGCGGCGTCAACTCTTGCCGGAGGACCATCAGCGCCTTTGAGAGCTGGCGCAGCTCGAGTAGCTCAAGGTACTTTTGTTGGCGGATCAGGAAGACCATGTCGTCTCTCTTTGCGCCTTCGCACAGTGGCAGGCCGTCGCGGGTAGCGTCGCCGAACAGCAAGGCTTCAGCCTCGTCCCAGTGGCCATTCTGGACGGCGGTGCGGAAGGCGGCCACGCTGGGGACCTCGAGCTCGTAGCCACTCTCCTGGCTCAGCTTGAGGGCGGTGGACTGGTAGCCTAGGTCCGAGAGGCTCTGGATGATGATGCGCGTCACCTCATGTCGGTTGTGGCCGTAGAAGTCGTTTGAGAGGACAGCGGCGGCATGCTTGTCCGAGGCGCCATTCGACGTGTGGTTGGACGGGTCGTCGTCGTCTTGGGGCTGGAGGTGCATTCTGCCTCTCTTGTGGGCGGCTTCTGCCTCTGGCGGCGACGCACTGCGCGGGCGCTTGGCGGCCAACAATGCAGCCACGGTTCAGGACGAGTCCAGGATGCCCGTCGTGGTCACGCAAATACCACGGCGTCTGAAGATGGTGGTAGTAGTAGTTGTAGTAGCTATGCTGTGAGTAATTGTACCTGATGGTCAGTTGCTTGGACATGGATGCTCAAGCCTCCCCACTCCCGCACCGAAGGTCAAGCACAAGCTCCCGCCCATGACGTGCCTCTTCACATGCCACTCTCTAATAAGTATATGTACGGATACCTTTGTCTTCTCTCACGGGTTTTGCTTTCCCATGTTGCAACTGTGCGATATCATGATAGTCTCGTTCAGCATTAACATAATCTTTGCAATATCAGTACATGCTCTCCATATCTATCCCTGGACTGCATCACCACCAACCCTAAACCAGTCCGATCCAACACTGATCTCGCTGCACGCAGAATTGGCAGCAACCGTATACGCCCGGTTCTCACAACATTCCCACGTCGCTCCAGAGCCATCAGTTTCCCGCATAATGTACTTGTACTCGAAACTCGTGCCCTCAGCAATCGAGATTCTAGCGCCAAACGTTGGGACTCCTGCGCTTTGTGGATTCGTGACCGACATTGACACTGCTTGAGTGGGAGACCAATCGCCGAGTTCGGGGATACTGCCGACAAGGACAATGTCCTCTGGACCATTGTCGAACGAACCACTGACTTCGAAGATTGTCGTAGCATCGCGTGAAGTACACGCCTCCGCCTCGACCTCGAGCGAGACACTGCCGTTGCTGGCCATGTTGCAATCACCGTGTGCGTGCTGCTGATACATGACTTCCTGCGGATTGATGTCACAACTGAGCGATGATGTCGAATTGCTCATGTGCGTTTTTGCGGTTGCGAAAATCTCTTGGCTGGTNNCCTGTTGTTGCTTTAGACTGAGGCCACTGTCTCTTGTTTCAATCAAAACTTACGTTGCGTCAGTAAAGTTTTGCTGAACTGCAAGACTGAAGTTTCCAATGCTAAAGTAGGGGAAGAGTTGGAACCGAAAGTCGTTGGCTCCGCAAGCTATCCATTTGCCTGTAGGTACAGCCATACTGTAGGGCTCCGATTCAAGCCATGAATTGTCTCCCCAGGATGCCTGGCAAGTCGTCGATGAGCCGTCTCCACCGTTCGAAGATGTCACATCGAATTGGATACGATAGTAGTTTGTCTGACCAGCAGGATTGCCTATTGGCTGATGGGTGTTTAAATTCTTGACAACGAGAGGGGAATATGCCGCCGCTGAGAGGGAGCAGAAGGCTGCAGTGGAAACCAGGATCTTCCACATCTTTGCAAGACACGAGACGAGACAACAAGGACAATGGCCACAGAAATCGACAACGAGAAGGGAAAGGAATGGCAAGAACTTGACTTGGTACAGCACCTACCTTATGAATTCGACTCGCATGTGTTTCGTCAGACGCAAGAGAGATCCTCCTGCCGATCTTCTTCTCATTACACGCGCAGATGCACAGAGACGGCACAGCAACATAGAAAAGATGCCCGCAAACTCAACAATCGAGTGTTTCACGGACCATGTTGCGCTCCGGATGTGCAGGAGTCAGGAACTTGTCAACTTTTTCCATGCCGTGCTGCATGAACGCTCGAGCCCTCAGGTCGTCTGCGGTCCGGACGGTCACAGCCGACTGTGTGCCAATAGTGACTTGACTTGACATCGAGGTCTAGCTTTGAACATGGCCATGTTTTGCTTGATGCTTAATCTGATCCTGGATGTAAAAAATCCGATCCTGTCAATTTGATGTTCGAAATCTCCACACTGACCTGACCAATTTACCACTGCATCTTCATATCTACGTCGATCACTGTCAGTGAGACTTGAAAGGCAGATTGCATCGATCTATTGATACGCCTATCGAATTTGATGCTGCCGTGTAACAATGGCGCTCCAAGTATAGCTGCCACCTACCACCACAACCTTGTATTCCAGCTTTGCTCGCAACATGATGTGATGAATCTGCATGTGAGGCACTATTCACGATCATTTGGAATACTTTCACCAATTGTCACCCCATATATAGCCAGGCAAGGCTTCACGAGTTCAATTTTAGAGATGCAGATAGAAATGACAATCATCAGAAGTCCCAATAAGGCCTACAAGGTTACCTGTGATCCCATCGACAGGTATACGCTTCCCTCTTCTAATGCCGTCGAATCAAGCTTGCTGCTCTACCAAAAAAGAACAAAGGCGCCTAATTTGCACATGCCTCATCAGAACAAACCAGTGCTTCTTCTTCTTGCAGAAGGAAGACGTATCGCTACAACAGACCATATTGTCAAGTCGTCTTCGAAACGAATCTCAATTCGCCTACACTTCGAAAGAGCCCCACCGCATATTTTGTGCCAACCACAACTAGCTACTCCCACACCCATCTCAGGATCAACACCAAGGCAATGCTTGAGATGGTAATGCCAGAAGATACAGCGCCAGCGATGCAACATCCCGCTCATGTCCTCAGATGCTGGGCACCAAACGGTCGTCCGGCACTTGATCCAGTGATACTCGGTCACGCTAACTCGTTTCGGCTAGCACAAACATCCTCCCCTTGTCTACATTCAATGATGATCGATATGAGAGCACTGTAGGAAGTCATATGTTGGCTGGCACGATGTTCATATCGAGATGGTAGCCTCTTAGGATTCGCAAATCAGCCATGTGTAACAGCATATGTGACGGCGATCTCTGAATATGAACAGATTTGACAGGGTGAACAGCTCTTTGTAAGTCGTACATCTAAAAGCTCTCTCGATTATATTGTACAGGGGTCCTTCTATTTTCATCGTCTATGCCTTGCCGAGCTGCTTCTCGAGCGCTGCAATCTTCTCCTGCTCAATCTTCTCCTCTTCCTCCTTCTTGCGTTGAGTCTCGATGGCGAGCTGATCAGGACGTCTGATGGCAATGTCTTTGGGACGGAAATCGCTAAACATTTGCTTGAGGACCTTTTCAATGACCCAGCAGCCACAGTAGTCGAGAATCATGATGGTGGTCATGGTGATCTTGAACTCGGTAGTAAAGGGAACAAGCTTTAGCTGCTCGTTGATCTCGGGAACAAACTCGGTTGCGCAAGAGAATGCGACAGCAGTGACCATGACGATACCGTAGTACATGCCCTTGTTTTCCTTGATGGACTCGCGGAAAGGACGGCCCTGGTAGTTGATGGCAAAGGTGGAGATTTGCTGAATCAGCTGGAGCAGGTAGATGGCAGAGTTGAGAAGCGAGGGCTCAAATTCACCCTCGAGATCGATGTCGGACTTCTTGGGCTCGGTACGTTGCACATATCTGGAGATGTAGATGAGGGTGACAATGTGGACGGCGAATTGTCCCAAGACGGAGCCAATAATGTATGGGTTGAAGATGTTGGGCTGAGGTCTCTCCTTGGAAAGTGTTTCAACGGTNNCTGGAGAATGAGTTAGCATTGGTCAAGACACGTACAACAGAGATAGACATACCTTGGCACGAGAGATGGAGAGGAAGCAGACACTCATGAGCATGCCACTGATTGTGACTTGGCCATCACCAAACTTGATACCATCAAGATACAAGACACTCAAACTGTACGCAGAGATCAAACAGTTGAGAGCCAAGATCTTGTACATCTGAATGGTAGCGACAAGCGTGCAACGACCCTGACGGATAATGTTGGGAATGGCAACAACGTTGGCCAGCTTACTGGTGAAGGGAGCAGCGACCGAGGCATCACCAAGCTTGATAGTAGGAGGTTCATCATCGGTAAGAGCGTCTTCCATCATGGAGATTGACATCTTCTCGGCCATGGCACTTGCAGCGTTTTGAGCCTTTTGTCTGCGCTGCTCTTGAACAGTCAGAGGCGCGGCGGTCTCGCCATCCTTGGCAGTAGCAGTAGCAACCTCGGCCTTGTGTTTGGCCTCAGTGACCGCCTTGAGAACGTCGCTGGTGGTGCCCTTGTTGGTTGCTTCGCGCTCCATGGCTGTGTCGTAGTGAGGGTTACCAGGACCGGGAGGGTAGAGGTGGGCAATGTGAACAGGGACTGGCGGAGAAGGCTGGTTGAAGCGCTTCATCATGGCACATTGCTTTTCATAGACGTCCTTCATCTTGGTCTCTCTGAAGTTTTGGGCAATCTTCTTGAGGTCATCCTCGGTTCCGTTGAGAAGGGCAACGCCAATGTGAGCTTGCTTGAGAGCACCAACATCGTTTGTACCATCGCCAGCCATCAAAGTGACATAACCAGCGTCTCTGAGTCCAAGGAGGATTTCTTCCTTTTGCTTGGGCGAAACACGGGCGTAAACCCATGTGTGACGGATGATTTCCTTCAGAGCCTTTTGACCAGTAAACTTGGAGAGAGCATACCCGGTAACACAGAGATCCTTGGTCTTGATGATTTCGGGATCGATGGGCTCAGCCGGGTTGACGGGGATGCTAATCTTGTCGTCGATACTTCTCCAGACAAGGTTCTTACCAGAGTTGTCGTGTTCGGGAGCATCAAGAATAAGAGTTTCGCGGTCGACAATCTCAACCTTTCTAGCAACGTGTATGGCGGTCAGAGGGTTGTCACCAGTAATCATGATGCAACGGTGACTGCTCTCGTTAAGCATGCGAACAGCCTTGATGGCATCGTCCTTAAGGGGGCATTGCAAGACAAGGAAACCGGCAAATTGCAAGTCGCATTCGGCATCCTCACGCTTCATGTCGTTGATCTTGTTTTGACCAATCTCGTCGTTGGTGGAGATGAACTTGTACGCAAGAGCGAGAACACGGGCACCATTTCTCGAAAAGTACTTAAAGGTCTCTTCGTACTTGGGAGGAACGTCGACGAGCATGTTTCTGATGGTTTCGGGTGCTCCCTTGACACCGACAAAGGTGCTTCTTGTCTTCTTTCCAGAATCGCGTTGAGTGGTGACGACGGTAGCGACAGAGCTCTGACGCTTGAGTGTAGAGGAGAATTGGAATCTACGCTTGATCTGAACCAAGTCGGCAGCAGACTGGCCAGTGCCCTTGGCAGCAACAGCAGTCTTGCTAGTCAGGGTATCATTGCGACCAACAGTCCAGCCAAGAGAGGCAAGAGTGGCCTTTTCCATGGGCTCACCGACAACATCGCCATCCTCAAGCTTGACAAGAGCATGGGCTGTGGCGAGTACCAAGGTGGTGCAAACACCGGTATCGTTCAGAGGTACGAGTTGAGTCTGGGCACCATCGGCCTCGGCGGGTGCGCCTTCTTGACCAAGAGTCAAACCAGCAACACCATCAACGACTAGGTCTTCTCCAGTCAAGGTTCCAGTCTTGTCAAAGCAGGCAATATCGACACGGCCAGCAAAAGGAATACGGAAAGGTTCTGTACAGAAGATGGCGTACTTGCTGAGGGCAGCAAGAGAAGTGTTGACGGCCAAACTCAATTCCATGGGCAGCTCGGNGGGCACGACGCTGGTGACGATGAGGACACAGTCCAGCAAGAGCTTGGAGCGCTTCCTATCCTTGGCGACACCCTCGGTCCAGACGTACCACGAAGCGGCAATGGCAAAGACGGTGAGGAACAAAATGAAGAGCAAGGCTTCGACGTTGTTGGCCGATACGCGCTCGGTAGAGTAAATCATGGTGCGAACGAGACTGCCTTGACTGGTCTCGAAACCGGTTCTGACAACGATAGCCATGGCTCCGTTATCAGGAGCTGCAGGAACGCCCGAGACGACGGGGTGAATCTTGTCCGAATCGTCCGAACCAGTGTTGCCGTGAGTAACTTGAAGGACCTTTGTGCCGCCATACAAGAAGGCGAGCTTGTCGCTACCTTCGGGTTCGATGCGGGCATCAGAGGGGCGGAGCTGGACGGAATCCTTGAGAACAGGGGTACTTTCTCCAGAAAGCATGGCCTCGTTGACAATTGCAGAGCCTTCGACTAAGAGCATATCGCATGCGACACCGCTGTCCTCCTTGGTACGGCCAACCGAGACGAGATCACCAGGTAGAAGAGCATCGCTTTGAACTTCGATCCACTTCTTCTCTCTGTATACCCAGATGTCATATGGCTTGATGCTCATGCCACGGAATTCGGTCAGAGTGCGCTGTCTCTGCCAGACGACAGTGCTCTCAAAGACGACGAGCATGAAGAGGGTGAAGAGGGAGTAGTACCAATATTCATCGAGCATCCAGAGGCCGACACAGAAGATTTGGAAGACGAAGAAGGGCGCGACGGCGTGTTCCTTGAATAGCTCGGTAAAGGATGGGACGGGAATGTCGAAGGTGTTGGGACCATAGTATTGCTGGAGACGGGCGACTTCTTTTGCGGTAGTAAGACCCTT